CCTATTACACGAGCAATTAGAAACCACAGCGATGAGGAAGGGAAGGAAAGCTAAGGAAAGAAAGTCTCTTATCACCACCGATGTGGCAAAGGGACATCTCTGCGCCGTATTTGCTTGGGAAACAAAATCGACCTCGAGCAGCCCATAATAAGAGGCAAAAACTGACACGGCATTAAAGTCGTTACGCCGTGCTTCCGGAATCACTTCCTGTCCCCAAAGAGGCCAACAACAGCTAACTCCAAACGAATCTTTATTACGCAGCAATACGACGTTTGGCAGAGCACAAACCTACGGCGTAATTACTGCCGACACATTTCGGTGCCATCCATCATGCCAAGCCGAAGAATCCAGAACGGCCCCCTCTTCTCCGCTTCCTTCATAAATGCGCCTCGTTTTCCCTAAATGGCGCAATAGTCCAACAGGGCACGAATTGATTACTACAATCAGGAAGCCAGCCAGCGAGCGACAAGATCCAGCGTTCCAAAGCCGTCTACAATACTCCGATGCTGCATTTGCGCATGAAATATGTCACACATCCGTCTCACCCGTATCTCTCGGGCAGTCCGAGAGGAGAACGAGGGCAATGATCGACCCCTGGGCGAACTGCTCCGCAGCGGCCTGCGTTCGCTGCTCAGGTAGGGGAAGTGACACACGCATGGGACACCTTATCACTGCGTCTCTACGACTGGTCCAGGATCGTAGTATCCTTGAGTATGTAGCCATGCCATTCTATAACCTCGTCCAGCCCCTCACAACATAGGCCACCGGCATGCACAGCGGGAAAGGCATATCCATATAGGATGATTTCGTCTTTCCTCATTTCCCTTAATTGATTTTAAAAAAATAAAATGATTTACATCAACTCCGTTTCAGCTATCAGTCATTGGGCTGTCCGCTACACTGCGGCGGGACGAAACGATCACACAGCGGGAAAGGGCGGGAGGAGCGAACAGACGTGCAAGCGAGTAAGAAAGAAACAAATTGCAAAATATGACAAGAGAACAGAGCGGGATGCGGCCCAGGCCATGGTCTATGTAGGACAAGAAAAACACAAAGAAAGCCGATCATGTGTGCGTCTCTGTGCACGCTTCAAATGACAGATCACATCTCGTTATAAGATGGAGCAGACAAGGCAGAGAATCAACGAATAAAAAAGAAGCAAAAAGAGCGAGAGGATGACACCATAAAGGTGGAACGACTTACGGCAGTCGATCGCATCGTCATATTCTGTCCTGCGTACGCGGAAGGACACGAGATATATTTAGACGCTCGACGTTAGACGTTCGACAGAGGTGGTCTCACATGTGTCGATCACGTCGCACAGCAATTGGGAGGTGAGACAGACTGTGCACGACATGACCTAACCACGGCTAGAAGAGGTAGTTGACAGGATATACGAGACGGCCTTTGTTGGCGATAGATGGCTCGTGTCCCTCGACACTCTTTCCCTTGTGTATATAACAGGTCACAGAGCACAAGCCATACATATATATATATATTTACAACACGCAGAAATGAAAGATGGCTACTCGTTCTCGAAAATACGGTGTGCCTAACTTGCGGTGTAATCCAGGGTCATTTCGAGTTTTTCCTACTTACAAATACGGCAAGAAGCTTCTTCCGTCTTTGTGACATGCCGAAACAAGCAAAACCGGAGCCGGCCTTGCAGCGAGTGTCGAAGTAGGTTGTAGTGCCTCTAATGCCCATTGGAAAGTTGGGGATTGTTGGAGAAAACAAATAGCAAAAACAAAATACATTAACAGGAGGGAAGAAAAAGAAACGAAACGAAAATGATATGTCACATTTTAGAGCGGACACCATGTGGGCAGACGGCAATCAAAAAAGCGGAGGCGGAGACTCGACAATCTCATTTTTCCTTGCAAATGGTCTTTTGGCCACCAGTCTCGCAAAACGTACGACGTACAATTGGGTTTCTGGTCCACCCAACGCCCGGCCACGACGAAGCCAACGTCGTATCCTAAACCAAACACGGAGCCATCCGGGCCTTGGCTGATCAGGCTCGGCATAAGGGTGGTGCGAATCAAGGTATAACACATCATGGGGAACAAGGAGGAAGGGGTTGTGACAAAAAAAAAAAAAACAGGGAACGTGGAGGCTGCAGGAACTGGAACTGTGAGGCTATCTTCTTACGGTCGTGTCTTTGTCGTCGTCTTTTTTTTTTTTTTTTTTTTTTTTTTTTTTTTTTCCAGCTGTGCTTCACCGGTGTACGTTCGGTGTAAGCCAGCCAATCCACATGTTCGATGTACGCAGGGGCAACGGGATCAGGCTCCCACGCCCGAACAAGGATGTGTCGATCATTTTCTTTCTTTTTCTTCCTTTTTTGGTAAAGATTTTGCAGTTCTCCCCCCTTGAGTTGGTCCTCGAACAGAGAACGAATGCGACGTAATTGTCCTACACGAGGCTCACTTTTTTGTTTTACTTTATTTTACGGAGTATTTTTCGCCAACGTGCCAAGAGGAACGCGTAGAAACGGCGACCAGGGCGCTTGTTCTTGGTGCTGGCATCCGACTGTGTGTACTCTGGATGGCGCATATGAGGGGGCTCTTGGTTTCCATCGCTAATTTTCGCTGTAATTACGGGCATTAATTCCGTCCATCGCACCTAGGCGCAAGCTAGAACACGACAAAATATTCGTCTCCGTCTTCCGCCTATCAGCCATCCAAAAGGTGTGTTAGTGCCTTCTTGCCCACATTGCACCAAAAGCTATCCCAAATCTCTGTGCTTCTGCCCTCCAAAAAATGAAAGTAGGGATACAACGGTGTCCTGTAAATATTGCACAGGAAACAGAGAAGTCAGAAGCTGCACCTCTTGGCATCTGGGCATGTGTACCAGAACTGGGAGCTGAAGCAACGCTGAGAAATCCATTCAGGCCTTCAGGCTGAGGGATCTGTACAAGGGTTGGTTTCAGGCGAGAGTCTCCAAAAAAAGCCTCGTCTTAAGAAAGCTCGAGGTCAAAGACAGATAGATTACTGCGAGCCAGTGGTGGAGGCCCTAATCCTCGTGCTTCGTAGGACTTGCAAATGTGTCGTTTCGGATAGACTGTATTTTGTCGTCTGGGCGCATCTCGTTTGCACTTCCGTACTGTTGTTGAGGAATAAAGGCGGGTCAAAAAGACGAGAGAGTGAGAGAGAAAGGAGTAAGGACGCCGCCCACGATGGCACAAGCAAATACGATGGACGCCTCCTCACACTGCATCTGCAGTTCATTTTGTGCTTTCCGCATGCTGTACCGCGTTGAAAAACGTATCGCAAGTCCCAAGAGAGCCACTCACCATTCACTTCTCTATCAACCAACTTAATTTGCCCGCTCGTTTTCCATAGTCATGATATCACGTCCAACCATTCGTCGTACGATGAATGGAGGTCCATCCTGGCACGATGCAACCCTCCCCGCAACGTTAAAGTTGTCTGTCCAATGGAAAACTGGGTGAGAAATTCTAGGCCTTGGCACTGGACTCTTGACTGTGAGAAAGAGCGGAAACAGGCAGGGCAAAAAGCAAAGCAAGTCCTGGTAGCGAGACGACCAGAGCTGTCACTCTACCATCCAACTGGTACACACAACATACGCTCCCCGTGACTGTTGGCTGGGTATGGGCGCGGGGGAGGGCGGGAGGAGTGGGTGTCGTGGGAGTTGTGGGTGTCGTTGGAGAAATGCGAAGTGAACCATATTTGCATCCCGGGCGAGGAAAAGGAAAGCTGGTTAACGCTTCTCATGAGACGATAGAAACAAGATTTTGACCAGAAATACGCCTCACCGAGTAATCGACTTCTTCGACAAATCTCGTCGGGGCTCGTTTAGCCTCTACCAATGACTTCGTCTTATCATGTTAAGCCATCTTCTCGCCGTCGTAGATTTGACCCCACGGATGACACAGCCTGTGAAGTAACCTCGACTTTCTCTTCCTTTTCGAGATACGCATAATGGAGAGAGAATATCTATGAGCCGCCGATGCTAGGTATCAATGTACTTGTATACAGGCTCGCACTAGAATGACACCATGTCGTACTCCCAACCGTCATGAGGTCTGAGATGAGAGTCAAAACTGAGTGTCTCAGTAGATGCCCAGATCGGCCGAAACAACTGAAACCATAATGGAAAATAAACCGGCAATAACCGTTGCATGGCCTACCCTCTGTGCTTGTAAAGTTAGCACAGCCACTGCTATCGAGACATGAGACTCAGCGGCGCTGATGCCGCGTAAGCAGCATCTACAGCTGTGGAGGTATTTCTAGGGTTGCCAAAATATAGAGAAGACTCAAGTCAGATATCGGGAATTTAGAGCCCGAACTACGATCTTATTCCTCTATCTTTTAGAAAATGTAGTTTATGGGTGTTGGAATTTTTTATAAAAGAAAAGAAAAGAAAAGATAGACAAAAGGAAAGAATAATAATAACAACACTGGTCGATTATCGTATTATTCGCTTAATTTTGACGTATTTTTCAAGTGATCCTTTGTTTCGTTTCAAAAATATAAGTAAATGACGAATAAGCAATCTCATGAAATAACTCGAAACCAAAACCCAAATAGAGAAGCTATCACCTATTCCCAACAGGCGGTATTACATATACAACACAAACGAAAGTGGAATCAGTCAAGTCAAAGAGCATGGGAAACAGTGTCAATTGTCAGTAATAGCCCCTATTTGGGTAAATAAACAGTCAAGCGCATCACCTGACTATGCACGTGCAGCTTCTCCGCAATCGCGCTAAAAAGCCCGTAACCCAACGCCAGAAAAAGGCAGTCAACCCCACTCTAGAAATATGACGATACCACGCAACGACTCGACACAAAGTCGCCAACGACTGCGACACGAATTGGCGACCCGCGAGGTGGCCGTAGAAGCGATGTACTGAGCAACCGAATTGCCGTTACTGAATATCTGCCTCCACCGTATCGCGGAACAGAAGGCAATAGGCCTCGGAGCCTCGGCTCTCCTCGACGTCCAACCCTGACATCTTTCCATCTCGAAGAGACACAATGCGACCTCGGCCGGCGATGCTGCGCCTGTGGTCGCGCCGTTTGGCGGCAGACCGGCCACCACACGCCGGCCGGCGAACCTTTTCCTTCACACAACACACAGCGCTCGTTAGCAGCGGCAGCGGCAGCGGCAGCGGCGGCGGTCACAGCTGGAGTACCAGTCCACGGACCCGACCACAGCTGCCGTTCCTTGTCGTGCCGTCCACAAGAGGCCCTGCCTCCCGGTCGCCCCGGTACTTTACGACCCAGCGACGGCAGTGGCTGCGCTACGAGGCCCTCGCCTTTGTCAAGTACACCTTGTACTTCTGGGCGGCCGTCGGCTGCGTTGTTCTCGTCCAGTTTGTTGTCCAGCAAGAGTGGATGGAGCGCGCGTATCCGACGCCGCACGAGTGGACATTCATGTCGCGGATGCGGCTGCGCGGTGCACTTGGCGAGCGAGGGGACGACGGCAGTGCCGAGGAGCAGGCGGCGTCCAGCAGCGGCGATCTGGACACGACTTCGGCAACCCACGTCGTGGACCACGTCAAAGTGATGCAGATCCTGCTGGACCTCATCAGGCGCTTGGAGGACCCGAAGATCGACGGAGGTGCAGGGCTGGCAGCGGTTGAGGTGCCGAGCAAGGCGGATCTGGCAGATCTGGCCGCGCTGACGGGCGTCGCCGTCGCCGACGCCCCCGAGGCACCGAATGCCAACACCTCCATCGGCGACGCCCTGGACATCCGCGCCAAGAGCGAGCCCTGGCGCCGCGGCTACTACCAGGCGCTGCTGGCCGCCGCAGCCACATCCGAGCACGTCGACGGCTGGATGATCGACCGCACGCGCAATCTCGTGTGCCCGCCCGACATTGTCATTGGGCCCTCGAACCCGCACCCAAAGCCAATGCCGCCCGGATCCTCGGGCGCGCCCCGCGAAGAGAACTGCGAGGTCATCTTCCCTGCCGCTGCCGAGATTTACCTCAAGCTGCTCAACACGCGCGGCCTGACCGCCCGGCAGCAGATTATGGCCGCGCTGGCGTTTGCCAACTACCTCGAATACAAGCAGGACAAGGATGCTGCAGCCTACGTCTACGGCCGCGCGGTGTTGGCTGCACGTGCGCCCGATAGCGACGGGGACGACGAGGACGACGGAAACAACAGCCAGTCCTTCTTTGACCGCAATGCCGGCGTGGACGCGCCGGCGTGGATCACGGCATGGGCGGCACAGAACCACGCGGCAAACACACTGCACAGCAAAAACACACCCGCCCTCTCCCGCAACCTCCTGTCGACCCTGACGGCCTACGCCACGTTCCAGGCTCGCTCGGGCAACGTGGCCGATGCTCTGCCCCTCTTCGTATCGCTGCTGCAGGCCCGACGCTCTCTGCCTCCGTCGTCGTCGACTGCTGCTGCGGCTGCGGCCGAGGCTGCATCCAGAGCGAAGCCGAACAGCATTGGCAAGCAGATCATTGCCCTGCTGTCCCCGCCGAGCTATCCGCCACCGCCCGACGATGGCTTCGGTCCGCCGATCCCCGGTGCGCGCTCCACATGTGAAGAGGCCGCTCTGCGCCTGCACATTGGCGAGATTATTTACGCTTCAGCTCAAACGCCCGGCAACGCCGCCACCTCTGCATCATCATCTTCCTCCTCCTGGAACCCCTTCTCGTCTTCGTCGCATCACCAGCAGGCCCGCGAAGAAGGCATCGCCTGGACACGCGAGGCCGTCGACATGGCCGAGGAGCAGCTGCATGCCCTCGCCCAGAGCGGCCGCCAGGCCCAGAAGCAGCAGCAGCAAAAACGCGAGAACGGCCAGGGCGGCGGGCTGTCCAATGCGCTGGGGCAGGCCATTGCACAGGCCACGGCGTCCGACAACAAGACGGCCCATGCCGACGGCAGTGCCACCTGCCGCCAGTGTCTCGTGGCCGGCCTGGACAACTGGGCGGCCATGGTGGCGCAGCTGGCGCGGGACGAGCAGCAGCGGCGGGCCAGCAAGCCAGCGGCTGTGGGCGTTGACGCAGCGAGCAGCGGCTCCTCTTGGTGGCCGAGCTGGCTGGGCTTGTGGGGCGACAGCAGCAGTGGCAGCGCCAGCAGCGACAGCGTATCTACCGTTGCCGTACCCAGTGGCGCCCCGGGCCAAGAAGGCGCAGAGAAGCTGGGCCGCTGGGCTGCCGAGGCACGCGTGATTCGTGACCGGCGGCGGCGGGCACGCGAGCTCATTGACAACTCGACGCCGCCATCACAGGGCCTCATGGGTATGTTGACGGCATAGAAATTGAATTGAGACGGAAACGATGTGAATTTGATACGGCACATTCGGGCAAATCATGGGTTCGGGAATCAAGAAAATGGAAAGGTGTAGCACCCCAATGAGTTATGCATACGGACCGTCTTTTTCTTGACCTCTCTCGGTTATGATTCATCTCCATACATACCCCTCAAAGTAACATCTCTTGATAAATGCTTTTTGATACATGCCTCCCTTTGTCGTGATCCGTGCTCGTCCCGTTCTCTCACTTTTCATTCAGGGTGACCTCCGCCAACTTGTCCTTGATTCCATTCACGGCATCATCGCTCTTCACGACGGTGATACCACCGACACCGCAGGCATCACTACCACTCACCAAAGCATCACCCCTGGCAGGCCCCGTCATGCCCTGGTTCTCCTTATCTTCGTCGTCGCCGCCGCCGTGTCCGCTTCCGTCCATGTCCATGGGCTCGCTCCACGTGGGCACGGTGCCGTCATCATCCTCGTCTTTGTAGCCAGCCCACGTCGTGTCCTCCGAGGTTAAAATCGTCTCCGCATACGAAATCTCCATCTGCGGGTTGATGTACGCCGGGTCCCGCGCCACCGTCGCACCCCACGACAGAATCGACGTCTGCGCTTCGATAAACATGAGCTCGGTCAGCCACGACGTCCCCGCGCTGTGCACAGGGCACCCGTACCGTGTCGCTCGTGCCGCATGGTCGTTGCCGTCGGGACCAGCCACCGGTGTGTCCACGGGCGCCTCGCTGGCAATGTACGCGCGCGCACGCTGGCGTAGAAACGCCCGAAACGCGTCCGTCTTGATGTGGTGCTCCTCGTACAGACCGCCGAGCACAACCAGGCTGTCCATATACGGACCCCAGCACTGCCAGTGGCCTGGGTGGTCGAGGAACCCCTCGAGAGCGTCGGCGCCGCCAGCAATGCCAATGGCTGTGATGCGCGGGGCCGACTTTCTCTTCGCCATGGGACTCGGCTCCGTCGCCTCCACTCCACACGTCAAAAGGTCCTTGAACAGGCTGGCAACGTGCGCGTCGGCATCCTCGTGGCCCGGGATCGTGTTCTCGGCAAACTTGCGCGGGGCAAGGTGGGCAGCACTGGGCCGCGGCATGCCCGCGGTAGCGGGCAAGCTCAGTGCGCGCCGCGCCTCGGGCCACCAGAACAGCTCGCCCGGGTTGGCAATGATCATGGCGGGTGGCTGTCCGTGCTTGTCGTTGCAGATGCCGCCGTCACGGACGGCCCGCACCATGGACAGGACGCTGCCCTGCTCAATGCCGCCGCCCCCGCCGACCACGCGGTGGGCCAGAATGCCCAGGTCCTGTGCGGTCTCGCCGACAAAGAGGAGCACACGGTCGGCCGTGGCCAGATCCTCGGTCACCAGCACGAGCAAATGCGGATCGTCTTCGCTGGCTCCCAGGGGCAGACGCACCGGGCGGAGGCCAAGGCCGGCGAGCCTATTGAGGACGATTCTCTGGACAGCAGCTGTTGGTCAGCACAGGCTCAGGTTGCGGCCCAGGTGTACGTTATTCAAGCAAAGTGAGAGGCCTACTGTCGAAAGAAAACCGGTGACAGTCGTTGTAGTAGGTGTTCTTGTCGATAAAATACTTGAAGTAGTACTTGGGATCCTCGATGCTGCGAATCTCGTCGTCTTCGTTGATAAAGTAGCTGTCGATTGTTAGCCATCGTCCAAAGACGCAAGAAGAAACTTTCTGTGTTGTACTGTACCCCAGTTTGCCAATGTCCACCGGATATTTTGGCATGTCGGGCAAGCCCGTCCACAGCCGGCGGAACATCGTTGAGATGCGATGTGATGGTGATGTGCGTTAAAGGTTAGTGCTCGGTTTGACGACGGTGAATGAATGTGAAGAAAAGAGAAATTTTGAAGTTGTATTATGGGAAGGGAGTGACGATGTTTGACGTACGTTCAGGGACTATCAATGACGGAAGGCGCAGGAACAGGAAGGAGCAAACGGCCGTCGTTCCTTCCCGGAGTGATTGTGGTCGTTTGTCCAGCCGGCAGGTGCACTCCGGAATATAAGGAGGCAGGTTATGAAAAGTTATAAGACACTGCCAAAATCTATGTGTCGATTGGAAGAGACTGACGCGACTCTCAGCGATGCGTATTTCGTAAAGTGACGAGCATGTCCGTATTGTTGACTCACTCACTGGTACCAGGTATCTCATATTTACGGGCCAGACGTACGATCCACCAAACCAAGCCAAAAGTCTGCTTTTCACTGATTCTTATATTTATTTTTTCTTGTGTTCGTATATTCATCATGTTTCGGGGGACGTATCGGCAGTTATATACAGTCCGCAGAGCAGGCACTGCCACTTGCTCCGATGCGTCCATCGCAGCATCGACGCCATCGGTTTGTCATATCGTACAGCTCTTCCTCCTGTATCACGGTATCCTTCCTCCCGCCGTTTTGTGTTTCCTCATCGATGGCCGTCGTCGTCTGGCTCTCTACCAGCTAGCCTTCCTCACGCCCGGCAGGTTGCCGCTCAGTGCCTGCAAACGGAAGTTGAACTGATTGGTTAGTGGCTGACTCTTCTCTCTAGCCAAAGACCATGACAACGACGGTCACTCACTCGTGACAGCTTAAAGTCCCGCAGAATACCACGACTCTTGCCGCCCAGGATGCACCGGTTGCGGATCTGTGTCGGACGCGTGTAGACGTGCATCTGGGTCAGCTGCAGCTGGGCCTCGGCGCGCGTGCGTGGTGACAGGGTCGTGTTGCGGATGATATGGCGGAGAGCTTGTCTGAAAGAGAGCAGGTATGTCAGTACGAGCACAACACAGCGATGGCTCATCAATTGACCAGGGCTGAGACGCACCTCTCGGCTTCGTGACGCATAAAGAAGTGGCGCTTGGTATCGTCACGAATGGTGCGGATGTTGACGAAGCAGCCCAGGTCGCACTTCCTCGGCGCGAAAGACGGAGGACGGACCATGGTGGCGATGGAATTGTAGTCGTCAAGTTCAAATGGGGAGTGGGCTCCTCGTGCTGGATGTCGTCGTTCGCTGTCGTTTCTTCGTCGCCTTGTCGTGCGATTCAGCTGCGTGGAGAGCTTTCAAAATCGCCCGAAAATTCGTCGCTTGGTCACGTGCGCTCCATAGTAAAGCCGCCGAAATGCTCCCTGCAGATAAACGGACTCCGTTCGCGCCAGCACCTTCCCCCAACGGTTCCACTGCCCCTTCCGTAGGACTTTATTGGCGCTGTACGGTAGCGGCTACTTGCGGCAGTTCCAGGCCCAATCAGTTAGTCTTTAATAATTCCTGACATTTGGCGGTGTTCCGCTATGACAAATTTGACTTCAGTCAGCTTGTCAGGAAGGAACGATTTCGTCCGGTCGTCGCCGGTCAACGCTCCTGCCCTGAACCCTCTTCTGGCAACATTGTTTTCCGCACCATCGTTTTGTTTTTGCCTTTACTTTGCACAGCATCATCATCACACACACACGACACGATGGCTTCTACGTTGCCGGCGGTGCACCGTTTTGGCACGCCGCTCCGGCGGTCATTGGCACGCTCTCTCGCCGCCTCCGCCCGTCGATCCTTTGCGACTGAGGCAAACCCGCCGGCCTCTGCAGTATCAACAACGACTTCCTCCCCTCCCCCTCCTCCCCCTCCTCCTCCTCTGCTTCTTCTGTCGGTGCCGGGGTCACCAAGCGCTCAAGGCCGACATACTTCAAAAACACGACCGTCGAGTCCTTTGCCACGTTTGTTGGCGGGCCCGCACCAGACGAGCCCCTATCTGTCAACGCTGCCTATGAACTGCAGACCGTCGAGGTCGGCCCCGCCGGTCGCAAGAAGAAGGTCACACGCCTGCCGTCGTGGCTCAAGACCGACCTCCCCAACCCCGGATCCAATGAGAACCTCAAGAAGATCAAGAGTGACCTGCGTGGTCTGGGGCTGCACACCGTCTGCGAGGAGGCGCGCTGTCCCAACTTGAGCGAGTGCTGGGGCGGCTCGTCGCGGGCGGCGGCGACGGCCACCATTATGCTCATGGGCGATACCTGCACCCGCGGCTGCCGTTTCTGCAGCGTCAAGACCAACCGCGCCCCGGCACCGCTGGACCCGCACGAGCCGGAGAACACGGCCGAGGCGCTCGCGCGCTGGGGCCTGGGCTACGTTGTCCTGACGAGCGTCGACCGTGACGACCTGGCGGATGGTGGTGCGCACCACTTTGCCGAGACGATCCGGCGGATCAAGGCCAAGAAGTCGACGCTGCTCGTCGAGGCGCTCACGGGTGACTTCCGCGGCGATCTCGACATGGTGCAGGTTGTGGCCGAGAGCGGACTCGACGTCTACGCACACAACATTGAGACGGTCGAGGGCCTGACGCCGTACGTGCGCGACCGTCGTGCGACGTTCCGGCAGAGCCTCAAGGTGCTGGCGCACGCCAAGGAGGTGCGCGGCGGCGGCGTGGACACGCCCAACGGCCTGATCACAAAGACAAGCATCATGATGGGTCTGGGCGAGCAGGAGGACGAGGTGTGGGATGCGCTGCGGGAGCTGCGCAAGGCCAACGTGGATGTTGTTACGTTTGGGCAGTACATGCGGCCAACGAAGCGCCACCTCAAGGTCGAGCGGTACGTGACGCCCGACGAGTTTGAAATGTGGCGGCTGCGCGCGCTGGACATGGGCTTCTTGTACTGCGCGAGCGGCCCGTTGGTGAGGTCGTCGTACAAGGCCGGCGAGGCCTTTATCGAGAACGTGCTGAGAAAGCGCCAGGGTGGCGTGCAGTCCCTGTCGGCCACGCCTTCTGCTACGGCCACGGCGCTCGAGGACGAGAAGACGCTGTAAAATCTCTTTTCAAGTGTTAAGATGCACCATAATATTGCTTCTGGTTTCAACACTACCAGACAGTGGCCCGTTAACCAATAACAGTTTCTCTTATTTTTCTGTCTCTTGACGTTTATATGTTCGTTTTACATTTACGTTTGTATTTTCACGATTGGAAGGCCTGGCGCAAATTCATATTATACATCATTCGCAAAGAATCCGATTATTCCTGTCTATATCAACACACTGCCAAATGACCACGTATTGATTTATGACCACACCGGCAACTGACGTTTGAGTGTGAACTTTACATTGTCATCTTGCTCTGGCTGCTCGATGCACCTGGTGATCTCTTGATGATCCTTATCTGCGCCCATGAAGACATTTGTCCGTTCGCTCTGTGAAGGCTCTACAAGAAAGCAATCGGCTCAAGAAGCTGCCGTGTATGTCGTACTTGCAGGTATAAGTGTCCGCAGAAAAGCTGTCTGGCATGCAAGCTACCCAGCCGACGAACGGCATTCTTTTGGGAGAGATCTCATGCGGAATGTAGCCTCGTCACTAAGTGGAGATTTGGGTACTTGTGATCCCACCAAAAACACACCAATATATAAGTATCAAACCCCTGTTAAAGCCTCGTGGGATTATCTCGACTGCACGACACCCCGGCCATCCGTTGCCATGCCGTATTCACCAATCGATTTGTCTACTTCCTCCCTCTCCCCTACCCATTTGTCTTTCTGGTTTCTCATCCTCCACTCCCGTGCCCGGGCCGGTCTTGCTGCTGTCTTGACTGTGCTGTCGCTGGCTGGTTTTCGTTGCAGGTTTGTTTCATCGTTCTTTTGGATTCTGCCGCATTTTACCGGGGCCGACGCCCAAGGGACCAAAGGACATGACTATGTAATACTTTTTACTGAGTATGGGGAATCTCACCTCGTAAGAGTGAGTGAGATAGGCGGCTGTAATTTCAGCTCCAAGACCTTGGTATCGTCACAGAGAATTCTTGCACTTACGGAGTACTCTGTTTTGCGACTTCTTTTGCTCCTTTTCAATCTTGGACTTCTTCCGTGTTTCGCCCCAGGGCGTTGAAAGAATGTTCTTTCCAGCCTTCCATCGCCTCGCGTGCAAAGCTTGTTAGCGAAGGCGATGAAACAGAAAACTGGCAATGTACCTTCTGTTGCCGTTCCTACAGAAAACTGCCTCTCAGCACTAGCGTGGGTACTTGCCGCGTATGGGTTGTGGCTGGGGCTGGCTGGCGCGGGCGACCTCTTTATCTTCTTCACTCGCACCTGCTGCCGTTTGTCCAGTTGACCGTCCAAGTGCGAGCATAATAGTCGCTCTCTCTGTCCATGGAAGGTGCAAATGGCCCGGCCGAGCTTGGTTTCGCTTGGCCTAGGTCGTCCCTGCCAGTTTCCTACAACGTCGTAAGATACACAGTTGCTGGAAGCCTGTCCAAACTTGGCGCTAATGGCCAGGCCAGGGCGACCTTCCAGCGCCCCAACCACTCATGCTTGTTTCTAAAACGGGCGGCGGCGAGAGCATTTAGTTCCAGCGGCGGGCGCGGCGACAGCGAACAGATCTTTTCAGGGCCCATCCGTCCCTGTTGCATCACTCTGTGGCTCCACACTCACGCCCCTTCCAGCGCTACAGCCCCTCCCACACGCTCACCAAGCCCCCGTTTCTGACAAGTTTCTCTCGCTGTTGGGGTCCTCTACCCTCCCTGGCGTCTCCATTTGTACTCCCGTACCTTCCTTCTGTCATTCCTTCCACTTTCCCTCTTCCTGGTTCTCTTCTCCTGTCCACTTCCTCCTTTCCCTTTCTCTCCTTTCGTATTCTATTCTCTCCCCGATCCAACCAAAATACATCGCAACTCTGTTTTCGCATCTTTGCATCGCTCTCGCCTACATCTATTCTACCGACTTCGCTTTTTCGACCTTGTTCATCGGCCTCTCCCACTCTTAATTCTCCCACACCCACACACCAAAACCACACAAGATGCCCGAGGACGCCCCCTATGACCCCTACATCCCCAGCGGCGAGGCCGCTCCCGCACAAGGCGCTGGTGGTGGATCGCGGACACAGGCGCTGCAAGCGGTAGGTTCTTTCATGTTTCTTTTCGATTGTGATTCTCGGTGGGACTTGTCAAATGAGGCTGCTCGCATTATCTGGAATCCAAGTGCGTGGTGACGTGCGGAAGCAACATGTGCGGCAACACCATCGATCCGGGCCACGACCTTTGCCGAACAATTCATACCACACGCTCTCCCAAACCAGTTCGCATACGTGTCGCCGTTGATGAAGCTGCTTGCTGGGACTGGCGTTTCGAAGCTTTCCGCACGACCCGCGTTCGTGGACTTGGCTGCACCGTCGGAGTTCACGGAATGAGCCGCCGAGCTAGCGAAATGCTGATGCCTGGTGAACCGATGCATCCGCGATGATGCCGCCAGGCCCGGGAACGCCGACCTTTCGAGATGGAGATGATTTTCGACGTCGGTATGATGGCGATGGCGATGGCGAGCAATGGCTTTGATGAATTTTAATACGTCGCTCCTTCTCGCGTTGGCAACTCTCTCACAACGACAACATGGACCGTGCGCAAAGCACTTTTGCGATCCACAGCGACTACCTGCCCGCGAAGCGGCCTCTTTGACAAGCCTATGTCGTCGCATACTGCTTAATAACACACTTAGAATGACTGCTAACTCGGTGTAGCAAATCGACGACACCGTCGGTGTGATGCGCGACAACATCAACAAGGTCTCCCAGCGTGGTGAGCGCCTCGATGCCCTGCAAGACAAGACTGACAACCTGGCCGTCTCTGCCCAGGGCTTCCGCCGCGGCGCCAACCGCGTGCGCAAGCAGATGTGGTGGAAGGACATGAAGATGCGCATGTGCCTGATTGCTGGTATCATCATTCTCATCCTGGTCATCGTTGTCCCGGCAGTCGTCGCTACGCGCAAGTAAATGTTTCCATAATTACTTGTGCTTTTCGTTTTCGACACCGTCTCCGCCCTCTTCCATGTGTCGATCGTCTCGTCGCAAAGGCTTTGCTGCTTCGATACCCCCTGTCCGCCCTCCAGCAGTAGACCGTTTGTGACGGCATCGGCGACGAACTGCGTTCCAACCCAACGAACGGATTTTCACAATCTGCTCCAAGGACATCATCGCCGGCTGCATGATTGGCGACATGGAAGCTGGTTCTGGACGGTCACGCCTCATCACGAATGATAATTGCCTTTTTTGTTATATCTTTTACTGAGCGTTGGAAAGACTGCAACTACGGGAGCCGGGAATAAAAAAGGAGCAGCTCGCCCCTCTACCCAATTTCAATCTCTGGTATCTTCTGGGTTGTCTTGGTTTTGTTTGTTTCGTACGTCTTGTACGGTTTTCACTAGTTATTCTGTGCCTTATGCTCAACACCCCCGTTCTATCATGGTCGGTTTCGGTCGGTTTGTTATCTTGTCATCAACACACTAGTTTTGCTTTTATGTTTACCACTACTTGGTCTTGGAGGTTGAGTTTTGGAGAGATGAGGTGCGTCGCGACTCGCACCAGGAAATGTTCTTGTCATCTCAAACCTTGACTTGCTTTCTCGATCCAGCAGTGGCAACACTCTGTATGTATGATGGCCGACAGGCGTTTACCCTCGTATTAATAAATTCGTTACGTGTACGTCTTGTGCCCTTTAACCACACTTGTTGTTTTCTGCGCTGTGGCCGTAAGATCGTAGAAGTTGACCGTGATATGACATATAACGGAGGATCCGCTCGGGATATGAAGATGCCTCAGAGGGGACCAACGGATATTTCTGCCGCTGCTTCACCCACCTGGATATTGTGGTCCACGGAGTAGGTCAAGTAACTGCCTTGTTTTCATCTGTCGTGAGTTTTCTATTTGTCTCTTCGGTAGTCCCTTTCAGCCTCAAGTACTTCTTAATACTTGTGATAAACTTCGGAATGAAGTGGAGGCGGCTGTAAGCTCTATGAAAGCAACAGTGTCCACTTCGCCTCCGGCCGATGTTTTTTTAGAAGATACGTGACTTTACGTCGCATTTGCGGCTTTTTGCTTGTTTGCGTCACGTTTGCCTGCTGTTCTCGACATATGGACGACAGACATCGTTACTGTCGTCTTTTGTACATAAAAAGTATAAAGTGAAGTCATGTGACAGGTCATGCGCCAAAACGTAGCGAAATCGGTCTCCGATTTTGTACCCTGATCGAATTTTTCTCACTCAAGCGGGCATTTCTTTTTTTTTTTTCTTTTTTTTTTTTTTTTTTTTTTTTTTTTTTAGCCCCCATTATAACCTATGACTGGGTTTACCGCTACGACAAATGCCCCTCTTTGGCGCGCCCAGGCGCTCTCCTCCACCTTACCTGTAGTGGTCGTGGCTCATGTGCCTGGCCGGTCTTTTTTTCACACTGGTTGCTGGTCGCACTTTCCCACCACCGATTGACTCCTCCTGCCCTGTTTCCGCTAGAGGTTGAATATCCCGCTCCTCTTTCCTTCTGTTTCCCTCCTCCTATTTCTCGCCGGTCTTCCCTCTTCCTCCCTCCCTCCTCCTCTTCTTTTGTTTTGGCCAGACATCGTCAACTGTCTGACCCCTTCATCTTCCTGCTCCACCCCCGTCTTTCTCGAGCCCCGCCCGCCATCAAGCAACCGGAGCTGCCAGTCGGCCGAGAGGGCAGAGGATTTCCGCCTCCTCTGTCGCCCCCCACTCCGTCTTCTCCTACGTCCTTTTCCTCCTCCTCGACTCTTTTGTGGTTGTCACTTGACAATTGGTATAGTCTCTCCTAATTGCGTGCGCTCTGCTCTCGATTAGGCCACCATGCTGTCGACTACTACTGTTGCCCTCCGGGCGGGCGCCCGCCGCTGCGTCCGATCCCGGCCGTCCTCCGTCCCGACTGCTGCCCTCCGCTCACACTCCTCGCTCTCGATCAAGCGCTCTTCCCTGACGACCGTCAAGGCTGCCACTGCCTCGACGACCTCCTCATCTCAGCGCCGCGCCCTCTCGACGTCGTCCACCCGCCAGACCGATCTCAGCACCCGTGGTCTCATGATCCAGGCCCTCAGCTCCATTGGCTCCAAGCGTGAGGCCCAGCAGTACCTCTCACACTTTACGTCTGTCTCGTCTCAGAAGTTTGCTGTCATCAAGGTTGGCGGTGCCATTCTGACCGACTACCTCGACGAGCTGTGCGCCAGCCTGGCGTTCCTCTATCACGTCGGCCTGTACCCGGTTATTGTCCACGGTGCTGGTCCCCAGCTCAACAAGCTGCTCGAGGATGCGGGTATCGAGCCCCAGTTTGAGGAGGGCATCCGTGTTACCGACGGCCCTACGCTGGCCGTCGCCCGCAAGCTTTTCATGGAGGAGAACCTCAAGTTCACCCAGCGCCTCGAGGATTACGGCATCCACGCCCGCCCAATTACCTCTGGTGTCTTCTACGCCGACTACCTGAACCAGGAGAAGTGGGGCTTTGTGGGCAAGGTCAACCGCGTCGCCACGGACGTCGTCGAGGCCGCCATCAACAACCGCTTCCTGCCCGTCCTGACCTCGCTTGCCTGGACCGAGTCTGGACAGCTGCTGAACGTCAATGCGGACGTTGCTGCTGCTGAGCTGGCTCGCGCTCTGGAGCCGCTCAAGGTCGTCTACCTGTCCGAGAAGGGCGGCCTCTTTGACGGCGAGGGTGGTAAGATCTCGGCCATCAACCTGGACGAGGAGTTTGAGTGGTACATGGCCCAGTCGTGGTGCAAGTTCGGCACGCGCCTCAAGATCAAGGAGATCAAGGATCTGCTCGATACGCTGCCTCGCGAGTCCAGTGTCGCCATCATCCGGCCCCAGGACCTGCACAAGGAGCTGTTCACCGACTCCGGTGCCGGCACTTTGATTCGCCGTGGTACCAAGCTGGCCTCGGCCAGCGATGTCACCGCCTTTTCCGACATTGAGCAGCTCAAGACGGTCCTGCTGCGTGACCGCGACGGCCCCAACGCCCGCCAGACCGTGGACACCTACGTCGAGTTCCTGCGCGAGAACCCATTCCGCGCCTACTACGACGAGCAGATGAACGCTCTTGCTATTGCCTTCCCTCCCTCTGCCGACCGTCCATTTGCCACTCTGGCCACGCTGACAATCAGCAAGTCTGGCTGGCTGGGCAATGTCGCCGAGAACATCTTCACGGCCATCCGCAAGGACTTCCCCAAGCTGATCTGGACTGTCAACGAGAATGATGAGAACCTGACCTGGTTCTTTGACAAGGCCGACGGCAGCGTCGCCCGCAACGGCAATGTGCTTTTCTGGTACGGTGTCGAGGACGGCGACGAGATTGTCCAGGTCATGAAGGACTTCTCTGAGCACGGCCGCTCCATGCTGGGCGATGCGAACCTCGAGGCTCGTCTGCAGCGCGCCGCCGAGCGTGCCGGCAGCGACGGCGGTGCGGCGGCCGCAGTCAAGGCCGCCACCAACGCCGCCTTCCAGCGGTCTTCTCCCCTGCAACAGCAGCAGGCCCGCGCCTTTTCTACTGCCGCCCGCCGCCCCGCCACCGCCTCCTCTTCCGTCTCTTCCTTCTCGACCTTCTCCTCTTCCCGCTTCTTCAGTCGCCGTACTACCGCCGCTGCCTTCCACACGTCACGGGCGAACCGCATCGACGAGGACACGACGAACCCCAACCCGCCACTTGGCAAGAAAAACGCCACCAACAACCGAGCAGCCCGCGTTGCCCTGATCGGCGCTCGTGGTTACACGGGCCAGGCGCTGATTGCGCTGCTGAACGCGCACCCGCACCTGGACCTGACGCACGTCAGCTCGCGAGAGCTGGCGGGCCAGGAGCTCAAGGGCTACGATAAGAGCGCGATTACGTACGAAAACCTGAGCCCCGAGGACATCCGCGAGATGGAGAGCCGCAACGAGGTCGACTGCTGGGTGATGGCTCTGCCCAACGGTGTGTGCAAGCCGTTTGTGGACGCCATCCAGGAGGCGCGCCGCGACACCGCCGGTGCGGACAAGAGCGTGATTGTCGATCTGTCGGCCGACTACCGTTTCGACAAGACGTGGACGTACGGTCTGCCTGAGCTGGTCAAGCGCGGCGAGATCCAGAACGCCAGCCTCATCTCGAACCCGGGCTGCTACGCGACAGCTGCTCAGCTGGGCATTGCGCCCTTGCTCGACAATCTCAGCGGCACGCCCGTCATCTTCGGCGTCAGCGGCTACTCGGGCGCGGGCACCAAGCCGTCGCCCAAGAACGACGTTGAGCTGCTGACGAACAACCTGATTCCCTACAGCCTGACGGACCACATCCACGAGCGCGAGATTAGCTACCAGCTTGGCTGCAACGTGGCGTTCACGCCCCACGTGGCCGTCTGGTTCCAGGGCATCCATCACACCATCCACATCCCGTTGAAGACGGCCATCACGTCACGCGACATTCGGCAAATCTACCAGGACCGCTACGCTGGCGAGAAGCTGGTTAAGGTGGTCGGAGAGGCGCCACTGGTCAAGTCAATCAGCGGCAAGCACGGTGTCGAGATTGGTGGTTTTGCGGTGCACTCGTCGGGCCGGCACGTTGTTGTCTGCGTAACGATCGACAACCTGCTGAAGGGTGCCGCTACGCAATGTTTGCGTAAGTTTTTATCTCGTTCTGACTGCAATATACACAACGCTTGCTGACCTTTTTAGAAAACATGAACCTGGCCCTCGGCTACAACGAGTTTGAGGGCATCCCGGTGATGTAGACGACGACACGACCATCTAGAGCCACGATAGCGAAAGACAAGCGCGTGTGCGCGTAAGCAACGATATACCAAAAAGTAAAACGATATCCGTCAAGGAGAGCAATTGTATACATGTGCCATGCTTTTGTCTTTCTATTTTCATATTGTCACGTCTGTTGGGATGGAACCTTTTAAAACAAAACAATACATGGAAATGACGGACGGAGGGGCGTGGTAGGATTTATGTTTTTTTTATACGCTGCATGGAGTTCCATTTTATTTAATTTCAGTTAATAATTCCCCCGCCGATGATGTATTTCATTTAGTATCCTTTGGTATCTTTCGATATAAAGGACCACAAAGTACGTCGCTTATGATGCTGAGTTGTGTCGTACATACCTCTGCCCGAAAAGGGAAAGAAGACGGTGTGGCAGTCCTGTGTTGCTCCTGCCACGCAACTATTGGACACATTCCACTTCCACCACGCAACGTCATGTGGGTGCAGGGGGACCAATACTAATTTGCATTCGTTTCCGACTGTGTCCTTTTGGCCAGCAAAACATAAGAACACGAAGGCGACCGCCCACTTTTCTGTGCAAATATGGAATAGTTGTTGTGTGCAGTGTGTAACTTACACGTCGCAGCCTGTGTATGGCGGATGCGCCACTGGAGGCAATCGTACCTTCTGTATTTGGCGCTGTTTGCCTGTGTTGGTCGCTCTTTCTCTTCGTTGTCGTTGACTACTCGTCGTGCCTGCCCCAGGATGCAATGGCCCTGCATCTCGCCAGCGGGAAGGCGCATTCGCTATATTTAGGCGCGACGATTTGGGAATGGGGGATCTCGTTGTCCTGTACAGAATATGTGAGTGCCTGTCTGCGTGCCAGTACCTCGTTTTGCAGGGCCCAATCAGCAAATTGTCTGGATAATGCTTCTTGGGCTTCTATTCGATCTTCTTTGTCCCCTGGACTTGCTAGTGTCGATTTGCTGGTGGCTCCTTCTGTCTTGAACTATTGTTCAATTTCTGGACCGCCCCCTTTCCTGTTTGGGGAACGCGCATCCTGTGCCTCGCTCCTGCCGCCCAGCGCGCATGTCGTTGTTACTCAAACCCTCGCCTCTGGCGACAACGCCAGAGGCTGTTTCCTTGCCCTGTCCAGTTCATTTTAAATCTGCATTTTCCACTTCCCGACTCCCAGTCCATTTGCCATCCTCTCCATATTTTCCGGCTATCCTCTCGCCTCTCATCCACCCTTGTCAGGTGTCTCTTCTCGCTCCATTCTTTCTACGGCGTGCGAGTGTGTTTGTGCTCCGTGCTCCATACCTTGCTTGTCAGTCTCTCCCTCCTCCAAGCATTTTGGCGGGCCGTAACGCCAATCCAAACAAACCTTGTCTCTAGTCGCCTCTTATTTCTGCATCCCTTTCTCTTGTCTCGCGCTCTTTTCTGACGGCTCGTCTCGGCAGTCGCTCGTTGCCTTTTACTTGACTTCGCTCGCCATCGTCGCATTGTCGATTGTTGGGTTCGACAGCTACCGCTCGCCGACCACCACAACGCATCCCCCTCCGATCTTCTCCTTAAACGCGCTCGCGCGCATTCAGGAACGATCACCGCTTTCGTGATCCGCGGGACCGAATCCTACCCTGCGACGAACATCTGGTTCTCTCCGACGACTTTGAACCCGAATCTCTCGACACCCGCATCTCGCTCTTCCCTCACGTCGACACGATGCCGCTTCTGTGTGGTGGCTCCAAAACGGTGCAGCGCAAGCTGGTCTTGCTGTGAGTTGGATCGCGCCTCGGCAATGCTTGACGGCTGTGCAGACGACGGAAGATGCACACGGAGATGCTGACAATGGCTTTTTACAGAGGCGATGGTGCTTGCGGCAAGACGTCATTGCTGAATGTCTTTACCAGAGGGTAAGCGACCGAACGCTCCCTGCCGACGGCTGCCCGCGCGGTCCCATTTGATTCCACAACCTGTTCCGTCATGCTCACAATACTTCTTTTTTCCCTTTTCTTTAGCTACTTCCCGACTGTCTACGAGCCTACCGTCTTCGAGAACTACGTCCATGGTATGTTGGAGCACAACAGCGCAGAGTTGTGGTCGTCGAAACGGTCGAGGGCTAACGAGGGAACTGTCTAGACATCTTTGTGGATAATGTGCACATTGAGCTGTCGCTCTGGGACACGGCGGGCCAGGAGGAGTTTGACCGGTTACGCAGTCTGTCATATGGTTCGTTCTTTTTTTTTTTTTTTTTTTTTTTTTTTTTTTGGAATTTGGCTACGAGTCCTGTCGCATGATTTCCCGTGCTCCTCCTTACTGACGTTCCACACGCAGATGACACCGACCTTATTATGCTCTGCTACAGCGTCGACAGCAAAGACTCGCTCGAGAACGTCGAGTCCAAGTGGGTGGGCGAGATTGCCGACAACTGCCCTGGCGTCAAGCTTGTGCTGGTTGCCCTCAAGTGCGATCTGCGCGAGGGCGGCGACGAGGACGGTGACGATGCGGCAGCAACAGGCGGTGCCGCCAAGAGTGGCACGGACCCGGATGCGATCGCCAACGGCTCCGAGATTAGCCCTGTGGGCGCTGCCGGCGGCAACGGCGCAACGCGCGAGAAGAAGCCGATGATCAACTACGACCAGGGCCTCGAAGTCGCCCGCCGCATTAACGCGATGCGCTACCTCGAGTGCTCGGCCATGCGCAACCGCGGCGTCAACGAGGCCTTCACGGAGGCGGCGCGTGTGGCGCTAAGCGTGAAGAAAGACCGGGAAGGCAGCAGCTGCACGATCATGTAAAGGGAGGGAGACACTCGCGCCACCTTTCTGCCGAACACTCTGGTTTCTTCTGTCTTGTGTTGTACATATACCTGTGTCCTGGGCCGCGCCTACCGGGGGGGACTCTTCGCTCTGCCCGGCCTTGCATTGTCCCCTTTTTGGATTATCGACTATCGCCCGTCTGCGGTCGCTCGCTCCGGGGCCGCTTCGCCCACTGTTTCCTGTTTCTGCTTTTTCCGCTGCGCCACCGGCCCTCGACGTTGGGCCGTGCTCTTTCTTTGCACATAACGACTTCTTTCTCTTACACTCCAACATACATCATGCTTTCTTTTGTCCACCATCGGCCACTGCTGCCTTCGACACATTCTTGGACACAGGTTTCTGTTCCGTCCTCTCCTGTTTTGGCTTCCCTCGAAATGCGTTGCCTTGCTATATTTCGTCTGGCAAACAAAAATTGTATACAAAATAGATGAGGGCCGAGAAGGAAGGACATCTGTGGTCGTGTCATGCGTCTCACTTGGCTGCTTGGTTCTTGTTGCTCCACGCCGTCACACGAGCTTCGGCGTTGTATTGTCCAGTTGCACTCCTGTGCCTTGTCTCTTTTGTCTCTTGTTATTGCGTCTTTAGTCATTCCTCTTCTTCTACTACCACCCCCTTTTGATTGTTTTTATAACGTTTTTAATTTCAAAGTATTATGTCGGCCTATTTTCCTTTTTTTTTTAGTAAATGCTTGGTGCCTAGTTGCTTTAAATGTCTGTGTTCTTGAGAAAGTGCTCTTCTTTCATCGGTACCTAAATTTCTATTAAAAAATAAAATAAAATAAACTGTATACCGAAATAGGTTCGAACCACTGCAGAACATTAACAGCTTCCATATTCGTTGTGTTGATTCAGACTCGACTCCGCGACATTGCAAGTGCCTTCCATTCGTTCCTGTTGTTAGAGCCTTAGCGGCCGGCTCTGGCGCCCCTTCCCCACTGAAACTTTTTCTGCCTGCTCTCTGTTCCTGCCTTCAATTTTTGTTAGTGAGGGGCGCACCTTCCGCCGTTAGCAGTGGCCGATGACGTGAGGCGGACACTCCGTCTAAACGGAAGGCGCTTCAGAATTTTGACCTACAGCTCCCATCTGGATATATCCACGGCACGCGACATTGTCTCAAAACACGCTTTCCTGTAGCCATTGGCTCCGCACTCCACGTCGAGCCCTTTTCTTTTGTCTTGTTCCTTTTTAGTCTGTTTCCGTCTTCTGTTTGCCCCATGTCGTCACTCCTGGCCCAGGCCAGCCACAGCCGGCCACTGCAGCTGGCGGCGACGGCGATTGTGTCGGGCGCGGTCGCCGTCGGCGTGCTCTTGGGCGTCCAGCACAACGTCCAGGCGTCACGGCTGCGTCGTCTGAAACGGTCAGTCGCCAACGATGTGGCCGCGGAGGAAGCCGCGGAGGCGGTTGGCGGCAAGACAGCCGCGTCGAGAAAGGCACAGGCCAACGGCGGCGTCGACCACAACGACCTCGGCGAGGTGGTTGAGACGGAAGACCCGGAAGAGCTGCGTGCCCTCGCCCTCGCCCGCCGCGCCCAGGCCGGCGACTACGCCGAAGAGGTCATTCTGGAGCAGCTGACGCGCAACCAGGCGTTCCTGACGCCGCAAGGGCTGCAGAACGTGCGCGATGCCGTCGTGGTGGTTGTTGGCTGCGGCGGGGTCGGCTCGCACTGCGCGGCCGCCCTCGCCCGCAGCGGCGTGGCACGCATCCGCCTCGTCGACTTTGACCAGGTGTCACTGAGCTCGCTCAACCGGCACGCCGTGGCGACGCTGGCCGACGTTGGCCGGCCCAAAGTGCGCGTCCTGTCGCGGCGGCTGCTGGCCGTGGCGCCGTGGGTGCGGTTCGATCTGCGCGGCGAGAAGTTTGACAAGGCGTCGGCTGCGCGTCTCCTGGGCCCGTGGCGGGACGCGGACGTCGAGGGTGCGTCGGGCGCGGGAGCTGACGGCACCAAGGAGCGCCCCGTGTCGTTTATTGTCGACGCCATTGACAACATCGACACCAAGGTCGAGCTGCTGCGCTACTGCCACGAGCACAAGCTGCCCATTATCGCGTCCATGGGTGCCGGCACCAAGAGCGACCCGACCAAGGTGGTGGTCGGCGACATCGGCTCGAGCGCCGAGGACCGGCTGTCGCGCGCAACGCGGCGGCGGCTCAAGCTGTTGGGCATCACGAGCGGCATTCCGGCCGTGTACTCGACGGAGCGCACAGAGGCGGGCGACGGGAAGGCTGCGCTGCTGCCGCTGCCGGACGAGCAGTTTGCCAAAGGCAAAGATGCAGTGCGTGAGCTGGGTGCGCTGCCCGACTTTCGTGTGCGTATCCTGCCGGTGCTGGGCACGATGCCGGCGGTGTTTGGCTACACGCTGGCGAACCATATTCTCTTGGTCCTTTCTGGTGTGTTTATCTGCGTCTGAGAAAAAAAAAAAAAAAAAAAACCATGCTGACAATATAGGCTACCCACACGACTATGCGGCCGTCAAGGGACGTGACAAGATGTACGATCAGATCCTGGCGGCTGTGCACGGCTTTGAGGAGAAGATGGTGCGCCATTTTGAAGAGGCCAGCAAGACCAAGACGGCGAATGGCGACACTGCCCTCACCGACGACAGCAACAGCAAAAAGGACAAGACGAGCAAAAAGGACAAGAAAAAGACGACGCCGTATGACGCCAACTCCGCCGCCGTCGGCCTGCGCGTGCCCTTGACGTCGGCCGACGTGGCCTTTCTTGTCGAGGAAATCTACCGCGGCCGCAGTGCCGTTTCGGGTCTGCCCACGCGCACGACGCTTGTCCGCTGGCAGCTGCCACAACGCGCCCAGGGCGCCGACGGCATCGTCGAGTCCCTGCTGGACCGTGTGCGCCCAGCGGCCGCAGACCTCGAGGGCGACATGCCCCTGCAGGCCGAGCAGAAGACGGCTCGCCTGCACCTGGGCGACCTTGTGTGCATGACGCGCGAAGAGGCCAGCCGGCACCAGGATCAGATCCTGTTCCAAGGCCGGCCGCTGTCGAGCCTGTACGACGAGGCCACGCTGGCGCGCATCGAGGCGCGGCGGCACGAGGCGGCCGAGTATGAGAAGTATAGGTAAAGCTCATGGAGGATATACACAAAAAGTCCCGTTTACGTCATGATCGATTTTTTTAAAAAAATATTTGTTTTGCATTAGAACCTTGTCCGTACGATTTGATACCATAAATTCACAGTCTTCCGTTGACCGTAGTATGCTCTGCTCATGACCGAATAGTACAAACGCCTGCCGTGATACCGTCCACCTTTCTAATCCTCGTCTCGCTGCAGTCCTTGCCGGCTGCGTCCCAGACTCTCGGCCAGACCCATGTTGCCGACCTTTTTGCGCAAATTGGTACTGAACGACGACGTCATGGCGCCTGCGCCCGTTCCCGCCCTCAGTTTGGCATCGTCGGCCCGCGCGCGGTCGTCTGCTTCCCGTGCAGCTGCCTCCGTGGCCTCGATCTCGGCGAGCCGTGTCTCGCGCTCTTTGGCGAGATCGGCCGCGTTGGCTTGCATCGCGGCCAGCTTGCGCGCGCGCTCGTCTGCGTCGCTATTGCTGTTGCCGTTGCGGTATGGCGGTCGTCCGTTGTCCCGCCGATCACGGCCATTTCTGTCCTCGTGGTTGTCTCGGTGCGGCCGTTTGTCGCGGCCACCGTTTCGGTCCCCGTTGCGGTCGCCTGCTTCCCGACGTGAAAGGTCGCCATTGTCGTCTCTCTCTCCCCGCGGCCGCTCGTGTCTTGGTGGCGAGCGGGAGCGCGAATGTGATGGTGAGCGAGGACTCCGGTCTCGACGGTCACGGCGGTCGCGTGGACTGCGATCTCGCCGCCTGTCCCGCGACCGATCGCGCCCTCCGTCGTCCCTCCGGCTCGCGCCCCTGTCTCTGTCTCTATCGTCATAATTGCGGCGCGAGCTTCGCCGGTCATCTTCTGGTGATTCCCGCCGGGCTCGTCTTGAGTCACGATCGCGTCCCCGGTCTTGTTCTCGGTCTCGGTCACGGTCTCTTGAATCGTCGCGCCGCCGTCTCTTATGCCGCCGCTCGTCGTCATCGTCTCGGTGGCTGCTGCGGTGATGGCTGCTTCGGTGATGCGACCGGCGACTGCTGCTGCTGTGGCTGGTCTTTTTCCGGTCGCCGCTGTCGTCACCCGCCACGCCCATCGCCGCCATTAGCTGTCGCCGCCGGATCGGGTCGTTGACCATGGCCTCGTAGGACTGTTGTTCCTGGCGCTTGATTGCGAGCAGCGGGTCTTCGCGGATTTTGGCGGCCATGTCGCGCGCCGATGCTGCCGTGGGAAGCGCGCCGGCCGCACCAACGGCCGACGGTGCGTCGAGTGACGCAAACCGGTCCGGCACTGCATTCTTCTCCAGTTGCTTGTGCTCGTCGCCCCGCAGCACCGCATCGATGCGCCGCTTGCCCAGCAAGAACGCCTCGGCCTCTTCCGTCACCATGCCGCCATTGTCTGTCGAGGGGCCCTGGTACATCCAGTCCACGCGGTCGACGCGCTTGGTGCCGCCGGCCGCCTCAAGCTGCCGTGTAATCTCCTCTTCCTGGCGCTCTTTGCGCAGCTCTTCGATGCGCTCATTGACCTTTTTGCGCTCGGCCAGCGCCGCCTGCTCGCTCTCCCATACTCGTCGCTGGTTCTTGAGGTTGACGACGTGCCAGCTCTTTTTCGTGTTGAGATCGCCGCTGCCCATGGTGATTGTAGGAAGGCCGTGATTGTGTCGAGATGGGGTTGTTCGGGGAAAAGAAAAAAGGAGGACGAGGCAAAAACAAGAGAAGGCTGGGAGAAATGCCTGTTTGGCAGTTGCCTCCCAGAAGCACGTGCACACGCTAAAAATGGGAGCAGGCTGAAAAGTGGCCCGTGCACCCATGACGGCGGGGCGCTCTTTCCAGTAGTCTATCTTGCCTACCCCAGTGGAGCTCTTTCCGCTTTCTGGAGCTTGGCTGCCCACTGTAGCAGTCCCCTCTTCTCAATCCCAACTTCCTTCCTTTCGACGTCGCTTCCTCTGTTTTGCATTTATCACGAACTTTTTGCACGACAACGTCCCCGAACAGTCTCTTCCACGATACTTAGCCACGCTCTAGCCGCACCATTGCTACTGTTGTCCTCCTATCCATCTGACTTTTCCTATCCCCTCGACTGTCGTACAATCCTTCCGTCTTACCCCACCCTCCACCGTCGCCAGCATGTCGGACGACGACTTCATGCAGGAGTCAGACGAGGAGGAATACGACTTCGAGTACGAGGACGACGAAGACGAGCCGGATGCGGGCGAGGTGACGATCGAGAACAAGTACTACAATGCAAAGCAGACGAAGCTGTCCGACCCAGACGAGGCCATTGCCGAGTTCCTCGGCCTGCCGGAGCTCGAGCCGGAAAAAGGCGACTGGGGCTTCAAGGGCCTCAAGCAGGCCATCAAGCTGGAGTTCCGGCTCGGGCGCTACGAGGAAGCCGTGTCCCACTACAAGGAGCTGCTGACCTACGTCAAGTCGGCCGTCACGCGCAACTACTCGGAAAAGTCCATCAACAACATGCTCGACTTTTTCGAGAAGACGTCGGCCGCGTCGGCCGCCGCCGGCGACAAGCGCGCTGCCAACTTCATGGAAGCCTTTTACGAGCTGACGCTGACGTGCTTCCAGAGCACAAACAACGAGCGGCTGTGGCTCAAGACCAACATCAAGCAGGCCAAGCTGCTGCTGGACCGGCAGCGGTACGTCGACGTCATGAAGAAGCTGCGCGACCTGCACCGCGCCTGCCAGCGGCCCGACGGCTCCGACGACCCGTCCAAGGGCACGTACCTGCTTGAGATCTACGCCCTCGAGATCCAGATGTACGCCGAGCGCAAGAACAACAAGCAGCTCAAGCAGCTGTACCAGCGCGCGCTGACGGTGCGCTCGGCCGTGCCGCACCCCAAGATCATGGGCATCATCCGCGAGTGCGGCGGCAAGATGCACATGAGCGAGGAGAACTGGAAGGACGCCCAGAGCGATTTCTTCGAGTCGTTCCGCAACTACGACGAGGCCGGCTCGCTGCAGCGCATCCAGGTGCTCAAGTACCTGCTGCTGACCACCATGCTCATGCGCTCCAACATCAACCCCTTTGACTCGCAGGAGACCAAGCCCTACCGCAACGACCCGCGCATCGCCGCCATGACCGACCTCGTCGAGGCCTACCAGCACGACGACATCCACCGCTACGAGAACGTCCTGCACCGCAACCCCGACCTGCTGCAGGACGCCTTCATTGCCGAGAACATTGACGAGGTCACGCGGAACATGCGCACCAAGGCCGTCCTCAAAATCATCGCGCCCTACACCCGCCTGCGCACGCGCTGGATCGCCGAGCAGATCCGCATCAGCGACGCCGAGGTGCAGGACATCCTGGGCTTCTTGATCATCGACGGCCGCATCTCCGGCACCATTGATCAGCAGACCGGCATCCTCGAGCTGGCGTCCACGGTCGACGCCGACCGCGTCGAGGCTCTCGCCCAGCTGTCCGCGGCCATGGCGGGCCTCGCAGCCGCCATGTTCAACAGCACAGCGCTGTCGCTGCGCACAGCCGCCAACGACATTGTTGGTTTTGCTAGTTCCAGGAACCAGGGGCACAGCGGAAATACCGGCGCGGGCAGCTTCTTTCCAAGGACGCCGCAAGGTCAGCGGTCACGAGGGCTTCGGGGCCAGTTCGGCGCGGCACGAGCGGCGGGCCTGGTAGACGATGGCAACTTTGGAGCTGCTTAGACGGTCTGGAGAGACTACTGCCAGTGCGACCCGGCGCATCCGCGTACCTTGTTTGAGCAAATCGTACGACACGGCGTCGGCCTGCAGCTACAGCCGTTGGCCGTGTCGGGTCAGTGGCTGCTGCGATGCCACCGAGGTTTGCCGATTTCATTATGGAGCCGCTTGACTTAGAATAACGACAACGTGTTTTGAATTACAATGGCATCACAGCCTCTGAGATAGGACCTTGCAGCAGCAAGAAAGCGCTTGAGTATTGCAGAGGTATAATGTATTAAATAGGGAGCAAAGCATCCAATACGATTTTCAACGACAAAGAACAGGAGTTGCAAGAAAAGTGACTAGAAAACGACAATGCAAAAGCAAAACCTCTTTGCAGAACTTGGTATTTCCCTCCATCACCGGTTTGGTATTCGCATTTCCGTCCATCCATTTCATCCGTGAAGTGGTCGTCGAATTCATTTCCCCATGTCTTCCATAATATTGGTTGCCAAACATAGGTAAATCGATAAATACGCACATTGAAAGAAATCAGAAATAAACAAAACAAGGCAGAAGACAATGTACGAAAATAAAAAAAGACAAAACAATCTGACAAAAGAAAGCATCGTAGATTAGAGAAAGAAGAAAGAGAGAACGCAAAGGCCGAAAGAACTAAAATTGCTCTTCCTGTGAGCGCACCAACTCGCACAGCGTGCGCAGGAACAGTGGGTCAATGGCACGCGCGGCCTCGGTGTTGAGCAGCGTGTTGCCCAGCTGCCCAGTCGTCAGCTTCATCGTGGCAACCAGCTGGCTGATGCAGGCGTGCAGCCCAGCGTGGAGGTCGCGCATCGACGCATCAGAAGCGGCGGTAGCCGCTGCAGCAGCAGTAGCAGCAGCAACCGTAGCGGGGACGCCTTCGGTCGGGATGGACACGTCCTCGGCCTCGTAAAACGGCTTGCTAATTTCGACCGACTTTGGTTTGGAGTTATTGCTATTGTTGCTGTTGCCACTTATGCTGCCCGGTAGAGACTTCATAATCATCTTGGACGCCACAGCAGCACGGCTGGCTCGGGCCGCAAAGGAATGGTCATTGGGATCAGCCGCTGATGCTGCAGCTGCCTCAGCTGACTCCGAAATGGACTGGGCCATGCGACGGCGCATCGAGTTGTAACGGCGGACCAAGCTGCTGCTGCGTAGTGACGTCGGCGACGAGAGCTCAGACGCACCACCCGAGGCTGTTGACGGCTGCTTGCCACGACCGTGGCCGTTGATGGTACTGAGACTGCCCATGCTGGCCGTCTCTGGTTCCAGAGTCTCAGTGATGCCCAAGAGGAGAGCAGCCTTGCGCGAGATCATGCGACCGTCATCGTTGTCGCCGTGGGCGCTGTACCCGCGCGACGGCGGCCGCGACGACGACATGGACAGCAGGCGAGAGGATGTGTTGGCATTGAGGCGCATCTCGTCCAGTTCCTCGAGCGGCTGGTGCCGTGACCGCGTGCCATGGTCGCTCGGCGAGGGACCATCATCTGACATGGCTGGGAGAGGCACATCGGAGCCAACGTAGACACGAATCGTCTGACGACGCTGTTGCTGGGTTGTCTCAAACAGAGTCGCCGAGGAGGCCACCGTCGTCATGGTGTGGGAAGTCGTGACAGGATCACTCGAAGACGGTTGGGCGACACCAGGGACGACGCGAACATCGACCTCCGCCGCAGCATCCTCGGACGCTGCTGAAGGCGGCGGCGGGCACAGGAGGCTAATGTAGTTGAAGGCAATAATGTGGGCATACAATGCTTCGCACAGATAGTCAGAGCCAGTGGGGAAGATGCGCTTCAGGGAGAGGAAGCTGGCCTTGCCCTGCTGGTCGCCTTCGGCGGTGCCACCGCCGGACATTGACATGAAGTTGTTCTCGGTGCGACTACTGCCACGACGGCCATTGGTTGACAGGCGCGGCATCGAAGGGGTCATGCTCGCGGTTGGAGATGCTGGGTACTCTTTGTTGGAGCTACCGTTGAGGCCACCAATGCTGCTAGAGCTGTTTGACGACCGGAAGTTGGTAAACAGGTGCAAGTTGGGTGCGGCGGAACGAGTGTTGTTGGCAATCTTCTTGGGCAGTTTCCAGAAGCGGTGCGATGAGTTCGATGCCAACGAAGGAGCCGTCATGGACCGCGAGACGCCCGTCCCAAGGTCAAACGACATGCTGGTGGGCGACGTGGGCGACAGTGGCGGGATGCCGTGTGCCATGGACGTCGGGCTCGGAGGCAGGGCTCCTGGCAACTGGGGCGCCATCAGGAGACGGTAAGTGCTGTCGGCATCGGTCTGGCTGCAACGGCGGACCTTGCGCGAGTAGGTGCGGATGGTCTGGATAGAGAAGCTCGACAGATTGAGCATAGTCTCAGGAAAGCAAGAGACAGAGACACGAAGCGTGTCGACGACTTCACGTGGCAGGGGAATGCCGACGGTGCCCGGTTGTGAGAAGAACTGAAGCGGGACGGGCTGGGCCTGCTGTAGAGCCGACTGTAGCTCGTACTGGCCCGTTGTGGCAGCGGCACTGGAGAAGGCAGCTTCCGGTGCGGCGGCGTTGGGGGCTGTTCTTGGGCGGACATTTGGCGCCTCAATCGCTTCGGGCACGACGTCGCGTGCCTCGTCCGCATGCTGCTCGTCGTCGTCGTAGATAGTTTCCCGCTTGCGAGGGACAGCAGAACGACTATGTTGCTTCTGCTGCTGCTGCTGCTCCTGTGCCAACTCAAGCTGGCTCTTCGACGCGTGCTCGATCCATGACTGCAGGTGCGACGACGTCTCTTCAGGGTTCTCCACGAGAGCGGCCACGGATGCAATGGCAGGGCGTTCGTGGAGCTCTGGTAGCGCGTCAAGCGGGCGGCCCGGTGACACCGACCGAATGGAGCGGACGGAGCGCGGCGGCTGCTTGGAAAAGGGCATCATGGTCGCCAGCATGATCTTGTCTTGGCCCTCGTCGTAGTTGTAGGCCCCCTCAAAGTCACCAAAGAGATCAGCGTCGTTTTCGGCCAGATGCTTTTCGATCTCGCGGTCGTCGTCGTCGTGACCAGAAGCGGCACCTGTGTGATGGTCGGCGTCGCTGTCGTCGTCAAACTGGCTGACAAGGAGCGGCTCGACAAAAGGCTGTTCGCTCGCGTCGTGGGTGTTGTCGCCAACGTTCTCATTGGCGCCACTGCGAGTAACGGAAAAGACTTCGCGACCACGGCGAACGAGGTGCTCACTCGGGGTGGGCTTGTGAGCTGCCTTCTTAATGGGTGGCATGTCGAGAGGCGTGCGTGTCCGTGCAACGGGCTTGCGGTAGACGGTCTTCTCCAGTAAGACAGGAGGCTCCTCATGGTCTACAATGCTGTCTGTATCAAAGCGGCTGCGGCGTTCCGTGACGGCAAAGTCAGGCCGCATCTGATATTGAGATGAGGAGCTCGTTCGGGGACGGTCATTCAGTGCCTCGGCTCTCCTACCACGAGGCGCGTCACTGAAGACAGACACGTCGCTAAAGGACAGGAAATGCCGAAGCTTGTGTTCATGGCTATGGTGAGCCTTGTTTTGCTGTTCAGAGTCGTGTTCCCGGAACGGCAAAGCTCTCCGATCTTGGTGGCTGAGGGAGGAGCGACGCTGGGGCACGCCGGTGAACGTTGATGATACTGGCTCATCCGGGACGTTCGAAGTCTGAATCTTCTGACCGTTCTGCTTCTCGGCGGCGCGATCGTTGATCGCACGGAAATCGGTGGCAGGTGCATCGTTCATGGGGCCGACGGCCGTCTTGGGTCGCTGGGGAAGGCCTCCGTAGTTCACAGGAGAGACGGCGATGCTTTTAGGTTCGGCCGCGGAGTCGACGTGGGATGCAGGGCGGTTGCTGCTGACGCCGGTCATGTTCTTGATGTCACTGTACGTCTCATCCTTGTCGGAGTCGGCGCCGTCATCGTCATTGTCGTCGTCAAAACGCATCCAACTAGACTGTGAGACGGCACCTTCACGACTGGTCGACTTGTTGCGGCTCAGGGGCCGACCATATTCCTTGTCCTGGGCGCTCTTGGCCTTGCTGGCGTTCTCCTCCTGAACGCCACTCGCCGCGTCAACGCTGCCGTCCGATGTGCTGTCGGAGATGGCCTTGGTGCTACCGCGCCGGCTGGTGTCGAGGCTGAACTCGACGTGACGGTCGCCTGACGATGCGGTCGTGGCAACGGACTCGCGCTGCGAGCCAGCGAGGCCGCTCTTGGCATACTGACCCAAGGCCGACGGCGTGGTGCGCGTCGATTGCGACGAGAAGCGGCACCCCGGACCGCCAGACGAGGTGACGGACGTGGCCATGGTGACGACCGACTGCTGGCGGCCGCGCGGGCCTCCTCCTCCTCCTCCTCCGCCGCCAGCGATGCTGCTAGCACCGTCGTCGATGTCTGTGTTGGTGATGGCGGAGATGTTGGAGCGGTTCGAGTCGTGGCTGTAGCGGTGGTAGCCGTAGTTGTAGGAGTCGTAGAGACTACCGTAGCTATCGCGGTGGCCGTAATTGCTGGGGGCGTCAACAGAGAGGTGATTCTGTTGCATCTGTTGCTTCTGCTGCTTCTGCTGGGGAAGGAGCGGCGTCGTGTGTGCGGGAAGGTGCGTTTGAGTCTGCTGCGGAAAGTGCGACGGGGTGTCGTCGGTCTGCTCTTTTCGAACGCTGTCCCTTTCCCTGGTGACCTGCGGCTGGCTTTGTTCCTTCTGTTCAAGGTGGGTGTTGTCCTCTTCCTTGTCCTTGTGACTTGCCATGAGCTTCTGCTCCTGCTTCTGCTGCAGCATCAACTGTTTCTCCAGCAAGCTCTGCAGCAGCTGCTTCTCCTGCAGTTGTTGTTGGAGTTGTTGGAGCTGGCGGAGTTGTTTGAGCTGCTGCAGCTGTTTCCAGTGCTGGATCTGTTCGTCTTCCTGGTGCTGGACACGCTCGTGCATGGACAGTTGCGGCGCAGGCGACGACTTGGACTCACTGCCTTGTCCACCTCGACCTTGGCCACTGACACCCTCTCCTGGTCCTCCGTTTCGGCGCGACAAGCGAATGTTGGGCAACTCGAAGCTGTCAACACTGTCTGTGTCCCACTCGCCTGTGGTGTTGTGTCCCGGTTCTTGGTGGTGGGTGGCTACAGCTATGGGGTTCACAGTCGTACCCGCAGCGTAACGAGGCACAGCAGACGAGGAGTATGAAGGCGGGCCGTGCTGCTTGATTTTAGATCGCGATATGGAAAAGACAGGTCCTGGGCTGTTGCCACGGTCGCGGTCGTGGTCGGCGATGCCGCCGGCCGTTGTTGGTCTTTGACTGAGGCGCGTATCTGCGGCGTCATCAGAGTTGCTGAACTCTCCCCTGTGCTGGTGCTGGTGCTGGTGCTGGGATTGGCGCAGATACGAGGCCAGATCGTTGGGAATGGCGTGCGTAGTCGATTTGGAACGGGTGTGGTGGTCCTGATGGGCCGGTTGGTTATGTTTATGATTTTGGCCGGAAGACGGCGTTTTGCTAGGTAGAAATTTGCGAGGGGACGACGCATAAGCGATCGTGGCCGGGTTGCTGAGGCTACTGAGGTTGTTGAGGTTGTTGAGGTTGTTCAGTGCGCTCAGATTGCCGAGACTGTCCAAAATGCTGCTCGCCTCTTCGAGGCTCAGGTTGTTGAGCTTGTGGTTGAGCTGACCCAGGTCCAAGCCCAAGTCCTGGATGCTCTGGGACTCAAAAATGGCGTCCATGGGCCGCGGAGCACCGGAGGTCATTCGGTTCGACGGGAAGAGCGACTCGGCTGTTTCCAGGTCGAGCGCCAGGATCTCGGGGAAGTTGCACGCTGCGTCCATGGCGTGTGTAAAACAATGAGAGGATGGTGGAGACAAGGAGTACCGTGAGCCAAAGAATATGGCCGAGAAATGTGTTCACAAAGAGATAACAAACCGTGATTCGTAGAAGGCCTTAGGACGTGACGAAGGATTCGTTGTGTGCTATTCGTATATTTTGTGTTTGTCTGTGTACGTGTGTCTGTGTCTTGTGATAAGAGTCGTGGAGCATAAAGCGCAATGCTGTCTGGCTTGCAACTCCGTGTGTGCTTCCAATGGACTGTTGTGTCTGTCAAGTGCAGCCAGCGGAAGGAAGAAACAGTCGACAGATGAATAGGCAAGACGATGCTGTCTCTCTGTCTCTGACTCTGACTTGGTCTCTGCTTGTGACAGTTACACGCGGGCAGTGCAAAAGTCCTTCCGAGAGCGAGCGAGAGGAGCCCGGAGACGGAAATGAGCGACGACGAAACAAGTGGTGTACGTGGTTCGACTGTTGCGCGAGATAACTCGTGGAACGGAACGCAGGATGCTCGCGTAGAGGAGGACAAGAGAATCATATAAAAGACGGTGCAAAACACACGAGAACAATGAAAGTGTAGGGCAAGACGAGAAAAGAGAAACAACAAGGAAAGCGAAGTAAACTTCCGGGCCCGCCACGAGAGATCTCAGTCCGTCAATATTATATGGACCAGGACAAGCTTCACTCGTGTTGTCTGGTTGTTAGCTGTAGGTATCGGGACGCGTAAGGTGATGAAGCAAGAAACAAAAAATAAAGGGAGGTGCAACAAAATAGGAATAGAGATTTGAGAAGTGAAAACAAGAGACACAACAGAAAAAGGGAAAGGGAGGGCAAAGACGGAGAATAAGAGACACGAGGAACCGAAACCGAGCGAGAGGATAGGACGAGTTAGAAAAGAGTAAAATGAAATGAGGAGAAACATGCAGAGGCACGCAAGAGACACGCGAAGAGGAGGGCATGCAAAGTCCATGCAGGTGGGTGAAAAAAAAAAAAGGAACAGAAGCCACGCGAACGCCAGAGGAGGCGTAAGTACAGTGTCAATTACCGTTAGCCGATAACTCAGAGTGATGTAAAACATGAAATAAGGAGACGATCGAGATACAAGGACCAGGACGACCGCAAGACATACAAGAGACAAAGGTATTATTCTCAAGAAGCGAAGCGAGGGCTAGAAGCCGTTGCAAGCTAAGGGACCGATCAAAAGCCAGTAGTGAGGGTAGGGCGGGGGGGTTAGACGAACTAACTGTCACACAACCGACGACAACTAGGGTGTACAAGTAAACGACCAAACGGAAGACATGCATGTCCTCCGACAAAATTCAAATATACGAAGTGAAAAAGAAAAGGCAAAGGCACAAATCGGAACTGGGAAAAATACTACAAATAGAAAATCACGCGGCACACGAGGACAGCCAGGTCAGGGTCCAGGTACAAGGGAAACCCGAAAAAAACGGGGACAGGAGAGAGGCCCAGGGAAAGTAGAAACCGTGATACAATAAATAAACACGTACGGAAAGACGGTGCATTAGGGACCGCACACCAACATAAACGACAGCGGCAGACGATCCGTACGTTGGTGGCCGAGGGGAGTGGAGGCTAGGTGGAGGCTAGATTTAATGCGTGATGGACGGTGGATGACGGATGTTCTATACCGGAGCCCTGTAAGTCGGCCAATTGCTAAAATAGATCGCCTCGCCCAGAAGTGCAGATGCAGGCTGACAAAGTGCAGTAGCGTCCTGCGTGGCGCGCAGCAAGGGACGAACAGGAACAGGAACAGGACGGCCGGATGGTGGGATGGAGGGATGGATGCAAACTGGCACCGGCTTCGGGAATCGGGACAAAGATGGAGTACTAAGGCAAGGGAGAGAGATACGATGCATGGATGTGGGCATCAGACTCATGTCTACCCACGAGGCGAAAAAGAAAACGCACACGCATACAAAAGGGGCAAAACAGACAAGAGAATGAAAAATATGCTGTGGCACTGTAGCACGAATAGATAGCCATGTTCGTGATACACGTGTTTACTCCGTATGAGCAGAGTAAAAGGATCGACATTGGCGACGGCTGTAGTGCGGCTGCAAAAAGAAAGAAAAAACAGATAACGAAAAGGAAAACACACAAAAAAAAAGAAAATCCAAACTATTGAATTGATTGCATAACCTAGTGTCCAACTCATCTCTCGTGGCAATAGACGATGGAAGACGGCCATGATTTGTAAAAGCAAGAAAAGCAGAGAGCAAAGACAAAAAATCACAAAACAAGAGAATGACCACCCCGTGTAAGACATTTGGCAGTTGGTGCAACACGCCACAGGGGGCAAGACGAAGAGGATGCGTGCATATCGGGTGTCCAGTATCCTGCACGAGAGAAGCGCAAGAATAGAAAACAGAACTCGCTTAAAGCAACAACCAGGAGAGGAAAGCCTGGGCAAAGTGAACATAAGCCTATACGTGCAGGGAAAAGGGGCATAGGCACGATATCCTTTCCTTTTTTTGTTGCGTGCGTCTGAATTTTGCGAGTTCGACTAGCAAATTTGAAAACGAAGCTCCTAAAGCCCACCAATGCATTTGAGTGCTGCGTGCACCGTGGTATGCATCGCTACCTTGGTGTGTCTCAATTAGTGGACCTCGCGAGAGAGGAGCAAGACAGCAATGAGACATTTCTCCCTGCTTCGAGGCAATCATCAAATTAATGCCAGCCGCCAGGAGCGAGAGGGCGCTACGGCCAGCTCAACTAGAACAACGCCAGCAAGACCAAACTCAATAAAGCTAGTCTGCGTGCAATGAGTTGTGGAATTTGGTACTATTCGCGCGGGAGATCCACATGCGCCTTCCCGGACTTGGGGCACACGTCCTGTGAAGGGCGACGCGAGGGGTGACGATGACAGGACAGGTGCAGCATGAGATGCTTGAGAACCAGGCGTCAAACCCACGTCGTGGCAACTGAGCAGATGTCGGCATGGGGAGCTTGCGGGGACGATCTTGGGCTAATTCGGAGGCTGAGTCCGATATACCTCCCTGTCGTCCTATTTCCGTAGTGGTTGTATCATAGTTGAAAAATGTGATTGGCGATTCTCTCTTGCCAGCTCACGAGAAATATCGACCCATCTCCCCTAGATCAGCGTTGGCATCTTGAAGTTTTGCAGTTTTGCAGTTTTGCAGTTTGGCAGTTTCGATGTCCTTAGGGTGGCTTGACTGAGCTGAACTGCTTATAAGATGCGGAGGACGAATGTAACTGGATGGTTACCGTACCTGTTAAGAATGTAGCCATTTAGCCCGGCTGCATGGCACGCACTTGACAATGGCGAACAGGCCTTGAAAAATACGACCCTGCCATGTCATTTGCCTTGCTCCAAGGCAAGGAAAGTCCCGCTCTCGGTTAACCGGGGTTCGTTCTCTTGATTCCCACTCGGTGAGATGACGTTTGGTGCTTGACTCGGGGCCGTTTCGGTTCGTACACGGCTACGTCGTTGTTGGGGTCGCGAGAAAAGAGTACATGTAGTTCGCTCTCATAAGCATGAGATAAAAAGGCAAGGGCAAGAAAAGCAAGAAAAGAAAAAGTACAGGATCCGTACATGCTAGGTGGAGTGGGGAGACCCTCGATGCGAGGGAGTGGAGAATATGCACACAGATCTGCAAATTCGTGCAGCTGAACTGTGGGTGTGATTGAAAACCAGTCTGAACTGTTGTGCCAGTACGTCAACAAGACGTAAACTTTTTTGTTAAACAAAAAAGGCTTGCAGGATCATCCGGTAGCCAGGGAGCGGATCGACATATGGCGTCGTGCCATGATCGGAACACGGAGGGGCACGAAGCACGACACGAAGATGCCCCTTTGCTTGCCAGATGCCGGTCGGAGGCATCGCATCGGAGGAAGGACGAGCCAAAGTGGTCAAAAGTAGCGAAAAGGGGGCGAGAAGTGGGGGGAAAGAGCAGGGAAATAGACCACAACTGCTGTATTCTAGTTATGTCTGAGGATGAGCGGCGTTAGTTTGAGAAGGAGGGAGAGAGAAGAAGGCCAAGAAATGCATTGTAAGAGCTCGAACGGCAGCAGACATGGAGGCGAGAGAGTCCAGCTTTTGTGATAAGTTACGTCGGGAGCAATGGTGAAAATATAGCGGTAGGTTGATGCTTTGAATTGTTGGATGATAACAGTAAGCAATGGAAGGGCAACTGAGAAACCCGTTGCTAACATCGACGGAGGAATGAAATGTAAAAAACAACAAAATGGAAGAAAAGAACAAAAGAACGAGAGGAAAAGAGGAAACAAGACGCAGGTCGCATGGACAGAATCGACAAATCAACATGCCCGACACAAGGTGCCCCCAATATGGGATCACGAGACGAGGCGAGCTTTATCATCCCAAGTAGACTGTAAAAACGTGCGAGGAGACTGCGACGCTTGCTTGTGTCTGCACTCGGATATGGATACCAGATAGTATATCCTTGCCGGGATACAAAGCGGAAAAGGAGGTAAAAACAGAAACAAGAAACAAGAACACGAGAGTTGGCAAGACACCATGAAAACAAAAGACGGCACAACAACAGGAATGCTAAGGCTCTGTCAGAAACAAGAGACATGCAAGGGAGTCCAGGCAAGGGGAGAGGGACAGACTAGGAGACAGGCGGACGCGGAAACGAGCTGCAAGGAGATGCGAATGAAGCAGAGAGTGACAAAGGGCAGAAAGAGGAGGCGAAAAGAGGCATCGACAAGGCCACTGGAGCTAGTCAAAATAGTGGCGGAAAGAGCCAGCCAGAGAGCACAGAACTTCGCAGTCTCTCCTTCCTAATTGGCCAGTCCTTACAACCCCGCCTGGACAAAGAGGCTGGACCGCTGCTCTCAGTAAAGGAAAGACCCACACTGCCGAGCACCTGCCGTTTTTTTAGCGGGCGGTGTGGCTTTGCGTCAGAGTCCCTTCCCATTCCACTGTCACCACACGACAGCTATCCATCGCTGTCACGAACTCGAACTGCCCCATCACGTCCGACCCGCCTTCGCTCACCTCCGCATCACCCTACGGCCACAGACGCCCGAGCCACACCAAAAGCCTCCCGTTCTTGACCCGATTGCAGGTTTTAGCATCGCTTCCTGGCTGGCTCGTGACCCGCATGCGCCACAGCGGCTCCCAACAAGCCTCTGTTGGTGATCCTCGGCCATCTCTCGAACCGCTGCACTGATCGTCAACATCGAGGTCAACGTCACCCGAGTGAGCATCCATCCACACGCATACGGCTTCGTCGGCGACACTACCTACATATCCGGTCACTTCTCTACGACCTCTCCCTCCCCCGTCTCCACCATGGCGGACAACATGCCCACGCTGCGGAACGACCTGTCCATGGTCGCCCGCAAGGCCCGGCTGACCTCGGCCGTCGAGGATGTTGACAACATCATTGCCCAGCTTCTCGAGGCCCGGGATAAGATTGCCGCAGGTTAGTTCTCTCTCTACGAGGCACTCGGGTCTTGGTCCTAAGCCCGATGTCTTCTGCCCACAGTCCTCTAACGATGCAGCAGAACAAGACCCGCATGCGGCCAGCCTTATCTTGACGAAGTTGCAGAATCCGATAAAAGAAGGATTCGAGGCTGTCAACAATGACCTCAAGGCGGTCTCGAAAACACAAAAAGAGTTCGGAAAGGCTCTGGATCGGGTGAGTGCATCCTTCCCCCCTCCCTATCTCCCTTTGTGCGTGCTTCACTAGAGGCAGGCACCTGCACCACCCAAGCTAACACTCTCAGTCCTTCCCGATCACCCCGCTCCCGACAGAATACGATGTCATGCAGAAACATCCTGCCCTTATCAACCGTGCCATCGCCATGCACCTCCTCCGCGAAGGCCATTTTGATGTATCCCGTGTCTTCATGGATGAGGCACGCGACATCGCCGCTATCGACGGGAGCACTGCTGGCGGCGCAGACGACGACCAGGCCGACGACGACGACGCTGGCGATGACGCATCCATGACCAACGGCGACGTCGAGTTTGACGGGCACGGCAACTTTACACAGACGGAGTCCATCTACCTGCAGGACAAGTTCCAGCGGATGTACTCTATTTTGCAGGACATCAAGGCACACAACGGGCGATAGGCGATCGACTGGGCTCGCGAGAACTCGGAGGAGCTCGAAGAGCGCGGCTCCAACCTCGAGTTTGAGCTCTGCAAGCTGCAATTCATCTGGCTCGCCAAGTCGGGGATGCACGAGCCGCGGGGCGAGTATGATGACAGCGAGGAGGACGAGGAAGACGGGGAGGGGTTTGGCCATGCCGACTTCGCCGACGCGTTCGAATACGCGCGCACCAACTTCCACCGCTTTAGCAAGCGCCACCTCGGCCAGATCCAGCGCCTGTCGGCTGCGCTCGTTTTCTCCTCCAACATTGACGAGTCACCTTACGCTGTGGCCTTTGCGACCAGCACCGCCTTTGCCGACCTGGCCACGTCATTCACCCGCGAGTTCTGTTCCCTGCTCGGCCTGTCCGCCGAGTCACCACTCTACGTTGCCGCCACGGCCGGTACCATTGCTCTGCCGCGGCTAATCAAGTTTATCGGGGCCACCCGCAGCAAGCGCACCGAATGGACCACAGCAAACGAGATGGCCTTTGAGACGCCGCTGCCCGAGTCCATGACCTACCACTCCATCTTTGTCTGCCCAGTCTCCAAAGAGCAGACCACGGCCGCCAACCCGCCCATGATCTTGCCTTGCGGCCACACGTTGGCACACGACTCGTTGCGGAACATTACAAAAGGCTCAAAGTTCAAGTGCCCGTATTGCCCGATTGAAGGCCAGATTAAGGATGCCCGCCAAATCATTCTATAGGACCACCACGCACCTTGACACGCAACGTCGCGTTTTCCTTTTCCTTTGCTGCTTTTTGACCACACTGCTACTTTTTGCTTTTCGTCTTCCACTGTCTTTATTTTTTCATCGCTGGCGTACTTGTGGGACGGCTTGTTGGATATGGCGTTTTTGATTTTTGTGTGTGCTTATTTCATAGGCTCTTTTTGCTGTTCTGGATATACTGGCTAGTCGTTTCAGTCTTTTTGTTGCAGCATCACCGCAGCTACGATTCTTTTGGGACATGGCGTCGGGAATTTTTCAAGGTTGGCTAGGAATCGGCGTTGAACGGCAGCGCCCAGTGGTTTTTTATATGTTATCTTATTTCTCTCGGCTCCGATACTTCAGTTGGCATTACCAGCCAGAATAAACATTTGAACATTACATTCATAATCAACAGAAGAGCAGTGTCAAGTTAATAAGCCAGACTCGACTGCGGCGGATGGCCGCTTTATGTGTATTTAAGGAACAACTGAACAAAATGTGACACCTTCATGAAGCTACGGTATCAGATACGATAAAAGGAGAAAATCGAGGACAAGATGAAAACAAAATACATTGCCGAACGTCTCTCGGCCATGCCCATCAGCCCCTAACCTTTCCCTGCCTTTCAAATAAATAAATAAAACGCCAGAGTATATATAGTAAGTTTGAAACGGAAATACGGTTGATTTTGGAAACAAAACAAAAACAAAAATAGAATGGGGGCTGCTATCCCTCTAGGGAGGAATGCCCCGGTGATATAGACAAGGAAAGACGACATCATAAAGTCATGAAACGTAGGGTGGATGGTGAGGAGGTACGGAATACAGAATCTCGGCTTTGGGTTCGGACAACAGCCAATCTCCTTTTGGTGCAATAATGTGTTCTGCTGTTCTTTTGGGTTTTGTGAGGTTATATCGACGAGAAGACCGGTGGAGGCGATAAGTGGCACGCTCGGTAGTTTTCAGCCCCATGTTTAAATTCGAAGAAATTAAACCCGAAAGGGGCGGCCGCGCGGAGGTGGGGACGCGTCAGGAAGGAATGTAGATTTTTAAAGAGAGAAAACAAAATGGAAGAGAAATAACGCGAAATGAAGTGGACAAAATTGCGAGGAAAGCAGGAAAAAGACGGGCCGGCCGCTGTGGTCTTTTTCTGTCTGTTCCAATGTCTAATCTCCGCCCCCTTAGTCAATGGTCATTCGGCTGGGAAGAGGGGCCTTCATGTCGTTGAGGCCAATGGAGTTCACGTCGTACTGCGCCGTCTTCTCCTCGCCATCGGAGCGCTTGAGAATGTGTGCCTTGAGGCCGCTGCCAAAGTTGCGCATGCACACAAAGGCGTTGGTAATGGTGAGGACGATGAGCAGAATCGTCAACACTGCAAAGGCCGTCAGTGACTTTTGCACGGCGGTGTAGTTGTGCTTGTAGCCCGCCTCGTAGATGCGCACGAGCTTGAAAAAGAACCAAGCCAGGCCGCACATGTACAAGACAATGCTGATGGCCATGCCGATCTTGATTTCATGACGCGTGAAGAAGGCCGCCATCAGCAGGATGGCGATGGTGATGGGAATGGCTGCGGCCGTGAGGGCGAATTCGACGTCGGTCTTGCCTGTGACAATAACGAGGAACTGGACGGTGAATCCGAGGAAGAAGAAGAAATCAAACTTGAGCAGCGCAATGTAAATCTGGTAGGCGAGGAAGCGCTTCTTCATGCGGTAGTCGGCGCCGATCTGCTTGAGAATGTCCCAGGCAAACTCCTGGTACAGCTTCCATGCAATGAAGCCCATCACGACCGTGGCAACACCAATAATGATGGGAATGGCAATAAGGAACGGCCGGACACGGGCCATCAGCGCGACACTGCCAATGTCAGGGTTGATGGCGCCGATGGCGGCCAGTGAGTTGATGGCGAGATTGATCTGGTCGGTCTGGATGGCCGTGTAGATGAGGAAGGCCAGGTTCGCAATGCAGATGCCAATGACCTGAATCGTGTTTTTCATGCGGAGAGCGTCCCACACAAGTACCAGCTCGTACAAGAAGGCGAAAATGAAGAGGGTCAGGAATGTTGGGATGGAGCGGTAAAAGGAGTTGTTTTGGCTGTTGTCCTTGTTCTGGATGACGTTGGACTCGAACTCAGCAAAGAGGTATCTGCATGGTAGTTAGCATCGTCATCTCGCGGTCAGATGGGGAGGGTCCCCGGACGACCCGTGTCTTTGTACACACGCTTCAAATGCCAGGCAGATGATGGCCTGCAACAGGACGGTCAGGGCAAAGGCCTTGGCCCATTTTGTTTCGACAAAGCTGAACATCTTGCGCGGCGGTTCGGCAACGGCGTTCTCGCGATAGTAGTAGCCGTTGTTGTTGAACGGCTGTTGGGCAAAGGCAGGATCCGGTGTCAGAAGCGACCGCCGGGACTCTTGACGGGGCGCCAGGGCGGGCGAGCTTGTGGGTGTTGCTGCCGGGAATATAAGAGTTGAAGGCGTCTTGACGCAGGCGTGGCAGAGAGGCGGGAAGAATCAAGAATCAAATTTTCTGTCGTCGCCGTCGTGTGAACGTCGGTAAAAGAGCGGCGGCAGAATACGAGAAGAAAATCACTCGTGAACGTGACGAAATGGAGTCGGGTGGTGCCGAGTGGAGATGGAGAGAGGGTGCCGGACGCGAGGGATGGCGACGTGGCTGCCCTTTCGTATTCGAAATGCGGGTTGGCGGAGTTGTTGCTTCGCGTGTTGCAATGGCGGTCGTGGCAGAGAGACAGAGAAAGGGGGAACGGAGAGGAGAGAGAGATGGTGTCGATGCGATGTGAAGGGTGACGAAATATGGAAAGGAGGGACAGTAAGCAGGGAAAAGCAGGAATAAGGGAAGGAGCGGAAAATAGATGCAAAATGGAGGATGATGGAATGTACGACGTAGAAAATGAAAATAAACGAGTTCTGGGAAACTCCGGACGCTGGAGGCAAGAGCGACCAAGATGGAGATGGAGGGTGACCCTCTGGCCAAAAAGCGGGCCTGCAGCCGCACTTATTCTCCCGGCGTTTTAGGAGGGACGCCGCTATACGAGGGCATGCAGCAAGCAAGGAGGGAGGGTGGACGAGACAAAGAGGCAAAATACAATATACTTTCGTCGGATTCATACAGTATCTTACCCAAAACACAGAGAATCGTCAGCGCACGAGGTCACGCTGGAGAGACCGAACCCTGAAAACGTGGTTTGGGGTTGCAACCAGGGAAAGAGCAAAGGGATCACAAAACAGGGCATATCGTAAAGAGCGATGGGTTCCAGGGAGATGCGGGCCAGGGGTCCTCCTGCCTGTCTGGGATGCGCAAGGCTTAGTCGACAGAGGTAGACGTCTGGTCTGTTTCCTGCAACTCTCTTCACACTGGAGGACTTGGAGCGGCAGGACCGCTTGTAAGTTATTTACTTCTTAGGGGTGCATGCTGCACTGGAACCGTGCTGGCACGCTGTGGCAGTCCTCCCGTCTGCTTGTGATCCCGGGGCAGATGAAACAAGATCGGAGAAAGATGTGTTCGAAGGCGGAAACAGGGGCTCAGGAGGCGGCACTGGCTGCCTCGGTATGAGGTCTGGAGGTGTAAACAGCGCAAGGAGGGCAGAGGTCGGCATCGATGAAATGTTGAAAAAATGAAGTGGACAAAAATTTACAAGAGAAAAGTGACAACCCAATACAATTGAAAATGGAGTCACAGGGCAACACAGGGCAACACAGGGCAATACAGGGCAATACAGGGCAATACAGGGCAATACAGGGCAATACAGGGCAAGAACACCTTGGAGTAACCAAGACGTCGAAAGAGGCCAGAACCACCAACGTCGACTTCGCCGTGGGGGAGAGATCGACCTAACGACACTGCGCCTTCCTCAGAAATGGATTCGAGTAAAAAGAAACAGCAAGTCCGGACGACATCGACTGTCTTCCTGCCACCAAATGGGGCGCATCTGCACTAAAAGTCGCAACGGCCGGCCGCTAGGCAGGGGAAAACACGCCAGAACCCGCTAAAAGTATGGCGGAGCAGCGGCGGGTCAGGAACGCCTGCAAGAACGAGAGAAAAGGGAGGGACTTTTGCGAACCAGAGAGGTGCAAGGTCAGGGTCGCCCTCACATCGTCCATGACTTCCTTTGTCCTGCGTACCGCCGGAAATCCCGAGGGCGATCCGCATCCGAATTTAGGGGACGATTTGTATTGGTGCATTTCAGCAGGTTAGCGAGTAGATTTAGTGGGCTGACCTGCTAAAAAAAGACACTGAACCTGCCGCTAGCACAAACAGTGGGATTTTTCGCTCTCAAAACATGTGTTGTTCCTTCCAAATTCGGCCGCTTTGTGCGAGCAGCTGTTCCGCCCGCGGTTGCCCAAACCGTGCACAACGACCGTAGCACAGTGCAATGCGGCGACAGGCCTCTCATAAATCTTACAACATATTCCTCATGGACAATACACAGGGAGATCTTCAGCGCTTGGCCCAGCTTGGCCCAGCTGGGCCACCAGTGTAACTGTCACAGCCTCCTTGTTAAACAATGCCAAAAGGCAGTGGCCGAGTGGCTGAGTAGGTAGTTTGGAGCGAGGGGTTGAAGTGCACATGAGCCGTGCATGATATAATTTGCACTGTAGTTAGCACTGTATTTATCGCTTATCGCCGCAGACCCCCTGAAGAAAAAAATGGGGCGGCTGGCGCGTGCGCAGTGGCAGGGCCGCGAAAAACTAGTGCGCAAATGCAGAAGCGCCGGCAGAGCATCGCATCGCATCGCGTCACGGCGTCTGATTCCCACGTTTCCCACCAAAAACGCCGATGCGCATTGGAGGCCCGCCTTTTCGGAACTCCATCGGGCCGCTCTGCTTCTTGCACGCCACACGGTCGACAACGGACGTGGTGCACTGCATCTTCAGCAGACCGTTTGTCTACCTACCTTCCTTTGGACGTCATCTCAAGTCGCGTGCGTCGCCTCATCTAGCCGCGACAATGGAGATTGATTCGGACGAAGAGCTTCTGCACCGGCTCGCGGCGGGCGGGACAATGAATTAGTGCGTGGGCGTTGCCAATCCGAGTGACTGCGGGGCGGGGCGGCTAGACGTGCCGAGATCATGCCAAGAGACAACTTGCTAACACGTTCATCTTCCCAGCGACCTCTGGCCTCGCCTGCTCGAGACTGTCATTGCTCGCCTTCACGAGGTATGCGTCCACCTTCTCTGTTGTCATTAATGGCCCCGGCAGCGATACCATGCTGACATCCTACTCCTCGCCAGATCGTCGAGAACGAGTATCCCATTCCCGTCATCCCTCCGCCGCGGCGGACACAGTCAAAACTCCCCCAACCGACATGGCCAAATTGGTCCCACCACGATGCTGCGAATGGGGTCGGCGTGGCGTCGTCGTCCCGTGCGCCCGTGTCGAGTCCAAGCCGTGGAGTCGACGCCGGGGGTCGGCCGGACGTCGACAAAGAGAACAATGACCCCGACTCAGCAGCGGGCCCGTCCACTGCGGCTAGTGAGAGCAGCAGCAGCAGCAATGGCCCCTCCAGTAGCTCTGCAGCCGTTGCGGCACCTGCCGAAGGTGCAGAAAACGGCTCTTCTCGCAACGGGGTTGCAGCACCGGACGCCGTCCCTCGCATTCCTAGGCCCGTCCTCGAACAAGTCGATTACATCATTACCACCCTCAAGACCACCTTTCGCAAATATCCCCCGCACAGCATTCAGCGCCTCGCCGAGCTGATCATCGCCCCGCGCCAGCACTACCGCTACCTCGCCCCCTACCTACACGCCGTCGACCGCGTCGTCAGTGTGACGAGCGGCAGCAACGCCTTCCCACTGCCGCCCGCCGTGCCCGAGCCCGAAGCCATGGAGGCCCTCCAGGCCGCCGTCATCCCATCGGCACCAGCAGACCCCGAGGACGAAGACATGGACGGGGGCGGTCTGGCCCTCGCCGCCAACCCGGCCAGCGACGACCCGCTCGGCGCCCTGCTTACACCCATTCCCTGGCTTCGCCAGCGGCCGCCCAGCGGCGCGGGCACCATGACCGACGACGACGGCTCGAGCCCGCCGAGCTCCTCCGACGGCAGCGACATGGCGTTCAGTGCCACCAGCAGCACGGCCGGGTCCGTGCACGGCGGCGGGGCGAACGCGTCTCGCGCCCCCGCGTCGCTGCTCCAGCAGCAGCAGCAGCAGCAGCAGCAGCAGGCACAGTCGCCTGTATCTCTGCAGGGCCACCCGCCGCAGCACCGGATGGAAGTGCGGACCGAGGCGACCGAGACGATTGACGGGCCCAACGGTGTGGGCAGCATCGAGACCGTAAGCGTTTCGATCAACGGCATACCCAGCCACGGCGCCATGATGGCGGCGGTGCAGCGCCAGCAGCAGCGGGGCATCACGCAGGGCGAGCTGCTGCGGCAAGAGCAGACGGCCGGTGTTGTCCCTGTCAGCCAGCTGGCCCGGGTTGCGGCCGCACGAGCAGCGGCAGCGAGCGGTATGCCTGGGTTTGGCGACCGTTTCCGTCCCGGCGCACACGACAACGATGACGAGGACGACGAGGACGACGAAAACGACGACATGGACGAGGATGATGACGACGACATGGCGCGCCATGCACACGGCGGGCGCCCAGGTGTTACTGCGCCGACCGGCAGTAGCCGGGACGCCCACGCCCGGCCAAAAGCGCATGAAGACACGGACATGGGTGGGACTGAATCGGAAAAGCCGGCCGCGTCGGCTCGGGAGGGCAAGCCGACAAAGCAGGACAAAGGAAAAGGCCCGGCAGGAAAGCACAACGACGACGACAACAAGAACGAGGACAAGGACGACGATGAAGAGATCCCGCACGCTCGTGGTCCGCAAGAGATTGGCGCAGCCGATATGGGCCCACAGCGCCCCTCCAGCCGGCTTTCGACAGCGGCCGCCGGCGGCAGCAATGGCAAGGGCAGTGCCGGCCTATTGATTGGCAGCGCTGCCGACGCTAGCCAGATGGACATGCGCGACATTGACGTCGAGGCTGCGGTTGGCCGCAAGGCGTCGGCGCTGCCACCCGGTACAGTGGCGGCACCCGTGGTCCCCTTCTCAAGCCGAGAAAGCGTTCGTGAGAGCGCTGGCGAGGCAGAGTCGGATGCGGCTGGAGCGCCGAGAGCCACAACACCGTCTGCCCGGTCTACGACACCAAAGCGGGAGGCAGAGAACGAGCTACAGTCCGACGGCCCCGTCAAGAAGCGAAAGGAGGACCACGGCGAAGGCAGTGCAGTGAATGGCTCTACAGCGGCACCAGCAGCAGCCATTGTAAGCAGTGCCGTGACTGTGGCGGAGTCCAAAAAGACCGGTGGCCAAGAATCAGAGACCAAGTCTGCAGAGGCCACCGCTGATCACCCGGCTGATCCGTCATCGGAGAAGGGAGGTGACGCATAGACCGCGGTCAAGAATAGTATCATAAGCGCGTCTGCTTCATTGTTCTTTTGGTCTGGGTTCTACGGCAGAGGCAGGATACCAAGTTCAGGAGCGTGTTTCTTTTCGTTTAGTAGCCATGTTTTCGTTAAATATATATGGGATCCCGGCCCTCAAGTTGGTTCAACCGCAGTGTTGCTATGGATTCTGCGTAATCGTGTTGTGTGATGTAATACTCGTTGGTTTATACCGTCAGTGCGGTAGGTTGCGGTTAATCTGGTTTTACAGCTTTAGTCGATATCATATGATGTCGTTGCCTCTGAAGCTGTCTAATGCAAGGTTCCTTGAAAGGATTTTATTATTTGAGATGAACGACAGTAAGACTAATTTTAAAGTATGCCATCGTTATTGATTTGAGGTTAAAAAATCATGTTATCATGTTATCATGCTGGTAGTTTTTCACAATTTAATATTGTTGCCAAATATTCAAAACATGTCGATTGATTTTTAATTCACATTGATATTATGATAGAATATTAATTTTATGTTGCGTTTACACAAGGCTCAGAATGTTCGCTGTGAGGTGTTGACATAAATATGGAGATATCAAAGTCCATGCAAGGCTGGTAGCTCTTTCCCCATGACGTATCCGGCGACTTCCTATCTTGTACGGAGTTCGTATACACGGCAGGTGCGTGCGGAGAAGCGATCCGAATACAACCCAGAGATAGAAAAGGCCACTCTTATCGCCATGCAGGATGCGGACAAATGCTGCAGTTTGCGTAAAACAACTTTCACGGTAACGACAGAAGCATTCTGCAGGATAAACCAAGACAACACAACACACCAGTTTCCCTGACAACGACAATGGCGACTGTGCATGGAAATGTGCTCCGCATGGGACCTGCCGGTGACCAGTGGTACTACCATCGGAAGGAGCGATTGTACGATTTGACGCGGGGCTACGGCAAGGACGGTCACGATGGCAAGGGCGACCAACTGCCCGCGCAGGATGCCACTGTCACTATTTCCACGACCACCGGGCCTTCCGACACGCGCATTGCCCTGGCACCAAGCCAGACGGCGCTCGTTATCGTCGACATGCAGAACTTTTTTCTCCACCGCCGCTGCCGTGACCACCCGACAGGCCGTGCCGCGGTGGCGCCGACGCTGGCGGCCATTGACAGCTGCCGACGGGCGGGCATCCGAGTCATTTGCCTCAACTGGGGCCTGACCGACCACCACCTGGCGACGGTGCCGGCGGCGGTTGTAGCTGGGTTCTCGCGGATGATGGTGCGGGAGGACGCCGACAAAGAGCCGACGCCGTCCGGCCTCGGTGTCGACCGCGGTGATGGCTGCGGCCGATGGCTCGTCAAGGGTGAATGGAACAGCAACGTGTATGAGGGAGAAGGCGAGGGAGATGCGGCGGTGGACAATCTCTCGGTGGCCGTCCAACCCGATTTGGGCGACGTGCTGTGCGATAAGACACGCATGTCGGGCATGTGGTCAGACGACGCGCCATTGCGGCAGTACCTGACGGAGCTTACAACCATCCGCACGCTGCTGTTTGCCGGCGTCAACACGGACCAGTGCGTGTTGGGCACGCTGACGGACGCGTACAACGGCGGTTGGGATTGCGTGGCGGTGGCCGACTGCTGTGCGACGACCTCACCACACGGGCAGGAGTTGACAATGTTTAACGTTGCGGTGAGTTCGGGATTTTCCCTTTAATTTCTTGAGCTGGTCTACGCGGTCATGTGAACTGACGAAAAATAGGTTAATTTTGGATTCGTGATTGACAGCAAGGCGTTAGCAGCCGGCGTTGATGTTTACTGTGCTGCAAAGACGGCCGTTTGAGACAGACCCTCACAGACACAGACTCGGTCCAAAATGCAGCCAAAAGCGCCGGAAGAGGTAATGGACTACGCCCACGGGACGGATCAATCCATGACGTTCGACGTGGCGAGGTACTTTATGTGGTTAAATGACATAGCCAGGTCCAATTAAGTTGCGTCGGCATCCGTTGTTACTATCATTTCTTGTCTCTCTTTTTGTTTCGGGCCAAACAGCACCTCAACATCTCCACCGTACTCCATGCGCCCGTATATCCGGCAATGGCCGTCCCGAGCCTAAGTTTGTCCCCGTACCCACGTATTTCATCTTTTGCTGAAGAAAAGGCCGAATACGAGAGGTTCTCCATACCATGAGCGAGTTAACGTGAATCATAAAGAGACATAAATCGGGGAGGTATTAGAAAATAGAGGAAGACCAACATAATGAGCCTATATGTCGTACCGTCGTACCCCATACGAGGAACGTGGTTTAAAAGCTTGGAAATTAAGCTACATGCGCAAAAGATACCACTCACTACACAATGAGAAGCATATCCACGAGAGATTGGAGTCGACAGAGACTAGACAACAAGATTGTACGATTCGCGTGGCCTGCTCCAAATTTATCAGTCTTAGACAACAGCATTCCAATCGACGGGATCAGCATCACTCGGCCACGGTGATGGGACGACCAAGTATGTCCAAATATGGTGACTAGTGTTGATCCGTCAGAATTGTCTGCGTAGTTTCCACAAGTCACATTCCAAAACGAAGGAGCTGTGGATAGGGATGCGGCGGCCGATGCCAAGTAGTCGTTGAAATAGTGGGGTGAAGACTTCAACTCTGTTCATGATGTTTTCAGTACGTTCTTGACAAAGAAAAGTCCTTTCTGTCTGATGTGAGTCGGTTAATTTAAGAGTTGCACTTGTTTGCTCTTTAACCGTTAAACTCCTTATTCTACTCGTCTGTTTTTGTTTTCTCTTGCCGCGAATGCCAAGTCGCTTCCCACCAGCTGGTCCTGCCAATACTCAATATATGTAGGAAGACAGACGATCCCAGTTGTCCTTGGAAGAATGAAAACTCCGATACAGTTAACTCCAGTGAAATTCAATGAAATGGCAACCAGGAGTTGTTGTTGCCGCCCTTTTCTTCTCTTTGTCTTTTCTTGTGCCCTTTCCTGAGAAAAAAACCAACAAAAGAAATGGGGTTGTGTCGTAAAAATGGTCATAACGCTTGGGGAAATAGAGCCAGGCACGTAAATGCCTCGAGCATTCCATGCCAAGTTCGGATAATAGTACAAGCCGGAAAAAGGATAGCAGCAGTTGATGATTCGCCAGATACCCCGAACAGCGAGCAATGTGTAATGGCAGACTCGTAGCCTATTCTGTGTAGTCCGGTTGCGAAACAAGAGGTCGAGTGACAACGAAAGGACTTGGAGACAACTCCGCCGGGCCACTGACATGTTCGCTGGTACGTATTTGACGAGTCCTGCAAAGAGGAGAAACCACCCGTGCCGGTGGTAGGTGCTATCGAACAGGGGCGGCCATCGACATTCAATGTTGTCGAACGAGCGCCTGCATCGTCTTCATTGCTCTCGTCGGGATAGTGTTCAGGTATATCCGGTGTCCGGTAATCGATTGGTCGTGTTAGAGCAGATTTGATGACAGTAAAACGAGGAAGGCGAGTGGGCAGGCTATGCCAGTCTTGTCCTATTTCTGTCGAATCCGCATCCTCACTTCCGGTTCTTGCTCTTGGTCAAGATGTCGCCCTTGCAGATGCCGTAGCTACAGCATGCATCGGGGCTGAGCTTGCCGTTGAGAATGAGGTCGATCTTGGACTTGTGTACGTGTTAGCGGAACGGGCTCCATGCCATTCTGAATCAAGTTAGATGTAGACTTACATCAGGACACGGTATTGGCGTTGCTTGGGCGATGCTGGCAAACGAGCCGACAACAGCGGCCGCAGCCGAGAGGAGAAAGAACGGCTGCATCTTGGTGGTGATGAAAAGAGACAGAGGCGGGTGCGAGTCGTGCGAGCAGGGAAAAAGTCCGCGGAGAGGGTTTCCCAGGTAGACAACAAAGAGAAAAACAGACAGCCCAGCCGGGGCAGGCTGAGGTCGGCACGACGTTGCAAGAGGGGCGGGACGAGCCCAAGACGATATGGCCACAAGAAACAACGACGAAAATATCAACACGATAGTGGAGATGAAGGCACGGCCAAGAGGGGGAAGGAAAGAAAAGGAAAAGAAAAAAAACAAAAGAAAACAAAAGAGCCAAAAATAAAAGGTGAAAGAAGAAGCAGGAGGGAGTGGGCTTTCCCGATCACATATATGCTTATTTTGGAGCGAGCTAGTCCCAAGGGGAGGAAGGTACAGGTTTTGTTGTTGGTGACTGTTGGCGCCTGCCTGGCGAAACTGTCTGAGCCGGCTATGTGAAGGAAGGACCGCGGAGACGATGGTTCTTTCTTGTTTCGGCGTTGGGTGGGATTTACGAGGTACGGGGATATTCTTGGCATCTTGCGAGGTACCTCACTTGCCCGAATTCCATTGTCCCAGCGGAGGAACGAGAGGAAGCGCAGAAAGAGAAAAGGACACGAGAAATGCGACGACAAAGAAAAAAGCATACCCCTGCCGCATACGCTGAAGCAGCTAAGGAATGCTGGGGGCAGCCGGAACCGGATGGTGGATGCGAGAGGAAGGAGTGAGGAGTGAGGGTGGGAGGATTGGGCAGGCAGGTGGGATGGGCTGTGGTGGACGACTGGTGGATTCAAACGCTAACGGACCGGTGAAAGGCACTGACTGATACGAGACCTTAAGGGCAACGATGGCGTGGCGAGAAATGATGAAAAGGGAAAGGGCGATGCAGAATTCGATAGCGAGACCACACACGCGAGGAAACAACGATCGGTCGATGGAAAAATGGAGAGAAGAGGCGGGAAGCAGGCGCTACAGTCGGTTCAGAGTGAGACATCTAGAGCGACATGGCTTGTGATTATGTGTCTGTCCGTCTCTTCGCTTGTTCCCTGGTCCGGCCTTTTCTATTCGAGTCGTGGACATGCCCCTGCCGCCAGTCGAACACGAATTTATGGCGTCATGAGTCGTAAGAGGGCAGAGCCGCCTGTGCGGAGGACCTAGGCACACAGCAAAAAGCAAGGGTACACGATTGAGGCACGGTGCATCGTGACATGCTATGTACGAATACTGGCCGCGATTGATTTAGTTCCCTCCAACGTGAACACGAGAAAATAAGTACGACGTCGGCGATAGTGAGACTGGGGAGCAGGAAGAGGACTGTTGAGCCGCGAAGAAGAACCCGGAAACGAAAAGGCGACGAGAGGCTGAAGAAAAAGGGGGGTCGCTAGCTGGCACGCTAGCACGCTTTCCCTGAAGGCATGGAGAGTTGGGACGGTTGCCCAGGAGCCAGGGAGGGAAGCAAGTCCCGGTACAAAGATACAGAAGTACGAATCGTTCGTAACACTGCATTTCAGAGTTCGGGTGCAACATATCTTACACCTTGGTCGTTGCCGCCGTCGGAAACACCTGTGGCATTCTCTTGTGTTTTTGTGCACCTTCGCGAGCGCCAAGCAGACAGCCGCCGGGGTCGTCTTCAAGGGCCCCTGCCCCTGTGGGCTGATGGCTGAGGGCGCGAAACGAAGAGGTGACAAAGACAGAGAAAGACGACACATGCATGTGCACTTTGTAGTAAAGAAGGCAAACGACCTGCAGACATGTCCCTCAACCAAGGTAGAATTGGGACAGTGCAAAGGCTCCCGACCAGGTCGCAGTAAGATACATGGAATCGGGAGGCGCCAACGAGTGCAAACAGTGCTCGCACTGGGCACCATTTTTACAAGATGCGTCTTTGGAGAATACGTCGTACGACGGATGCCGTACACATAATGTCTCGACTGCATGGCATGGCAGCTTCTGACATGTGCATGCTGGTGCTCTATACGAGGTCGAGAAGACACGCAACAGCGTACTAGAGGACGAAACTCCCTGACTCCCAATACGAGGTGTTGGTGTGCTGATGTTGCATCACGGTGCCACAGACTCGGCATTGTGTACAAGGGCTGAAGGGGAAAATACTTTTGCGAACGGGATTTTGTCGACCTTGGCCATCCGCTGAGGCCACTGGCTAAAAGACCCTAACAACAAAACCCACATAATGGAGGAAGGACGGTTCTGTTGCCGAGGGCTAGAATGTCGTACACTGAGAATCCGAGCAACAATAGTTCGATCCTCGCAAAAGGCCAACTGGGAAAAGCGAGGGCGGTTGGACTAATCGCTTTTGGCCGTGCATGAAAACGACTTTGCGTGGTTTTTGGTCTGATGTTGAGGCGGGAAGGCGACGCTTTTCACATGAATGGTGATGGAACGCCGCTTCCCGTATTCAGCCTTATGTTTCTCGTCGTGGCCAGCCTCTCTCTTATCGTGCAGGCCGCCTCGCCTCCCCTGCTATCAAGCCCCATGGTTGATGGTTGTTGCTCCGCACGAAATATTGTTTTGATCCCTCGGTTTCCTCTCCCACAATGACACACAGCCACCCTGGACCATCCACTCTGTCGTCACAGCCCTTCAGTGGAAAGCTGGACGAGCCAGATACTCCGAGGGATGTGAAGCCCCACAGCGCAATGCCTGAGTGAGTCCCCAGGTTCATTCTTCATTCCTCCGTAGACCAAGTCACACCGATACAGCTCAAGCGACGCCCAAACACTCTGTAAGTCTTGGACACCTCCAATCGTGCAATACGCGACATCGTAAACCGTCGTGCTACAGAACGCGTCATACGGGTACCGCCGGCGGAAAGAAGGAATCAACGGGAAGGAGCGTTTGCTCGCAAACAGTTCGCGGAGGACAAGACGGACGATGCTCTGGGACAGACAAGACGCGCTCCAGTTGTCGCCGTTGTCGCCTTGGAATGCCACAGGTACGACCTCTGGTGGAGCGCTTGGGCATCAATTCATGGTGTCCCGATGGGACACAACAACAGATTGCAGAGAGCTCCAGAGGCGCAGAGGCGGTAACAAAAGGCTGGCGCTCCTTATCAAAAACGAGAGATAAACGTGAAGAGGATAAGACACGAGCTGAGCGAACTTTCAGAGACGTCCTTTGTAGAATGATTGTGCGTGCTCCACCTGGGGCACAATGTAGGAATTGGGTTTGTTGTGCTATCGCCCAAACGGGAATGGTAAAAAGGGGTGCACGATGCTTGGCATTGGTCATCCTGTGTGCGGATGGCCCGCGCAGGTTGCCAGCGAGCATTTCTCGTGCCTGGCCCATGCTCTCTCTCACATTGCTCGGGGGTCGTGCAATTCGTATCTTAGAGTCAGGTTCCAAAGGGGCCTTGTGAAACCGTTGAAAAGTACCCGTGCCACCCCCCGATTGAAAATGGTAAGCAGTTCAAAGACAATGCGGAATACTACCCAGTCGATTTCTGGGACGTTGAAATGCTGCGTCCGGCCTGCATCTGTTCCTTTACAAAGTCGGATGCTCGTATTTGTGCGAAAGCTGCCCAGGCCCTTGCCGGCGACGTTACATTTTGTGTCCGCAGACAGACTCTGTTGGCACTCGCAGGATGGAAAGAGGATTACTGAGGATGATGTGAGATATAGAGGCGCGCCTCGTCCTGTTTTGACTGTTGACACAAAGGCCGAATCGAATTGTCACCTGCCAGCGTTCCCGAGTCCCTTATTCCCCAGTGCGCCTCAGCCCTACACTGGCTTGCACTGGCACCAAATGCACTGCTTCGTTGCAATGCTCACGACGAACGACGGCGACCTGATAGCATGCTCATTCTCCGCTGACAATGGAGAAAAGAATACTACTGCAAATGCGGCTCCCAGTGAGGAGTGTCATGCCGCTGTCATATGTCGTCCCTGATATGATCGCCGCTGCTATTTTCCCTTAATTCTGTCGATCCGCCTGTCACTGCCAGAAAAAACTGGGAATGCAGAAGAAGAACCCGGCTAATGGAATCTGCCTCGTCGCGTCTTCCTTGATTAATATGGGGGCATCGTTACAATATGTTTTTCTGGCAGGTCTAATAAGGTTTTCCGGGTCCGGATTTTCTGTTTGGGGGTGACCAAGACGAAGGACCTCTCTGCAACAGCTCTTCCATCCCCAGCTTCTTTTCATCCCACGTGCTCCTCTCACTCTCCCGTATTCATTTCCCCTACCGTTGTATGCTGTACTTCATGGCTTTTTGCACCTCCTGCGTCATCTGCGTTTCTACGTTTTCGTTTTAATTCGACCTCGTCGCTCCTTCCTTGAACGATCGCGGGTTCGCTACTGCCCAACACATCTAGCCTGAAAAGCCTCATTTTCATTTTTGGATTGCTGCTCCTCGCTCCTTCCCTCTTGTTCCTGGCGATCTCTTGCAGGCTAACCCCTTTTCTGCCCATTCAGGACTAGGCTCTCCATCCTTCACCACACCACTTTTCTCTACTTTCTCATACCTGCACCACAACCACAACGATGACCACGACCACCACACCCACAAAACCGAATGCTCACTCTCACCATCTTCTGATTCCGTTCCTGCGCCGTGTGCTAGGTATGCACCTTGCCGCTTTACCCCTGAATTGAGCCGCTGCTGCAGGGTACTTTTCAGGGTTTTTGTTTTTGTCGCTCGTCCCCTCCCCCTGCGCAAAATCCTCCTGACGTCACCCAGTGTAGAGTGCCTTTTGGTTTGGGACAGCCCCGTCTAGCTTTCATTTTTTCAACTTGTTCAACCGCCCCCTGCCTGCTTGCTCCGCGCCGCATTGGTCGTATCGCATATTTTTTGCTGATATTCTGGTCAGCTTCCCCCGAAATGGGAATCCAATGCGAGGATCGTGGACGGACACGGTCTTGGTTGTACACGTTGCTGTGGTCGATTGCCCAAAAGCCGACCTTGCCTTTTCTTTTGGGCCCTTTAGTTTGCAGACGAAGTTGCTTTCACTCTGTTTTTCACCCTGTCCCCCACTCCAGTTCGAGGACTCTTTACGGAACAGTCAACACAGAGACATCATCTCACTTCAATCTGAGCGGAGAAGCACTGAAACTGAAAAGCTTATGGCTTTTCGTTTTTCAAGCGACATTGGAAGACCAAGTTGTCGCTGTGCGAATAACACGACGCGTTCTCTTTCCCTTGGGCAATGACCAGTTCAGTCATGTCTTTCATCGTTGTTCTCCTGCACATGTCCCCAATTTTCCTCGTGACTACCTCCGCCGTGATGTACAAGCGCTGATCTTCCTCGAGATGAAATTGAGGCTCATTGTTGCTTTCATCTTGTCACAATGTCCACAGGATGATACCCGTATTCTCTGACTAGTGTTCGACGTTGTCTTACTCCGAGGAAGGGACGCAGCTTCAAAAGAGGCATTCCTTGATAATATTTCCCCTCTCGTGTGTGGACTTTACGCGTGAGAACCGGACGCGCGCGACAAGATGGTGGAAACGTTTGTGACCGTCCATCGCGGGGAACCTTTTCACAATCTAGCTTTGAACATGCCACAGTCCGGTCCTCACAAAACAAGACGAGCGTCGTAAGTCAATGGCTTTAATTTGAAAATCCATCCATTTAGCACCGAGCTGCCTCGACTTTGCGATTGTTGTCAGACCAGAAAGAGTGCAAGCAGTCCTTGGACTTTGTCTGGAACTTGTGTCGATGAAACCTGGCATGCAAATATGAGGAGACAGACAATGTATCCGCCATCCTTGGCCGTGTATGCTATGGAATATGTACACGTAACGGGTTTGGTTTCAATCCGTGGCCGCCGAATTTCAAATGCCCACATCTCTTTCGATGGCCACCCATGGGATGCACGCTTCGTCGATGGCCAAGCCCATTGCTCCTCACAGGATGAAATGTCGGAATGCATCATCGCCTTTAAATGTCACTATCGTACTCCTCTTGCCGAAACCAGCCACGGCCTTCCACGAGATCTTCGACGCCTTGTTCTATCAAACGCCTGTCTTCCTCGTTGTAGAAAAAAGCACGCTGCACATCGGACTTATCGATCAGCACATCGCACTGGCAGTATTGGGCTAGGCGGGGAAGATGGCTCGGAAACAAAAGAACAGAAAAAAAAAAACAGAAAGGAAATAGAAAAAGCGAGGAACCTACGGACGCCAATAGTTGGGCCATGGTGTCTTGAGTCACCAAATTAAACCATATTAGGTTGATGTATTTGGTGCCATCCCGGCGGCCCACACGGTCTCTGTGGTCCATCCAGTGCACCTTGTACGTGGCCTGGTTGTTGTCGAGGATGGCCACGATATTCTCGAGCTTGGCGTCCTCCGCGGGATAGATGATGCCGGCTTGGTCGTCGTCGGCTGGGGTCGTTGCTGCCGCAATAGCTGCGGACGCTTTGTTGCGGGGCTTAGCCTTCCGTGCCGCGCGCGACGGTGCTCCGGGTTTGCTCCTCGTCAATTTGGCGTCAACTTTGGCGTTCTTGGTGGCGTCCTTGGATGCCCCGGGAACGGGCTGCTCGGCCCAAGACGTCGAGGGTGTATGCATGGCGACTCGCCTGGCTTGGCTCCTAGTCGTCACACCCATGATGGACGAGGGCGCTGTAGATGTGCGACGTGCTGAATTTCTCTTCTCGTCTTCTTTTAAATAGGGTCCTTATTGTCCCTTGGGACATAGTTCCTCTGCGAAGACACTGCCCATTATTGACTGTACAAGCTCCGTGATGGCCACGACGTCGTTTTCAATGATTTGTCACGCTTGTGTTTGATTGGCCAGCTGTGCCAGACTTTGTACGCAGCTTCTACCAGGGAGCCAATCAAAGTTGCCACCATTCTGTCATCCATCTTTTGATGTTTTGGACCGGTCTCGTCGTCTGCAAAATCACACAAGTCTCATCGATGAAGGTAGTACGAACTTGCAAACGATGACTTATTCTGATTACGAGAAACCGTTTTGTCTGTAAAAATGACCGACTAGTTTATACTGCCAAGAACCCCATTGGCTATTCCTTGCCAAAGTTGCCACTAACAGCGTCTCTATACACACGCACACCCGGAGACACGAACGAGGCGGATATGTCTGGTACCACTCCGTTCTCGACCCAGTCAATCACCGTCTGCAAAGAGGTCTGCAGTCAGCGTCCGTTTGAGGTGTTAATAAATAATAGGCCAATAAATAATAGGACACGAATAACCGCTAGGTGTCTTTGGGATTGTTGAGTGGACTCTGGAGCTCGATATTGACGTATAACTGCTATCCATTGTAGTAAGATGTCGCGAATTGAGGGAGATTTAACTCAAACCGTACTTGCTACATATACAGAGATGCAAGATAGTCCAAAAGGGAAATTGGATTCTGCTGACGTAAACACAATATCAAACAAATATGAAGAAAGACGTCGCGCTCTTGGAACGGAAGGAGCCCGTCGACTAGTGGTAGGTTTCCCGTGACTATCTACCTCTTCTCGCCTCTGCTCTTTTTATTCAGATTACAGCTCCTCATCACATAATCGCTTGCTGTGCTCAGGACCATCGACCATCGGGTACAGTCATCCAAGGCAGTTGGTTGCTTTCGCAGAAAAGCCACGCTCATTTGAACCCAATCGCCAAGCGCGACTCCATTATAAATTCAACTTGCGCCGCCTCTTCTGCCTCTCTTCCAATCTTCATATCGCTCACATCTCAACCTGCTCTTTGCCCGGCCTGACCCTTTCTTCACGTGGCAGACCCAAGGCAAGAAGCCCAAATTGCACCTCGATCCTTACCTTCTTCTCACATTCTAGCCTTATCTCCTGTCACAACCAGTCACATCTTCCTCTGTACTTTCTTCTTACGAACTCTGTATAAAGACACTGCCCCATTACACACGCCGGCCAGCAAACCAACCACACGCTTTTTGTGTCATTGCCATCATGGCCGATAGTATCAAAGACGGAAGCGAATCGCCAGGCCGGATCGTGCGCACCTTGAGCTCAAGCGGTGTGCTTCCTCGGCTGTCACCACCGGGCGACCAAGAAGCCACCTCATACTACCGGTACCTGCCATCCCAACCACGTCTTCTGGGCCGCACGACGTCGGGGGTCATACCGTGGCCGCCACCTCTTCAACCCTTGCCGAACGAGTACGTGTCTCACCGAGAGTCACCAAAGAACGTCTTGGCGCCCATTGGTGACCACCCCATCGTTGCCATCTGGGACAACATCGAGCTCCTAATTCAAGACGCACTGTCCCGCTTACCCTGGACGTCAATCGACGTTTTTCGAATCGGCTTGCAAAACAAGCGAATCCTTGATCGGCCAGTTGTTGTGTGGGTGGGAATCGACACCAGCAGAGTGTCCTGGGACAACCAGGTCGCGCCCGCCCTGCGAGCAATCCGCACCATCCTAGACGATGCAAACTTGCGGGACGTGGAGAGCGAGTTCCGCACATCGGATGTCCACTATCTGTCGAGCCCTGTCTTACTGAGTCCCAGTAAGATAGACCTTCTGTCTCCGAAGTTCTACGAGTGCACCAACGTCATTGGAACGGCTATTGGGCAGTCTTTTGCTCCAACGGACAACGACAACGTGCAAGGTACACTTGCGTGTTATCTGACATACGACCATGGTCACGATGACGGATGTGACATCGACGCCGTGTTTGCACTGACCTGCCGCCATTCGGCCCTGCCATTCAACGTTCACAGATCCAAAGACAACAAGCCGTATGCTCTAACGAGTCCAGAGCGAGAGCAGTGGAAGGTGGGTGTGCCCGGCATAGCCAAGTTGAAATATGCTCTCCAAACATCGAAAGACGAAAAGAACATCTCCCAGGCCTCCATAGAGAGTGCAGTGAAACTGGAAGACTTTCACCTTGTCGACCGCTACGAGCCTATATTAAGAGACTGGAGCACTTTGTTCGACAATATTGTCCCTTTTCTCGCAGTGGAGGACTGCGTTGTGGGGAGTGTTGTCCACTCTCCGGCACTGCAGCTCTGGAAGACGGGTGACCATCCGTGGTCTCGGGACTGGGCCCTTGTTCGGCTGGACCGAACAAAATTCCCCGACAGCGGGAACGGGTTAAGGAACACGGTCGACCTGCGGGTCAGAAATCTCCCAGCCGGCTTGAGCAAGTTCCCCTTTCCCACGGACCGGCTCCTTACGCTCTCTGACAAGAGAAAGGATATCGTTACCCTACAAGAGATGCGCGACACAAAATCCCTTGACGGTAACGGCAACCGGTCCCTCATTGTTGCCAAGAATGGGGCGAGTACTGGCCTCACGTTCGGAAGCCCCTCCGAGCTCATGTCGACCGTGCGTTACTGTATGCCCGGTGGGCATTCATACACGACCCATGAATGGTCGATCGAGGGCAGTCTCGATAATCCCTTAGAGCCATTCTCTCAGAGTGGAGATTCTGGCTCGTTGGTTTTCACCATCGAGGGGAGGCCGGCGGGCATGGTTACGGGAGGTGCTGCCGTCGGGGGGAATAGTGGCGTCGATATCACCTACGTGACGCCGCTGGAGGTGATCCTAAAGGACATTGAGGATTGTTTGGGGAACAGAAAGGTTAGATTGCTGTGAGCAAGCACTGGCTTTTCCATGTCTTGTTTGTTTTCTCTTCTCAGTTTAATTTCCGTCACCTTCTGGCTTGTGTTTATTTCCCCCCCTCCTACCTATTTTAAACTTTATGTGACTTTTTCTCGCTTGTGTTTTTTTGTATACACCCATTTACAACATACAAGCGAGTCCTTATTCAGACACTAAGAAACGGAGTTTCGGGAGATGCCGCTCTCCCAGAAAATGTGGAGCGGGCCACGAGTCATTGGTTAGTTAATAATTCGTTCTTCGTATTGATACTGCATCATTTCTGGGCTGGTGGCTTAGGTTGCGAGAACCTCTATTGTCCATGCTGTACTTCTCGTAACGTAAGGTTATGCCTCTACCATTCTGATTACTCTTGAACGGATATTCGGCGATGAAAAACGTATGGATCTTCGATACCGATGCTATTTTAAAATCTAAAACTCATGATCGCTGAACTATATGCACACGAGTGGGGTGTCTGACTGACCGTGACGCTCCGCGGAACACATCCACGGAGCTAATGACCAACTTCTTTTCTGACAAGAAAAGTCCCCCTCACTTCTTGAAGAGTGAGGGTATGACTGGAGGGTAAGATTTCGCTCTCATTGCAATACATACGGTGACGCGTACCTCATCCTCTTTTCGGGTACAAAAGAGCCGTCTCACTTCAAGAAGTGAGACGGCGAGACTGGAGGATAAGACTTCGTTCTCATTCCAATGCGCACGTATTTTCGCCTCTTTTCAGATATATAAGGGCCTTCCACTTCTTGAAATGAGATGATATCGTCAGACTTCGTTCTCATTCCAATACATACTTACTTTCGCTGGGCGACTATGTTACCCTTTTCATGCTAATCGCTATCGTGACTACCTATCCAACAACTCATAACAATATCTGAGAAGAAGTAGGTGGGAGAGAGTGACAAGCAGGAAGACGATAGGTAAAGAATATTGATAGTTCGGGTGGCAGCCAGGGAACGCACTGCCAAGTCTGGCTGACCAAAAACACAGTACGATCCAATTCAAACAGACACACGGAAATCCTTCGCCATGACGACTGAGACGGGGAAAACAACCGAAGGAGGGCCATCTCCGGCACTGCTCGATTTTTCCACATTCTACAACATTATTGATGGCCAGAAGACGACCACAGCCCGCACGCGCCACAGTATCAACCCGTCAACCCTCGAAGCCAACCCCGACGTGCCCGTCTCGACCGAGGCCGACGTCGACCGCGCCGTACAGGCCGCTCGAACGGCGTTTGCGACATGGCGCCAGGTGCCCTACGCCAAGCGTCGCGCTGCCCTGGAGGCATTTGCGGACGGCGTGGCGGCCAACATCGACGGCTTCGCGACTATGCTGACGCGGGAGCAGGGCCGGCCGTTGGCGCTGGCACAGTTGGAGGTGAACATGACGGTCGATCAGCTGAAGCAGACGGCCAGCCTCGAGCTCGTGGACGAGGTGGTCGCCGACGACAAGGCCAGCGGCGGACAGACGGTCCTCAAGCGATTCACGCCGCTGGGCGTAGCGTGTGGCATTGTGCCATGGAACTGTGAGTCACCAACGTTCTGCGACTGCAGCATGTGTATAGCGCGCGAAGCTCATTCCTGAAACCTCGTGCTGACTCTGCCTGCGCGCCCCCAAAAATGTCCCCGTCGGGCTTGCTTCTCTAAAAATGGCGTCTGCCCTGCTTACGGGCAACACGTTCATCATGAAGCCGTCGCCGTTCGCGCCCTGCGCCAACCTCAAGCTGGCCGAGCTGGCCCAGCAATACTTCCCGCCGGGCGTCGTCCAGTGTCTCAGCGGCGATGACCAGCTCGGGCCCTGGCTGACCGCGCACCCGGGCATCGACAAGGTCAGCTTCACCGGCTCCGTGGCCACGGGGAAGCGCGTCATGGAGAGCTGCAGCCGCACGCTAAAGCGCGTCACGCTGGAGCTCGGCGGCAACGACGCCGCCATTGTGTTCCCGGACATCCCTGACGTGGCTGCGACCGCAGCCGCCATCGCACAGGCGTGCTTCCTGAACACGGGGCAGATTTGCGTCAGCATCAAGCGCTTGTATGTGCACGCCGACATCTATGACGCATTCCGGGACGCCTTTGTTGCCGTGGCCAATGCGCTTCCGTATGGCGATGGCTTTGCTGGAGCGGGCGACCCGGCGGCCGCACCGTTCATGGGCCCCTTGTCCACGGAGTTCCAGTACCGCCAAGTGCTGGCACTGCTGGACGACGTGCGCAACACGAAGCTCAACGTCGTGGGTGGCGACGCGGCGCTCGCCGCGGCCACAGACACGGCCGCGGCCGGCAAGGGCTACTTTGTACGTCCGGTCGTTGTTGACAACCCGCCGGACACGGCCCGCATCGTTGTCGAGGAGGCCTTTGGGCCCACTGTGCCGCTGCTCAAGTGGTCGGACGAGGCGGACGTGCTTCGTCGCGCCAATGACACGCAGCTCGGCCTGGGCGCGTCCGTCTGGTCCGGCGATCTGAAGCACGCAGGCGAGGTTGCGCGCCAACTCGAGGCTGGCAACGTCTGGGTCAACTCGCACCTGGTACGGCATCCGTTGGCGCCGTTGGTTGGGTATAAATGGTCGGGTCTGGGCGCCGAGGGTGGCATCGACGGCCTGAAGCAGTATTGCAATATCCAGGCGCTGCATTTGCCCAATTGAGAGGAGACCGTGAAGGCGGCTGCATAACGTGACGGTAGGGGGAAAGGAAGGCACTGGAAGTGTATCACGTGTTATCAAGTTTGGTTGGTTCCTTTCGGCCACAAAACATGTCTTCCTTCCTATTTTGTTTGTTATTGTATCTTACGTCAGCACGCCCAATCGCCCATCTTTGAAGCCTCATTGCATCTCTGTATCTTGTCTTTTCAGGTCGATGTCGAGACTGCAACTGAGGTAAGAAACAGAAACGTCAGTGGTGAATTCAGGTATTGGATAATTCAGTAATGCTTTATATTTTTCTTGTGCCACCTATTCTGACAATATTTAATTAGGGCGCTTGGCTTTCGAAGCACCTTGATTCGCCCGTTCGCCCATCACGCGATTCTTGATTTACGTCGTACTGCGATAGCATATGCAGGGTCTCCGCAGAGAGGCACAGACCTGCATAGGGAGTGCGGGCCTAGACAAAGCCAGTAAGACGGAGATGGCGTATTCAACCGCCGACATGGTGGCATGACCAATGCGGAGGATAAGTATGAAGAGAATACAGAGAGGAGACTTCACAAGCTGGCCGAGCTGCGATGAATACTATGGATGATGAATCAAAGCCCCGTCCAACTTCATATATTCATCAACGACCTAATCACAGCAGTTAACTGCCTCTATTGTTGCCATCGTTATCATTGCGGCCAAATGCCGTCCGTTGCTGAGGTTGCTGCGCACAATTCACGGTCATCCTGCTGGGTGATTGTGGCCGGCCATGCGTACGACGTGACGGACTTTCTCGACGAGCATCCAGGCGGCACACGATCGATCTTGCGGTTTGCCGGGCGCGATGCAACAGCCGAGTACGAACCGCTGCACCCACCGGGCACCATTGAGACCTTACCAAAGGACAAACATCTCGGGCCCGTGAACGGAGCTCCTACGACATCAAATGTGACCCAGACGTCAGCGCCGTCACCGTCGCCTTCGTCACTATCGCCACCTGCAATGCAAATCCAAGTGCCTGCTGTTCTCCCTCTTTCCGCGTGCATGTCGCTTGAGGACCTTGCGCAAGTTGCTGCTGTCAAGCTGTCACCGCGTGCAGCGGCCTACTACAACAGTGGCGCCGAGACGCGGTACTCGCGCGACCGCAACCGCCGCGACTGGTCTCGCATAGGCTTGCGGCCGCGCGTGCTCATCAATGTCGGCCCCACGCCCAAGATGCGCGCCAATGTCATGGGCTTCGACAGCAGCCTGCCGGTATTTATTGCACCTGCGGCGCATGCACGCTTCGGCCATCCGGACGGCGAGCTCTGCCTGGCACGCACGGCGGCACGCATGGACATTGCGCAGTGCGTGAGCACCTACGCATCGGTGGCGGCGGCCGGCATTGCGTCCGAGTTCTTCAGCGACCCCTACAAGCGCGGGGCTGCTCTGTTCTTCCAGCTGTACATCCCGTGGGTCAAGAAGGACGCGGAGAAGCTGATCGCCGTGGCCAAGGCGGCCAGGTACCAAGCGCTGGTAGTGACCGTGGATGCACCGGTAATTGGCAAGCGCGACGACGACGCGCAGTTCCAGGCACTGGCAGCTGCAGCAGTGGACGGCGACGGCTCCCAGAGTAAGGAAGACACGGAGAACGAGTCACAAGCTTTGCCACCTCTCCCCGGGCAGGAGTCCGGGACGTTGCGAGCAGCACACAACGCAACATTCGAATGGTCCGACCTGCCATGGATCCGGCAGTGCTGGGGCCCCGAGCACCCCATTCTGCTCAAGGGGGTCCAAACGGCCGAGGATGCTCTTCTGGCCACGCAACAGGTCGACGCAGACGGCAAACGCCTTGTCGACGGCATCTACCTCTCCAACCACGGTGGTCGCCAGCTGGACTATGCGCCCACGAGCGTGCAGACGCTGCTGGACCTTCGTCGCCGGGCGCCCCAGGTGTTTGGCCTGCTGCCCGTCTATGTTGACGGCGGCGTCTTGCGCGGCACAGACGTCGTCAAGGCGCTGTGTCTGGGTGCCAGAGCCGTTGGTCTGGGTCGCGGGTTCTTGTATGCGCTGAGCGCCTACGGCACGGCCGGAGCGCTGCGTGCGGTGCATATTCTCAGCGACGAGATCCAGACGACGTTGCGGCTGCTGGGCGTCGCGGACGTGGCAGAGCTCGACACGCGGTACCTGGACCTGAGTGAATTCGGGATAGAGCGAGCCAAGCTGTAAGAATGCCCCAGGCTGGCGTTCTCCAGGCACGCTGGTTCCATTTCCCCGGAAGGCACCCATGTTCCCCCTCTCGGGGAATATAGGCGGCTCCACCGTTCATATTGCGCTCCTGGTACGTTCCACCTCCTTGCGCCCTCAAATAGCCAAGTGATAAACACTTCCGGTGCCGGTTCAACGTTCAAGGAGAGGCTGGAATGGCAAGCAAGTGGGAGGAGAACGCCAAAGGACACACCCCCATCACACGGAGTACAGAGAGACAGGACGGGGGGCGTCATACTAGCTGGTTTGTCCGGATAATTTGATACTCGTCATCTGTTTACCCCATATCCTCCACTTCCCCGAGCTCGTTTACTGTTCAGGTTGAACCGACATCCGTACCAGTGTTTCCTTTCGACCGTTGAAACGCTCTCACTCGACCTGGATGGAGATTCGAACATGTAGGAACCCGCAGATCAATATTGCGTTGTCGCTGAAGAGAGACACGACGGCTCTTTACTAGATCCGAATCCCGGAACCCAACAAGGAGAATCCCTGTAGCTGCCAGGCCACTTACATTCCAACCAAGGCACATTATAAAATATAAAAGTAGCTTGCATAGTCCTCTTGCTGTGTGGACGTAAAGACTGTAGTGTTGCTGTTTGCGAGTATTATGTCCTGATGAGTATTTTACTATGATGTCTTTGAGTTGGAGTTTACCCCTTTTATTTGTTTCCTTCTTCCTTCCCCTCTCCATTCCCTCTCTGTTTTCATATCATATCCACTCACTACGAACTTTCCACCTAAATTGCCCTCTATCGTCCTGCCTTGGTCTCTCCGCCTGTCGTTTGTAATCGGCCCCGCTACTCCGGAGGGTGGTCCTCAAAAAAATATATCAGTTTCAATTATGTCACTGTCCCGCTAAGCACTATACCATTTTGTCAATATAACGGGTCAAATAAGCCAAAAGAAACAAGTACATGGACGCTACGAGCACAGGTAGCATCTTACTCTCCACTTCATCAAATGTAAATTGCCGCCGGGATGGCAGAATGTGCAAACGCATAGGGATGAAGCCGTCGCGACTCATTTATCCCGGAGAACTGGTCCATTCGTCGTCCAATGGGGAAAATCGGGGAGCATTAATGGGTAAGAGCGAGTCGGGATAAGTGGAGGGTCGAGTAAAGGTTGTATCGGACTGGCCTATATAAACCCTGAAAACAATTAACGACATATGAGCACCACGGTCCAAAGGGCAATAAAACGTGGTGCCTTGATCTCCGCGCACTTCGCCTGACGTCTTCCGCGGGGCCACGATGCAGCACTCTACGCGCATTGAGGTGCGGCGTTCTAGAAAGGAAACAAAAAAAGACTTACACCAGTTGCTTATACGTGCCGATTTATATTGGGAACTGCAAGGTAGAGTCCGAAACGGAAGCAGAAGTCAGATAATCGCCGTAGTCCGTCGTGGACATATGACTCGCAAGGTCCCATTGAATGTCTCTCGAGTAGATATAGTTGCTGTCCCCTCCCGGATGGTGATCAATGGTAGGTGTTGGCTGCTGTCAGTGTCGTTGTTGGCAAAAGGGCTTTATCGTATTACCCTCGTTGCTTTTTCACCTTCTCTCGTCACCTCAGTTCTTCTTCCGTTTCCCCTGTCACTCCCCCCTACCAAGTTTCCCCAACCATGCATGCCCCGTCTATGCTCCTGGCCGCCGCGGCCTTCCTTGGCTCGGCCGCTGTCGCTGCTCCCGCTGAGTTGGCTGCCGCCGCACCCGCTGCCGGCAAGCTGCGCATCATGCCCCTGGGCGACAGCATCACGGAGATCACCTGCTGGCGCGCACTTGTATGGGACATGATCGCCGAGGCTGGGTACGCCGACAAGGTGGAGTACGTCGGCTCGCAGAAGAGCAACCCGCAAAACTGCAAGCCCCAGACGGCCAACTGGGACCAGCACCACGAGGGCCACTCGGGCTGGCTGGCCATTGACATTGCCAACAACTACATCACCAAGTGGATGGCCAGCACGCCTGCCGACATTGTCATGTTCATGCTGGGCACCAACGACGTGACGGGCCGCCACAAGACGGCAGACATCATGGCCGCCTACACCAAAATCGTGACGGTGGCGCGTGCCGCCAACCCCAAGATAAAGATCATTGTCGACAAGGTCATCCCGCTGCCGCTGAGCCCCCAGGGCATCATCGACATCAACAAGGCCATCCCTGCGTGGGCGACGGGCCTGAACAGCACCGACTCGCCCATTGTGATTGCCGACTGCAACACGGACTTCCCCACGAGCGACCTCCGCGACGGCATTCACCCCAACCTGAGCGGCGACAAGGTCATGGCGTCGCGCATCGGCCCGCTGCTGCTCAACTTCATCAAGGAGTCGCTGTGAGGGAGACCCGGTTCGTCTGTCAATGGAACAGCGATGGAAAGCGCAAGACCAACGGCGGACTGTCGCAATGGTGAGAGACTATGATTGTGCCACGGGCTGCATGCTCCATGTATGCTTTCAGTGTGTTTGGATTTCTGTCTCCCTGCTTGTCTGGCCGTGTACGTTTGTTAGTGTATATTGGCTCTCCTTGTACACCGTTCGAGGTGGAGTCCTTCTCTTAGACAGATCGCGTGTTTCGATATTGACTGATAAAATCAACTTCCAATTCACTTGTTCCCAATTGGACCGACTCCCTTCGATTCATACCTGTAGAGATGCCATCCAGGAGAGACCTTGTTCGTGTCACATTGGAAACGTAGACGTAGGCCGGAATTCATTACGCGATGCCAGGTATGTGTAGGAACTGACGCAGGGGCGCATCTTCTCGCGATCGAAAAAAACCGCCAGACAATGGTACTATCATGATCTTTTCGAGCTGGCCATTGCGTTTGGTGGTGATGTACACAAAGAGATGAAAGAGGAGAAGGGAAGAAACGGTGGGATAACATAGAAGGAGCTACTGAGTAGCCTTTGGTTACTTGGGCTTCTGTGGGATCCAACTGGGAAGGAGCAACCAAGGCCGTGTCAAACGCCATACCATCAACTGGAAGTAGCGATTCGCGGAGGTCTACTGTCGTCCTTCCATATCGGGCAGGTTCACTCACTCGCCCCTACCATGATAAAGCCAAGTCCTAAGCGCCGCTCCTTCCCAACTATCGGATACTCACCGACATCTTGAAGGTGTCATTTTCTCCTTTTTTCCTTTCCTCACCTTCTCTCTCTTCTGTCAACAAACTTACTTCAACACCCATTCTCTTTCCACAAACGCAAGGGCAATAGCCGCAGGCACAGCCATCAGCTTTCAAGAATAAAACGATTCACCGGTCGTCGTGATAGAGTCAACGTCATCCAGACTCTGGCCAAAAGCTCCACAATGTTGATCGACGGCGTCATGCGTTGTTTCGACAGTACAGCACTCTGTTGGATATATCTGCTTCGTTTTTATTTCGCTAACGGATGTACGGAGCTACTTCTCATTTGTCTTCGCTGGCCGACTTATTTGGGTTTATTCTCTAGATCGTAACTCTTTTTATGTCTCTCGTCTCTTACGTTCCATTTCATCGACAAAGGTGATGTTGGTACAGCGAACCCACAGACAGTACCATCCCGTACGACCACCTCAGCGTCCTCCGCTTGCGCATACCGACCAGCAACTATGTCGCGCATGTATGTGTACGGACAGCCGCTGGCACCACCGTCGACGGCGATGAGTCCCCGGTGGCCTAGCTGGAACAGGTTGTTCTCGACGCCCCAGTCACGTCGCCGTCGACGCACTTTGGCCGTGTACGTGAGGTTAGCAGCGACGGTGCCTCTGCGGACAGGCAATGTGTACCCGGCCCTGCACAGAAGCGCCTCGGCGCCCTTGTAGGCGGCCTCGTGCGCCATCTCGGGGAACATGCCGTCGTGACAGGTGATGAGACTCATACGCACGCCGCCAGGGCCCGTAAGGACGGACACGCCGCGGTTGCACGGGTACCAAGGCTCAATGGGCGCCCAGGGATGCATCTTACAGTAGTAGGCGACAATCTCGCCGTTGGCGTTGATGGTGAGGCCGACGTTCCAGGGCTACTCTGGTGCCAGTCCGTTGCGCTCCATGATGCTGAAAACGCCCCTCCCCAAACACTCTGCTCGGCGCAAACAGCACGAAAGCGGCTACTTCGGGACCGTCCATGGAGCACAAGTTGGCCGGGCCGGTGTTCATCGACAGGCCGTGGATGCAGTACTCGGGGAACAGCACAAGGTCGGTAGCCGGGTCCTCGCGACGGGCGCGGCGCACAAGATTGTAGACATGGTCTGTGGCAGCGGCAAGCTGAGCAGGCGTGTCGACACGGAACAGCTGCGACTGCACAACAGCAATGACGATTCCGCCTATTGTTTTGTTGAGTCCGCCGAAGCCGCTCATGTTGGTGTTGTCAGTTGTGAGGCTATGCTTGTTGATTGAGAGATGGAAGGGCGGAGATCAGTTGCATCTCGAGGTCAGTCGGAAGCACGCGCTGACGACCACAACGCCAGCACTAGCACACATTCGCCGACACGTCAGATCCTCGCCCTCGAGGTCACCAAGCGTCCGACCGCCGCCATGTACACGACTCGTCAGACATTTTATAAGCCATATACACAAGAAACCTGGGAAGAATGACCAAAACCTACTATACTACGGCTGGCCGTGATGCCTTGGCGTCGTCGTGCATTTGGATGCGTACGACCATATAGCTGTCATCAGACGCCGTAACAGACTCGTCACGGACACTGGCCAGACCTTTTGTAATCGCCGGCACCATGCTGGCCGCCTTGACCTTGAGTGCCGTCGTCTTCGAGCGCAAGTGCTGTGGCGTGCCGAGCCAAATATATATACAAACAAGCGGAGCAGCTTGCGCGGCCAGCTTTCCGGTCTACAATACGGGATTCGCCGCAAAACTTCTCCCCATTGGCTTCAGAGTCATTGCCCGATTTGACACCAAGATGGCGATTCAGCTCTACGCCAAAGGCGATGTCGTCGGAAGTCGCCTTGGCTTCTTGCCAGCAACGCGGACAGCGGTGGCACCAGTGGGTCGTCCCGTTATGGCCCCACAATTGCCCGGCCAAGAACACGGGACAGTAGCAAGTGCGACTGTCTGATGACAACCTCCCGTAAGAAATACGGACGACGTGAAGACACGTCCACCAGTTTGTAGTGTACTTTGTAGTTATGCGTTGTCGAAGCGGCTCGCCGCCCAGAACCATCCCATGGTGGCACTCGACAGCAGCACGAGCGATACCAAAATCGCCACCCAAAGTCCGTACTACCAAACTGCGGACGCAAATTTCTCGTAAATGGTTAGCCAAGTATACCTCTTCTCCGCAGTCACAGAGGGGGAACAATACGTAGTTGACACGCCGCATCTGAGTGTGACTAAAAGCAACGACAAGAGCGTTCCAACGACCCGTTCCGGGACAGTATCCGTATATTTCGTAATCTGTTCCTATCTGTCAACATATGATTTTTTATATTCTGTTGTTATATTCCCTCTCGACAGTAATTGAAGAAGACGATGAATCAAGGTACGACCGGCAGCACATGGCGTCCTCGCAACAGGAGGTGCCACCGGCGAAAGTCTGAATTGAATGTTTGGGGGGATGAATGTAGCGACTAGAATAGGGCCAATAAAAGAGAAAAGGAGAACTGCGGTACTATGTGTTTCTCTTCTTCATTTTGATTATGTTGCACATGTTTTACGGCAACCACAGTGCGGTTTTGGGTCCGGCTTCGACTCCAAGCTTAACCTTCCTCGACCTCGATCGCAAACCCTGCCGGTCATCGTCGTCTTCTCGGAATGGAGCACATAGGGTCAACGGCAAACGTTGTATCCGCTGTTTGATATTGCTGTGGTGCGACGACTCTCAGGGGCGGCAGTGATATGAGGTATATGCACTGTACGTCGTATTGGCGACGGCTATGCGTGCGTTGTGCTTGTGTGGTGCCGTAACACAGGGTGTGTGAGTGCCATGAGCAGCGAGCAGTCGAGGCGCGTGCATGCGGCTTGCATGTCAATTTTACGAAAATGGACAACTGGGAGGTATTATGTGGAGAGAGAGCTTTGTGGGCATTGCTGGGGCAAAAGTTGAACAAAAGGCAAACAAAGATTGAACGAAGACGGACGAGAGGCACGGAGCCCGCCGCACGCAGGTGGATGGAGGCCGAGGTTCTCCTCTTCGCATGCCGTGTTCTGTTCATCGTTTTCTTTCCTTCCGAACATCCGTCGAATCCGATTCCTGAAATGTGAGGTCACCACGGTCAATTGGCGAATGCTGCAAGAAAACCTGCACCTATGATGCCGTCTTGAGATCCCTGAAGCGGACGAGCTGTTGATACTCTTGTCCGCACCTCATGCGGGTCCCTCCCTCGCATCACCCCTCTTGGCTTACACGGACGGCTCAGCCCAAAATAAAGATACAAACCAAGACACAAAGCTAAACTCTCTTGGAGGGGGGGTGTGCATTGGCCGACGAAAAGAAAGAAAAGAAAAGGGAAGCTTCCCTATCGCTCGGTAGCGGAAAGAACCACCCAAGACTGGGGAAAAGATGGGGGGATGTGAGGTTTATGTGGCGCGGGATCCATAAAAAGGGTTGATACTGCGGCGTAGTTCGTGCGACTCACCCGCAAGCCCACTTTGTGTTGGGACGCCCTGCATGGATCTCTCAAAGAGCTTTCCATGTTCTCTCATACGCAAATTGGCATGGAACTCGTTGCCATGCGACGTATTTCGTACTAGGCGAGTATTTACTCTGTACCTTGCTGCGTGTTTATTGGGCGCGAGCCAGCATGCACGCAAAGCGTGAGAGACGAGGGGCTCTTTGTGGGAGTGTGTTGGAAACTGTGCTTTCGATGGTAGGAACTGCTCAAAAAGCAATCGTCCAAGGGATGATGGGCCTCGACGGAAGCTCCAGAAAATAGACGGCCGTTTCCCGCCGACCCCAGATCCGTACGAAACGTAACCCGCCGGCCGAGATGCGAGCGCTCGCCCACCTCAAACGATCCACGGCCATACATTACCGACCAGCCTCGTGGCCAAACAAAGGACCACCGTGTTAGCGGCTCACGATCGACATTAAAAGCCTGGAACAAACTGGAGTCGAGTGGCCTTATGACGCCCATTCTGCCTTTTGGAAACGTAAAAAAAATCAAATGTGAAATATGGAGTATGGGGTAATGCTGCAAGCCCCAGACGGTTGTGACGCCGCTAGGGGAATTGGCAATGGTGCGCGGGGAAGTTGTGCTCGTTTTCGTTTTTTGTTTGACCTTTGCTTCTTGATCCTTGTTGTCTTGCCTATGAGCTCAGCTCTCCTCATCAAGCGTTCATGCCTTGCTCATCTTTCGGGCGTGTGGTGCTGCCTCCATCGTAAACAGCATCCAATATCACGGTCAATCCATCTGGCCACTCAGAGGCCATAAGTCGTTCGGTTCTGGATACCAAGATTTTAGACAAGGGTGCACATAAACAGAGGCACAGCCTCGCCTCGAGAAGTATGTTCGTTTTGGGACGGCCCTGCCGTGACTTTGTGCAGGCAAGTTTTTTTTTTTTTTTTTTTTTTTTTTTTTTTTTTTTTTTTGGCATTGTCCAGTTGTGTCCGCAGCCACAAATACGCCTCTGTCGGTCGTCTTTATCTGTGGCGGCAGGAGCATTAGCCAACCAGTAATACGACGTAGTTGACGACGGTACACTGGCAAATCAAAATTGGAGCAGCCGTCCTCGTCCACCAAAGTCCTACCAAACGGTCACTCAAACGTCCCCAACTCCAAGCACAGGCTATGCCCGAAAGGAAAACACCGATGTGACTTTGTCCAATGGTCAACCAGAGATAAGAGGCCACGGTCCGGGCTGCTTGACACCTCAACACCACCAGTGTAAATTGTACGGGGGCGCCGGTGCCGAAGCAAATACGCGCGTCAAGAGGAGGGCGGGCGAGCGCAAAGAGCCCAGGCGCAGAAAACTACTGCGAGAGTCACATGGGTTTATTGCGACGACCGTGGGCGAACGGGGCACTTCCTTTGACTGTTTGGCATCCCGAATTTCATAAACGCAGCTGCTTCAGTTGGACGACTTGGAATCGAAGGACAGTGCCCCAATATCAGCGTTTTTCTCGGAAACGTCCGAGGTGACGGCCGTGACCGTTCAAAAACAGGCGCCCGTGTTGGTGCCAGCGAACGGTTTGTACATGTTTGGCAGCTGTATCTATCCGCTATCCCGCCGCAGCAAGCATCGGCCACCGCCCTACCATCTTGCTTGTGCCAGGTCGTGCTCATACGTCGCCGTACGTCGTGCGTAATATTTTGCTTGTTGCTTGTCCTACCGTCTGCGCAAGCAAGGTAGTCTAGCGTCTCCGGTGGCCTGCTCAGCAGTTATGCATCACCCTCGATCGCACTAAGTACACAGTAACCAAAGCGCCCGAGATGGGCGCTTTCCCAAGACACCACGCCCACTCACCCGCACCTACTGGAAAGATGCAGCACAGGGGCCGGACGGCGTGCATGTGCAAGGCCAGCCGGCGAAGAAAAGACGGCAAAAGGAAAATAAAGACAGCCGAAGAGACCCGGCGGTTGAAGTCGATGCACGGCAATGGAGCCGAGACACGGGCCAGCACGTTTTGGACCCGCTGCGCCTCTGCGTCTTTGCGTCTTTGCGTCTTTGCGTCTGCGTCTGAATGTCGTATCTCGAAGTCTGTGTCAAAGTCGTATCGTAACTGAGCGTCGCTTCCCACAGTCTTACTGACTCGCTTGTGGAAGTGGGAATTGAGGAATAATACGCTGGCGTAAAATCAAAACAAGCACGCCAAGCAGATTGGCTAACGATTTGGCAGGCACGCGCCAGGGAAAGTTGCGACCGACTCACGGGTCTGACCTGCCGAATTGAGGTACTGGACTAGTCCCAACACAGTATTCGCCCCCAGTTAGGAAAAAAATGTTTGACGGATAGCGGCGATTGTGGGGTTTTGATTGAGGAAGCAATACACATGGAAACGACACAGAGTATGGAAGGAAAAGGGACGAGATCTCGAGAATGACAAAATATTGAGACATGGTCGAGGAGAAGAGGTATTGGCTGTCTCGAGGCTACGTCGTACAGAGGACAATCCGTGAGACCGACCAGGGACAAAAACGACGCAAAGAAATGCACTGCTTCGTTGTCGGCAGGGTCGCGCCTGCCTTCGTCGGCACGTTTGCGGTCTGCGTTCGTTCCTGGCTGCGCCTTCCCTGCAGAACACCCAACACCTGCACGACATGGGTTTACGGAAAGGACCACCGCTGGATGTTCAAAGGCCAGAGGACCAAGCTCCACGGTCTCACCGTCGTGCCTGCCGTGACGCTTCGTATCTCTGGGCGCACTTTCCCAGCTCTGACGACGTGCCTGAAATACCCTGTGCGCATACAATGTTCGTAGAAGGTAGAACAACAAACGTCGTCCCCATCAAAGGCAGGTGCGACGTGCACGCGATGCAAAGGAAAGACCGGACGCAATCTGTGCCTCGCGCTTTCCTCATCCACCACTCTTTCGAGTCATGTACCAGTGATCATAATCAGCACGCACGGCAGGTACGCATCATATTTGGAGATGCAGCTCTACGCCGGAAAGAGCAGTGCAGCCAACTGCGTCACCACTTTCCTGACGTCCTGCCATCGTGGCATTCTTGCCCTTTTTGTTCTGTCAACACCGCATGCCTCTGTGTCTCCTCTTTTCGTATCCTCTCTCTCCTCTCTCTCCTCTCTCTCCTCTCTCTCCTCCTTTCTTTCGTCCTTTCTCTGGTCCTCCACGCGAACCAACGACAACGACTGCCCCGACACCACCACTTGGAACGGTTTTCAGCCAGCCAGTCGGTGCTCACATCCCAGCTCGTCTGGCTTCTGTGCTGATCTACAGGGAACGTCGGACCAGGGACCAGGTTTGGACCGCCTGCCGCACTTGTCCGCCCCCCATTTCCACCTTTTCTCGTCCATTTTCTTGCACGGGGTACAAGCACTTCTATCGTATTTTCCGCGTCCTCGAGGACGAGGTAACGGAGCACAAGCAAAGCTCCGGGACCTTTTGGTGCCTTGTGCGGTCGTGCAGTTGTGCATTTGTGCATTTGTATTCGTCCGCCTGGCCGGTGCTTTTGTGCGTTTCTCTGCGTTTTTGCCGTTTTCTCGCCGAGTCATTGTTTCCCTTTCTTTATTGTCACCTCGACTCGACTGGACCCTCTTTACTCGTGAACGTTTGCCACTGGGTCACAAGCCCTAGTACCGGTTTCCCGGCCTCTTTCTTTGCCCTCTTACACTTTTCAAGCAGTGTCAACACGCAGCCTAATAATACTCACTTCGAGAGAGGAGACGACACGTCCTGCTACAGTACGAAGAAGAAACAGTCTGCGAGACTTGACAAAAGCGGGCGTCAAAGGCACAAACGAAAACCCGCATCCACTGCAACACTCCGTCCACACGACGCGAGACCTTTATCTCTCTGCAACCCGCCTCTATCTCTTCGTCCGGCACTACTCTGGACAGCCCAGAACGATTACAGAACAACCTTTTCTGGTCTGGTCTAGCCTTCGATCCTGCCAGCCGGCCATTAAAAAGCGAGGGAATAAAACGAAACCGTACTAAGAAAGAGGGCAGAGACAAGACGAAAAAAAAAAGAAAAAAAAAGAAACAAGAAAAAACAGTCAAGCTCGCAAACCAGCACCCCCGAAAATACCCTTCCCGCTCACATCGCTGTTGCCTCGTGTGCTCACTTTTGCTTCTTTTTTGGTTTTTTATTTTCTTTATTTTCTCATTCTACCACTCACCCGTAGCTCGCCCGCCCAGAGCCTCTGATCATCTCTTGCGCTCCTCGCCTTCGCCGCTTTCCCTGTTTCCTCGTTTCTCAGTTTGTTTCCTGTTTGCTCTCCGGCGCCCCCCGTACACATTTGGTCTCTACGCTACGCGAGATCAGAAGCTCGACCGCACGCAATTGCACCCCCCCCCCCCAAAACCCTAGACAAGGACCCAGCTCTGCCAACGTCTATTATCTTGATACCACACCCGGTCCACCCACCAAACCGCACACCCACCCCCAATCCCTCTTGGCACTAACGCCGGTGCTCTTTCTGCCTTTTGACAACTCCTCATTATCATCTTCTATCTTTCCTCAATCTTTGTCACTCGTTTTGTGTCGTCCGTTGTCAATCTCACGGTGCCCACCCCCTTCTCTCACCCCTGCCCGTTCTTCTGTCTCGTTCTTGCCCGCCACCCCTTACCACATCGAATACAACAGGTATGCCACTTATATAAACTCTGGCCTTCCAACCGTCGTTTTGGTCTCGAACAACATCTTGTCTCGTTCGTCTTCAGGCTCACCCATACGGTCACCGCAAACCTTTGGTCAGCACACCAGGGATCGTTTTACGCAACAACACGGATTGACCTACCTCAACTCGTTTTGTTTTCCTGACGCTGTGATTCAACCGTCATCATGAACAAAAAGGACGAGTACGACACCAGCGAGACTTTCATGGGCGGCAGTGACGACGTCGGCGTTGGCTACACCAGCAACGAAAATGTCGTCCACCAGGCCGACTTCACCGTCGGCGACTCCTGGTACGCAAAGTTGCAGCGCATGGCCGGCAAGCTGGGTGTCGAGCAGCGCGGTATTGAGCGCGTCCCCGAAGATGAGCGCACTGACACCACAATGACCAAAGTCGGCACAATGGTATGTCACGGAAACAAAAAAAAAGAAGTCGAGTTGAATAAACACAAGGCCACATCTGCTAACACCGCAATCAGTGGCTCTCTGCCAACATGGTCGTGTCGTCCTTTGCCATTGGCGCCCTCGCCGAGCCCATTTTCGAACTGGGCTTTCTCGACACCGCTCTGACAATCGTCCTCGTCAACGCCCTCGCCATTACTCCCGTCTGCTTCTTCTCCACGTTTGGTCCTCGCTTCGGCTTGCGTCAGATGGTTCTGTCCCGCTTCTTCTTCGGCTACCACTTTGTTAAGATCAGTATGTGCTTCCTTGTCTCTATTCGTATTTTATTTTATTTTATTTTATTTTTTTTGGGATGGGCACCCACTTACACACCTACTTCAGTCGCGTTCTTCAACGTCATTGCCTGCATAGGCTGGTCCGCCGCCAACGTCATTGTCGGCGCCCAGCTGTTCAACGCCGTCAACAGCAACATGCCTGGCTGGGCCGGCATTCTTGTCATCGCTTTCTCCACCCTCTTCGTCTGCTTCTTCGGCTACCGCATCGTCCACATCTACGAACGCTGGTCGTGGATCCCGTGCCTCATCATCTTCATCATTGTCGCCGCCGAGTTTGGCCACACCGGCAAGTTCAGCAATCTGCTGCCCCTTGCGACCGGTCGCGGCGAGGCCGGTGCCGTCCTTTCCTTTGCCGCGTCTGTCTTTGGCTTCGGTACCGGTTGGACCTCGTACGCCGCCGACTACACCGTCTACCAGCCCGTCGGGCGCACCCGGCGCTCCGTCTTCCTCTGGACCTTTGGTGGTCTGTACTTTCCCCTTCTCCTAACGGAGCTGCTGGGCGCCGCTGTTATGACCGCCGCCGCTCACGATACCGACTTTGCCAACGCCTACTACGACGGTGGTATTGGTGGTCTCATGGCCATGGTTCTTGTCCCGCCATTGGGCCGCTTCGGCCAATTTTGCCTTGTCATCCTCGCCTTGTCCATCATCGCCAACAACTGCCCCAACATCTACTCCGTCTCCCTGTCTCTGCAGGTCATGCACAAAGAAACCCAGCGCATCCCCCGCTTCATCTGGGTCCTGATCGGCACCGGTGTCTACATTGCGATTGCCATCCCCGGCTACAACCACTTCGCCACATGGCTCGAGAACTTCATGACCATCATTGCCTACTGGCTCGCCATCTATGAGGGCATCTCCCTGACCGAGCATATTGTGTTCCGCCGGGGCTTCCAGGGCTACAACGTTGACGACTACACCGATGCCAGCAAGCTGCCGCCCGGCTTTGCCGCCGCCCTGGCCTTCTGCTTCGGCATCATGGGCGTCGTCCTGGGCATGGCCCAGACCTGGTACATTGGTGTCATTGGCAGGCTGTGTGGCACCGAATACGGTGGAGACATCGGCTTCGAGCTGGCTTTTGCCTTCTCATCCACCTCCTACGTGGTCCTGCGCACCGTAGAGAAGAACTACTTCAAGCGTTAAAAGTGGACGACATCAGCAGCCGGCCGCCGCTGTTTGGTTTCGACAAGGGAGTTTAAAAAGGGGAGATTGGTTTCATTTTTTATACATCATTTTAACACCTGCTTTTTCCTTTAACGTTCTCCGTTTTGAAAACTTCACTCACATCCAACTTCTCATCCACCGGCGTGGCTACCACCAATCTCACCCCCTCCCTTCTCTGCGTTCCCATTTTTAAAGCTTTTTTTATGTCTGTATGAAGGAGGTCTACATTTTTGCTTTCATTCATCTTTCTGTTACAATACCTCATTGTTTGATTGTTGTTGTATTTTGGGCTTATACATGTGTCTACATATCCAAGCCGTTCAGCAAAGCTTAGGATCTGAATTGATTGATCTCAATACCATATCTTCACCAATGCTGCACAGCGTGGAACATGTCGAAATATGAACCTATTCTTGCCACGCCAGCATATTTATGATGGCCTAGCATAATAGAGACGCAAAATTTAAATGCGAAAGGTCATTTTAATACAAATCGTTTTTACTGCGAGACTTTGTCTCTACTGAGAGTCACGATCGTTATAAGAATATTTCGTGTTGTATTCCTCTGGACTTGTTTCAATTTATTTATTTGTTTGTTTTATAAAAAACGACAAGAAAGTTTTCTTTCGTAGTATTCACTCGATTTTAAGATATATATTTAAAATTAAACGTATGTCCGTTAATACAATAAATTGGTACTTTTCGTGACGAAACCCAAAAACCAAAGGAACCATTTTCAAGTAAACACAGTCCTGTACAACATGGACTGTTCTCGAATTAATCAACTCATAATACAGAAAAGAGCAAAAGCGAGATGTATAACCCGAGAAACAAAACATCCCTTTTAAGAATAAATAAAAGTATGGTAGTAATGCAGGAAGTAATGAAACATAATGGGACATAAGAAAACATACATAGATACTGGTGCGTCCATACCATTTACAACCTTCACCACCCACATATACAGACAACTCGCGCTTCGCCTACGACTGGTAAAACGCCGACTTCATAAACGTATCTGCACCAGCCGCCTTCTGCGCAGCAGCCTTCTCGGCCATCACCGGGTCGGGACCCGTGGCCGAAGCAGGTGCCACCGTCGTCGCGCCGCTATTGCTCGTCGACACGCTGCCGGCCACGCTTGGGGCCGACGGCGGTGCCGGTAGGAGCTGCTGTTGCGGCTGTTGTGCGGCCGCCTTCTCCTTGGCTGGGTTCGGCATCACGCGAAGGTAGGTCGACGGCAGGTAGCCCACGCGGCCGTCGCGCGTCCGGCACTGCCACCAGTCGGACGGGTTGCCGAGCGGGTCGGTCCGGCCCAGCACCACCACGAGATCGTCGCGCTTCACAGCCAGGTCGAGGCTCGGCATGCTGCTGGCGGCGCCGCCTGCTTGTTGCTGCTGCAGATTCAGCTGCTGCTGCTGGGCGACAAGGGCCGGGTCGGGGGTGTAGTCGTAGAGAACACGGCAGAAGTCGAGCTTGGACGGGTCATTGAGCGCCTGCTGTTGTTGCTGTTGCAGGGCCATCTGCCGACGCTCCTCCTCCTCGTGCGATGCTGCCAGCGACTTGATCATCTTGCTCATCAGATACGGCAGGCCGAATGCGGCGAGCACGAAGAAGAAGAGAGGCTTGCGGCTGGGCTTGGGTGCACCGGCGGCACCGTCCGGGCCAGGGGGTGCTGTGCGGCCCTCGAAGCGCGCAAATGCCGCGGGCGTCAGAGCCATGGCGTCGGCCGGTGGCGGGCGGCCGGTGATCTTGGCAATCAGTGTCCGGATCCAGCGCATCAGTGTGAAGATGCCAAGGATGGAACCGAGAGTGTCGCGCAGATTACCAAACTGCTCCGCAACCGAAACCATTGCTATGAGGTGTTAGTGGTATTGTGAAAAAAATTAAAAAAAATGGAGATAACCAAAACATGGATGGTCACGACATACCAAAGAAACTCGAGTGTGTAGCCATGTATGTGCTCTCCAGCATTTGTGCGAAGCCGCCAAAGGCGCCGACAATGCCCTCAAGCATCTGGAAGGTTGCCTGAGTGTTCGTGTTGAACCGGTTCGTCAGGCTGTTGGGGTCGTTGGGATCGCGCATGCCCATTCCTCCGCCATACATGCCGCCACCATACATGCCTCCGCCGTAGCCACCGCCGTACATGCCGCCGCCGTACATTCCGCCACCGATCGTGCCGGCGCCGTATCCGCCGTATCCGCCATATCTATATGGCGAGGAGTAGGTTGAGCCATATGCACCGCCGTATGGAGAGCCGAGGGCAGATGTTGCGGTGCCTAAGCGGCTGTAGGCGGCGGCATTCTGGTTGACGGAGGTTGTCAGGGAAGCGGGCATCGGGGGGACAGCCGGGGCAGCTGATGCGTCGGCAGTCGCCGCGGCAGCGGGAGAATCGGATGATGCCATGCTAAGAGCGGGTGCTAGAGCGCAAAAACACATGTTAGCTGCCGCCAAAGTATCGCATGAGCAAACGGTAAGCAAGGATCAATCACATGGACCACGTACATGAGGTTGCCGTCCCGGCGGCGCGGTTCCTTTCCCAAGGTTTTGGCGGCGATGCCATAGGCTGCACGCCAAGCGTAGAGTATTTCTGAATAGGGGATTCGAGATCACGTTTTCCTCTACTGTGCTCTGCGTTCTTGCGCTATGAGCAAATGGTTATCGGTCGACGTTCGCTCGTCGGTCGGAGCGTTGGCGATGTCTTCTGCGCTTTCAGGCGCGCGTGCCGATCGAATAACAGACCTGGAGATCTGTAAACCGAGTGCCGAAGCGTATCCAACTGGAACTTCGATGCGCCGAAGGCGCTTAGGAGAATCTGGATGAAAGGCCAGATGCAAAGTCGTGATGTGATGATCCAGTTGCAAAGGATCTTGGGGGATCGGAACGAAGCAGGATGTGCGAGGAAAGTAAAGAGGCGCCGGAAATCCCAGGAAAGCGAAGCACAGATATTCCAAAAGTAAAAGAGCAAGGGCAAGAAGAGTGAGAGGAGAGCTTCGTGGTTGTTATGGGTGTGCGTGGTTGTTGAGGCTGAATAAAGATGATTACCAAAAAGTCGTTTGTGGAAATGGAGGAGGACAAGGATGAAGGCGACAAACACAATAGTAGAGGAAAGAGCAAGAACGGGGGGAAAGTAGCGTGGAGAATCAGAAGGAAAATTGGAATGCACCTTCTGTAAGATACCGACCGAAATGGGGAGGCCTGTGAGTTTGGGAAGGAGCAACTGAGGGGCCTCTAACTCCGCTATGAAAAGACAATGGAGAAGGCGCGACCACTAGTAATTGACAACCAATTGACAGCAGTTATTAACAACAGGCAAAGGAAATACGGGTTGTCAAGTCCTAGCAACGTCTCCAATATTGGATATATTCAACCGAAAGACTTTCTCAGAAACGTCGCGAAAATACAGTGTAATTACTGAAGAAATATGAGGATAGAAAATGGATTACAGAAGACAAGAGGGAAGGTGCGGATGGCGAAAAATTACTGGGGAAGAACGAGCAACGAGAATCCACCCGCCTCCGCATTTTCAGGGAAGGAGCGACGGACTGGCTTCTTGCTATGCGCGTGCGCAGTGAGAGAACAAGCAGTCCTACAGCTGGAATTTGGGGAATCGGGGACAACTCGGGCAAAGGCTACAGCGAGTGATGACTTACCGGGGTACAAGGTGCGGCGAGCAAAATGCGCACTGCGGACCGTGGACCTCGGCAAGCTGCTGTGAGTCTGGCTGGGCCTGGCATTTGGTGGAGGAAGGAGCGGCCTTGCCGAGTTTGTTTGGTTGTTGGACACTCAGCCAATTAGATAACGCTGACGGCTTATACTGCACTTTTATTGGCTGGGGCCCACCCTAATTGAGAAGCACATGTTCCTAGTGCACAGTATGAATAATATAGTCAATATGTCCCAGATTCTGTACATAACACTGTACTCTTGGCATGTCATGATGTCACTCACGACTTACAAGTAATTACATCTGAAGTTCACACCGCAGCTGTGTAGGCACACGCAACAGTATGTGGAGCCTCCGCGTATATGTCTTAGAATTTAAAGTTATTAGAACAGCAACATACAGTGACTTCATGTCGTTTTATTAATATATGCATGCCAGAATGACTCAAGAAACTCACGAGATCAATGGCAAGCCCACAAGGCTGTCCAGATCCCGTACACGGTATCCATGTCAAATAAACACCAAAACACCCACCAGGTATATCATATTACTTCATCAATGATTTTCGCTCACTACTCAACTACTCATGAAGCTTTTGATTCTTCCCGCCACGTCGTCGAGTCGTTCTCGGCGCCGTATCGTTCTCGTCCATATCGGCATCAACGCCCTCGTCCAAGATGTCCTCGTCGTCTTCCTCAAGCAATGCAGCCGAGGTTCGTCCCTTGCGCTTCCGGCCGGCAGATGGTTTGGACGTTGGCACGACCGGCTCTGAGGTTGTGCTATCAGACTCGACGGCCGTCGTGTTGGCCTTGAGCCTGCTGACGGCGGCGGCGAGGCGGCGGCTGCTGGCCGTGTTCTTGTTGCGGGGCGCGTGGCGCGGCGCATACTCCTCGGGGATGTTGGCCAGCTGCTGCTGCTGCAGGCGCTGCTGCTTTTCCTGCTGCTCGCGCACTTGTGCCTCGGTCAGCCGCGCGCCTGCGCCGACAGCGCCCGAGAAGTAGCGCGTAATGTTGCTCTGCGTGCCCTCCGTCTCGCGGCGGTTCATGTCGCGGATCACGGGCACCAGGACCTCGTCCGTGCGCTCTTGGCTCCAGCCGATCGTGGCCATCAGGAAACTGCGCAGGCCGTCGAGGTCCGGCACACCCCACTGGAACGGCTCGGCGCTGTGGTCCACCTCGGGATGCAGATAGGCGTCGACCACGGCTGGGCTGGGAAACCCGAGCGGCAAAAACAGCTTCGTGGCCTGCGACTTGCGGAACTTGCGCCGGAACGACGACGCGGCGTCGGCTTCTTTGGGCCGGTTGTGTGACTGCACGTCTTGCCACCACGCGCGGAACTGCTCGAGACCGTCGGCGCCGGGGAACTCGGAGATGATCTCCATGGCTGTCACAGGGCCGATGCCGGGGATGCCGTCCGTGTAGTCGGAGCCGAGCAGCTGGGCAATGGCGATGAGCTTCTCGCGCGACAGGGACATCTCGCGCTCGAGGTCGGCGCCGATGTAGCATTCCACAAACTTGTTGCCGTTGAACATGTTCTTGTAGACGCGCGTGCCTCCGAACAGAAACGTGTCCGAGTCGTCCGTGACAATGCCGTCGACGAGCCCCAGCGACACGAGCTCGGCGCACTGCGCTTCCGCCTCCATGGGCGCCGTGATGTATGGAATGCCAAAGAGCCGCAGTAGGGCCTGGCACTCGGACACCATGACTTGTGTGACCTCGTCTGCGTCGCGGCGGTCCTTCTTTTGCTGGTTGCGCAGGGCCTTGAGCTCCTGTTCGTAGGCCTGCTGGGCGTCGGCGGTACTGTTGTTGTTGTTGTTGTGGTTGAGGGTGCTGGCAAAGCGCGCGTGTTCTTCGACTTCTTCCGCCATCTGCACGAGCAGCTCCTCGTCTTCCGGATCGCTGATCTCGTAGGCATCCTCTGTGCCGCCGCCGCCATCTCCTGTAAATAGCTCGTCGTCCAGCCTTTCTTCTTCCTTGGGAGCGTCTGGAACCTCACCAAGTTGCAACATCGGCTCTCCCTGTTCTAGGACCGCTTGCTCTTCCTCAAATATTGTGGGCTGTTCTGGGATCTTGACGTCTTCGAATTCAACTTCCGGAGACGACTGTCTTGTTTCTGTGAGGGGTTCAGTAGTTGGTCGTGCGGTTGGTGGCTTTTGCTCGCTCCCAGCAGTATCACCTTCAATAGCGACAGGGTCCCTGTTATCCGCTTGTGACATCCCATCCTGAACACTATCGTTTGCTAGGTTTTCATTCTTTGGCGGTGGCGGCACATCCAGCACTTCGATATCGCTGCCGTCGTCGCTCGACGAGTCAATCTCGACGATGCGCTTCTCCTCCATGCGCTGCCAGATCTTGGCTTCTTCGAGGGCCATCTCCCGGTCTTCGGCATTGATCTCGTCGTCGTAGAGCTGCTGTTGTAGCATGGACGTGCGAATGTCCGCGTCGTGTAGCATCCACGGCGGCAGAGGCTGAGGGGCCGTTTCGTCACGGACCTTATCGGGCCCGCCGTCGATATCAGCATTCCCCCCTTGCACACCGTCTGATCCGCCTGCCTCGGACTCGGAGCCACTAGGCTCCCGCTCAAATCCACCGCCAACTTCGTCCTCCGAGTCTACCTCGAAGGCACCGGATTCGGCGGCATTTGCAGCCGCAACGGCAGCAGCAGTCGCGGCTGCGTTCGCCTTGGCTGATGCAGCAAAAGGCGAAGCCATGTGCACCTCCTCTGATTGTGCTGCAGCTGACGTCCTGGGCTTTGTGCGTTCCGGCGGTGGTGCTGTTGGTTTCTTCTCAAAGATGGACGTCTGCCAGTTGAGCTTCTCAAAGGGCAGAGGGCCGTCAAAAGCGTTCCTTTTCTGAGGCTGGATGGGACGGGACGAACCAGAATTCTCAACGGGTACGGACTTCTTTTTCTTCGCTGCCTTGGCCAAGGCGGCCCGGATATCAAGTTCGCTCCCGCTGCTGTCGTCGTCGTCCAAATCATTGGCAGCTGCTGTCTCCCGTGCCTGTGCCGCCGCTGTGGCAGACCCGGATACTACGGCGTTCGATCGATTATTTACGACATGGGCAACCATTTGGCCAGTCGAACCGAAAATGGGCCGTGCCGCTTCAGCTGCCTTTTGCTGCCATTGCGGAGCCGTCCTCTCCGGCTCATCCACCACGTCCTCACTCTGGCCGTCCCCACCATCAGACTCTGCACCAACACCATGCTGGTTCTGCAAAGACATAGCAATGGCGCGGCTCAGGTCTTCGTCTTCGTCTGCTTCTAGAGCGTTGTCGGCCTGCGGTGGTTCGTCGAGTGGCTCATGACTTTGGACAAACAACGAATCGTCGTCCACGTCTTCGTCCGCGCCAAGAGCACGGTTGCCGGCGGCCGGACGAGAGGGGAGCTTGGGGAGGCGGTTCAGCCCCTCAATGGGCACGTCCTCAAACTCCATGTCCTCGTCCTCGTCCGCCTCGGCGCCTCCGTCGTTGTCACCCTGGTAGCTGAAGTGCAGAGCGTCCACATCAATAGGCTTGTGCACTTCGCCCAGGTCTTTCTCCCGACTGACAACGCCCAGGGCCCAGCCGCCTTCGGCGCCGTCGTTCTTGACGAGAATGTACTCGCGGCCGCGCTCGCCGGCCACGCGCCCGTTGACACCCATGGTCAGGTCGAGGCCCGTCATGCCCACTTCCAACATGAGCCGCTGCGTGAGATGGTTGCGCTCGCGCACACGCTCGATTTGGAAGCGCGAAAAGGCCATGCGGTCGGGGAACATGGTGTCGAGCTGCTCCTTGCTGAGGCCCAGACGCAGCCGGCTGCGAATGCGCGCGGCGTTGAGAATGTTGTAGCGGTCGGGCGGCGGCAGGCTCTTGAAGAAATCGCCGTCAAAGTCGATTTTCGAAAAGTCGTAGAGGTTGATGTCCTCGCCGTTGTCAAACTGCCGCGCATACGACTCGAGCTCCTCGATGCTCATGATCCGCGGGTCCTCGGCGCGGCCCATGCCCTCGATGGAGCCGTGCTCGAGCTCGGGCAGGTGGTAGGCGTCCTTCTTGGTGAACTTGCGGCTCCGTAGCCGCTCTTGCTGTGTCATGTGCGCCTCCTCGGCATAGACCATCTTGTCGGCCGAGGGCAGCACCTCGCCCTCCACGACACCGCTGCTGTCGGGAGCCGCGACGTCGCTGGGACCGCCCGGGCCGCCCTCGCGCAGTTCCTGGTCCCGCCTCTTCCGCTTCTCTTCTTCTTCTTCGGCAAGACGGTGCATCTGCACGGCCAAAAGCTTGCCGGCGGTGCGCACGGCATCGTCGCGGCGGCCTTCACGGCGGCGGCGTCGAGCCTGCAGCGTGGCGCGCTTCAGCGTGGGAGCACCGCCATCAAAGACAAACACGGGCAGGATGCCGAACCACAGCAGTTTGCAGATGCGGCGGAAGAAGCCGACGACATGGGCGTTGCGTAAGGCGTTGCCCTCCTTGTCGCGGACGGCCTTGAGAAACTGGTAGATCCAGATGGAGGCATCGACGGCCAGGCGCTTGCGGTTGAGCGTGGCCAAGTTGGTCGGCCGCGCACAGGGCTGCAGCACCTGCCACAGGCCATTGACACCCATGGCGGCGGAGTGTCTGAAAAGACGAGGCGGTGGACGAGATGCCGATGGTCCAAGAAGAAGAAGGCCCAAGAAGGTCCAAGAAAAGCTCAAATGGGTGGCGGAATGGCTGTCATCGCTTCCGGTTTGGCCGTCAAGGCTGGAGATTCATGACTGCTGAGCAGGGCCCTTGACAGTGGCAGTCGAAAGGCCTTGTGAGAAGTGCACGTCGAAGCAAGTAAAGTCTGGTCTACAGATCTCTCGAAGACAGAAAATGGTGCATTGGATGAAAGTCGCCACGACGCTGGCGAGATGCTTCTGCCTGCGTGCACTGAACGCGACGTCTACAGTGGCGCTTGCCGCACGGAAATGGCGCGCAGTCACGCCGTCACTCAACGAGAAAAGCGGGCCAGCCTGACCCACCTTGCCACTCTAGTGAAGAGCTGGATAAAAACATAAATTAAAAATGCTTGTATGCGATGTCCCGTAAAGTCTCTAGATGCATACATACTGTGTACAGTACGTTACGGCGTGCACTGTGCTGCTCTGAGACATGTGGGGCGCAGAACAAAGGCAGCGTCTTTTCGATGGCTGGATGACCTTTTCACAGCAAATGAGGATCACCCTATCACCGTCAGCCCAGCAAGGAAGCAGACGCCGCAACTCCATCACTATGACGATTGCGGCCATGGCGATGTCCCCTGCTGCCACTACCACCGCTACTACCACCGAGTGATACAGAGTGAGACTGTGTGCCCTCGAGGGCACAGCCGCAAAGCAAGCGGTCGATTCCTTGGAAAAGGCACAGCAGGTCAAGTGACAAAGACTCAGTTGCCTCTGCTCCAAGGCCGTCTACACGCCCACACACGCATACACACATGGAGTCACACGAATCCGTACCTGCGTCTGCGTCTGCGCTGACACCCGCAGCTGCAGCGGCAGCGCCCCCGTCTGCTGCTCATGAGGCAGCCATCCGAGAAGAGTCCAGGGTCTACCTGCAGTCGCTTCTCAATAAGCATCTACTTGTGCACACGACAGACGGCCGCATGTTCCGTGGCGAGTTCAAGTGCACCGATCCCGTGGGTGTCCCTGTTTTGAGCCAATCCGAAGCCTGCCCTGGGCTGATGGGCAGATTGAAAGGGGCAGCTTTGTTCCCCGGCCGTGCCGTCCACTAACATTGCTAGGATTGTAACATCGTGCTGGCGCATGCAACCGAGTACCGGCAGCCGACGGCCCGGCAGCGGGCCCAGTACGCTGCACAGCAGGCCGCGGCGGGTCAGAGCAGCAGGGCCGTGATGAACATGACGTCGCGGTACCTGGGGCTGATTGTTACGCCGGGGCACCATATTGTGAAGATTGAGGTGGAAGAGTTTACGAGCCAATTGAAGCGGCCACCAAGGCCGTTTTGACGTGACGAGGCAACGCCAGAAAAAGCAATACCGTATGATACCATAAATAAAGCAAAAACACCGTGTATTGTATCTTTTAAGATCCGAGATCCACCTTGACCATTTTACATACAGAACTGCTCTCAACCCGTGGCCCTCTCTGTTTCCGCATCCCCCGTGTCCGTGGTATTACAGCCGCCGTCTAAGATCAACATCCAACAGAAAGGGGGCAGGAAGAGAATACAGGCAAAATCACATGTGGCAAAAGCAAACGCAAAACGCAAAACTCAAAACTCATCCTAGATTCCAATAATAACCATAGAAATACAAAACGAAAAAAAGGGCAGAAGGGTAAAGAGGACAGCAAATGAAAAGGGGGTATCGTTCACTGCCACAGAGAAAAGAGAAACCGGTCGCCAAGGACACACCTTTCTCCCACCCTCCGAAACAGCAGTCGAAAGGAACGACTAATTAGAAGTCAAGAGAAAACATCCATTGACAAATAAAAATTATGACAAACGAGGTACGTGCCAAAAGAAGTCAGTCACGACAAGACTCTGCTTACGCAGCAATCTCCTGGGTGCGGCCGCGGCTCTCGCCGTTCAGGCCAACCTCGCTCTCGCCAAGGTCGTCCTCGTCGCCGCGAAGCTCGTCGTCCTCTTCGTCGTCCTCGTCGCCGTACTTGCCGCCGTGCTCGCCGGCCGAGACCCACTGGTCACGGTCGTTGAGGGGCGCGTCCTGGCCCGACAGGTCGTGGCCGTTGCCGGCATCCTCGGCGCGGGCCTTGATGAGGTTGCGGCGGCGCGTGGACAGGGTGCGGGCGCGGGTGGACAGCTTGGAGGAGACGGCGGCGTTCTGGGAGACCCAGTTGGTCAGCGAGTCCTCGCAGTCCTGGATGATGGCCTTGCTGGCCTCGTAGCCGTCGTAGGCCGGGCGGGTCTCGCCGGGGGTGACGGGGGTGTCGTCGATGAGCTCGAGCAGGTGCTTGCCGTAGCCCGCAATGATGGCGACCTTCTCGCTGTGCTCGCGCATGGCGTCAAAGTGGTACGCGTAGGCGGCCTTGATCTTCTCGCGCGTAATGTTGGACAGCTGGGCCTCGGCGACGAGCGACTCGGCCTCGGCGCGCACGAGCTCCTGCTCGAGCACGACAATCTTGGGCGAGTTGGGCTCCTTGTACTTGAGGTGGGCGATCTGGTCGGTAATCTTCTGCTTGCGGTCGCGGCTGGGCTGGACCGAGGCCTCGATGTTGCGGATGCTCTTCATGGTGACGCGGTACTGGTCGTAGCGGTCGACGTACTGGTCCTCCAGCTCGCCGATCTCGTAGATGAGCACGCCGAGCTTGTCGGTGACGTCGGACACGTCCTCGTCGCCGGCCTCGCCCCAGATGGACAGCTGCTGCGCCACGTCCATGCGCTCCTTGGCGACAAGCTCCATGCTGCGCATCACGTTCTTCTCCATCTTGACAAGCTGCGACAGCTTCTTCGACAGGTCCGGGCCGAAAGCACCGGCCGCGTTCCTTCTAAGAGCATGGCCTGGAGGGTTTGGTTGTTAGCCACGGATTGAGCTCAATTGCGATGGAGGCATTTGGCGACATGTCTTACCGAATCCTCCCTTGCCGAACAGGCGGTTGGACTTTGTAGACGAGGGCGGGGGCGGGGGATTCTGTGTATCGCGGAAGGTCCGGGTTAGCGATTGGCGTCAGACACGGCAGGGACGGCCGCAATGGTTGTAGCGGCCGCAACGACCAAAACGGCAGGAAACAGCCAACAGTCAGAGAGATGGCAACGTACCTGGATCTGCGAGGCGGTGGGCGCCCGCGACTGGCGCATAGAGTAGGTGCGATGCATGGTTGCGAAGGGGTGAGGTGGCTGTTCGTAGAAGGCGCGATTGACGCAGCGAACAAAGAAGACGAAGTTGCAGAAAAGGGAAACTGCAGTTGCACGCGGGGGAGAAATGTGCAATTAGGCAATTGGCACAATTGGCAGAATTGGCAGGAGCGATTGTGCGATGAAGCCGAGAAATGCAATGCGACGATGCGTCTGTTGTTGAAAAGGTTTGCTTCTTTGTAGATTGCGCTTCTAAACGAGAGGAAGAAAAGGGGAGCAGGGGAGTAGTATAGGATGGAGACGAGAATGAAAAGGGAGAAGAAATGTCGATGAATACAGTCACGACAGACGGACAGCCAAATATATCGACGAGAGAAACGAGGGGGGAGTCTGTCAGCACATGTGCGTAAAAGCTATATTTATGCTACCCGCAGCAGCAGGCAGGCCCAGGAGCTAGGCCGGGTGCGTTCGAGCTTGGGGGGCTGGAAGCAACACGAACAAGACGGGTTTCTCTCGTCCCTTTTCCGTTTTCTTGGCTTGTTGTGGTGTGAATGGTGCGTCGACGTCATCCAGGCCCACCGCAGGCTGTTGGAGCACCTGCCGTCTGAGGTGTGCGCATCCAAGGCCGGCCAGATTGGGCACTAGCGTTCTAGCTGCGCCCACCTGCAGCCCCGACAGAGGCATAAATACGCACTAAGCCGGGCGAGTACAACGGTTCGAGAAGTTGGCCAGACCAACAAGCAAGAAAACGCTCATTTGGTGCGGCGCACCGATAGTTTCCCCTCTACGGGAGGAGACTACGAATAAGGACTACGAGTTTGCACGCCTCGAAACAAACAGCTACGGCACTAGCGCTGGAGCTGAGTGAACGATTTCCTGGCCGGAGGGCGACAAAAGGACGACAGAATACATCATACATTGATCGGCGGCCGCATCTGGGAGGTGGGCCAGAGACGAGGTGCGAGGTTCGTGCTGGCGCTTGGTACGAAAGAGGGAAGCGATAAGGTGTGCGCAGAACTAGGGTTACGTCGTACGTAATTCGTAGTAGGTCGTACGTCGCACGTCGCACGTCGCACACCGTCTTCCTCGCCAGGCGAACAGAAGACCTTCAATAGAAATCAAACAGATCAAGCAGATGAGGAGTGGTGAAGCAATGAGGATGTTGTACTGAAAACAAACAACGAGATACGAAGGATGCGTATTGTATACTTGTATGTCTGAGTAAGGCACGACGCCAGTGAACTCTCCTATGAAAACAAGTGGAGGCGTCAACAAAGGGGATGCCATCGCATAGCAAAGTGATGCATCGATCCAAAGACAGTCTGTAACTGTATTCACACGTTGTCCGAGCACATTCCACTATCCGACCAGTTCATATGCATATAATGAGGCGGCGGCGCATGCCCCACCTGCGCCTGTCAGCCAATCAGCCGCTCCTTCCGCCGCTCCCCGCGACCAGCCAATCAGCAACTGAGTCTTGGCTGGACCTTCCGCGATTGCGACACTGGGGCCTGTTTGCGCTGTCGTCAGAGGCCCTGAGGCCGCTAAAATGGGCTGCTCCTGCCGCAACGCGTTTTTGATGTTCCTGCCCGGCGGCATCAAGCACGTCTGGGGACTTTTGCCTCGCTCCTCCACAACGCGCCGCGCTCCACGGCCTCACCATCCCGGCCCTCCACATCTACGCCGAGCCGCCAGCAGCGTCCACGACGGCCACGCTCCTGGCACGTCCATCTGTACGGCTGTCCTGCACGTCTGCGCGATCGCGTGCTCACAAACGCAAACGGCGCATCGCGACACGGACGCGGCGGACCCAGGCCCCTTTTGCTTTCTCCGCTGTTTTCTCACTTTGTCTTCACCTTTTGTCTTTGTCAACTTTACATATCACGTCATTGTTCTTTATTTTTCACGTTTTTTTGCACTTTTTTTGTATCGTTCGTTTGCTGTGCTGTTTGTCACTTGCGTGGCTCATGCATCTACCACCACGCCGTTTGCTCAGCGGCCCATAGGCGCATTCTTCTTTCCTGCGACCTATTCCTCCTCCCTTTCTCTCTCCGTGCCATCGCGTTGCATTGCCTGGTATGATACAGACGCCTAGGCAAAGCAGTGGCTGTGGAAGTCGACGACGCCGCCGGCAGGGACTGGGACTAGAAGATACGGCGCAGAAGCATGGCCACCCGGCCTTCGTCTGAGGTCATTGATCTCACAGAGGACGACGACATGGAAAACGAGCTGGAGATCCTCCGGAGCACGCACACGCCGCGCAATCCACCACTCTCCCGCGCACGCAACCCCATGCAGTACTTTGCCACCATCTACCGCGAGGGTGACGCCGTGTCTGCGTCGGCCAGCTTCACGGCACCGTCACCGCAGGCTGCAGCGGCGGCTGCGCCGTCACAGCCGCCGTCCTCGCGATCCACACATTCGTCACCCTTTGCATCCACCCTGGGCTTCGGGCACTTCTTTGGACGCCAGCACCGCGGGAACTCGCCCGTCAGTCGGGAGCAGGCCGCAGCCGCCGCACAGGGCAGCGCGTCGCCGCCGCCGGCTCGTCCGGGCAGCCAGCAGTCGGAGTCATTATATGGCCGGCCCTCACCCGGCCTTCACCGGCCGCCGTCAGGACAGGGAGGGCAGGCATCTTCGCCGCGACCGTATGCTCAGCCCTCGCAGTCGGAGCCGGCGTCTGTTTCTAGTCCGTCGGGTGCAACAAGACCGGCGGCTGCGAGTTCTTCGGACTATATGCTGAACCAAACCAGCCAGGCACAACCAGCTCGGTCCGGCTCCGGAAACTCGCCCACAACGTCCACAACGTCCACAACGCCCAAACCTGCCGCCGCACAGACCAGCCAGGCCTCACCAACCCTGCCGTCACAGTCGTGGATGGGTCGCTCGTCTCCGGTGATAAACAACAAGCAGCCATCCACGTCAGCACGCACTGCGTCGCCCCAACAGGCGTTCGCGGCTCGCTCGCAGTTTGGACACGGGCTATCGCCCTATCCGAGGCAGGCCTCGTCCTCGCAGCAGTTTACGGACACGCAGCAGCACGAGCTCCGACTGCAGGCACGACAGCAGGAAGAGCAGCGTCAGCAGGAGCAACGTCAGCAGGAGCAGCGGCAGCAGGAGCAGCGGCAGCAGGAGCAGCAGCGGCAACGTCTGCTCGACCAACAGCGCCGACAGGAGCAGCAACAGCAATCCGAGCAGAAAGAGCAACCGGGGTGGCGGGTTATGCTGCAGCACCTCAACGAGCAGAACCACCACCGGTACCTGCTAGAGAAGCAGCGCAAAAGTGACGAGCTACGCCAGCAAAACGAGCAACGCCAGCAACGCCAGGAAGAGCACGAACGCCTACAGCGCCAGCATCTAGCACATGCCCACGCCCATGCCCAGGCCCACCAAGCCCAGACCCAACAGCATCAACAACAGCAGCAGCAGCAGCAGCAGCAGCAGCAGCAGCAGCAACAGCAACAGCAACAACAGCAGCAGCAACAGCAGCAACAGCAACAGCAACAACAACAGCAACAACAGCAACAGCAGCGCAGCAGCGTCCATCAATCAGCCTCAACCGGCCACCTCTCATACAGCTTGAGCTCCGGCGCCCGGTCACCGGCCCAGCACTCACCCCAGCATTCTCCACAACTCCATCCGTCCACCTCCAGCCCACATTGGTCGTCAACGCTGCTGTCTACCTCCGGTGGGCCCCCGTCCTCGCTGCGGCCGAGCCAGTCACATCCTCTGCCCAACCCTGCCGCCTACCGCTCATCTGCTGCTGGCGGCCATGCCTGGCAGACTGCCCTCTCACAGTTCCAGACACCCCATCGCCGCAACTCACCGCTGCTCAGAAACTCGCCCCCAAGCCAGACACTGCCTCCGGTGCAGACCAAGTCACCGCCTCACCCGTATGGAAACCCGCAACCACGGCGGCACTTGCATACTGCACGGCCGCAACCAAGCCAAGAGTCGTCGGCCAGTGCCACAAGTCTGTCTGCGACGCAGCAGCAACCGCAACAGCACGCAGAAAAAAGTTCATACCCACCCTATCCGTCCTCGTTCTCTCTACGGGCGTCACCGCCGAGAGATACATCAATGCCTCAGTCTCAATCCCAGCACGAACAATCACCATCCAAACGGTCTTCTCGTCCTCCTCCTAACCAAGGTCAATTACCTGGCCAGCCGTCTACGGCAGCACAGACCTCACGGGCGCAATCCCCTCGCCGTTCATGGGAACCTATCCGGTTCAACCGACCCTTGGCCGCCCATCCGCCTGCCCCTGCGACCGAGTCTCTTCCTTCTCACCAGCAGCCCGCCGCCTCCGCCTCGTCTGGAACGGCAGCTCGGAAAATCTCGGCACAATCACCACCCCCCGTTGCGTCGTCGTCCCCTGTATCTGTCTCGTCCGGATCTTCGTCGCCTCGCGCCGGATCGGCCGCTGCAAAAAGAGACAACAACAGCAACAGCAACAGCAACAGCAACAGCAACAGCAACAACAACAGCAACAGCAAAAACAACGACAACAACAACAACAACAACAACAACAACAACAACAAGAACAACAACAACAACAACAACACCAACACCAACACCGGCGGCAATCGTAATATCCTTAATATTAATCATCTGCGACCGCGCTTGTCGACACAAATAGAGCATCTACCGGATCGCCTTCGTCTTGGCACGGGCCTGTACCCCTCCAAACCCATTTCCCTCTCGGCCTCACCAACAAACCCCCCAGCGCCCTTATCACCACCCCCCGCCTCGTCGCTTCCTGAGCCGCATGCTCGTAATCAGGATAAATCGGCCCCGCTCAGGACCCCGCCACGAGACCAGCATCCTCAGATCAATTTGCCCGGGGACGTTGCACGTCAGCATGAAGCGCGGCCAGACGCCCCTACTGCCACGTTGCAGGACGTGACACAACAGGACGCGGCACTCCAAGGCAGGCTGCTCCAAGCAGAAGCGAGGCGTGCCACCGACAATCTTGCTCTCTCCCCCGAAGCACGCAGAGCTGAGATTCGGCGCGCAGAGGCCCAGCAGGTCGAGGTCCTTCAAGCCGCAGCACTGCGAGCCGATGCCATCCAAGCCGAAGCCCTGCTTGCAGAAGCCCGCCGTGCCGAGGCTCTGCAAGCTGCCGAAGCCCAACGCGTGGACGCAATGAAGATTGACGCCGTCCAGGACGAGGTTCTACTCTCCGAAGCGTCGCCCAACAAAGCTGTGTCGGTACAGTCGCCTGGTCAGACCCCTTCGGTAAAGACCACACCCTCCAAGAAGGGGACGTCCACGTCCGCGACCGATGCGTGCTCCGCCCCCTCTCCTACCAAGACACCAACCAGGCCTCAGCCGGACTGGACAGTGGCCGAAATCATGGCATCGCTCGAAACGTTCCTCGACTCGCTTCTCGTCGACCACGGACGGGACGTGGAGTACGCCATTGACATGGCCAAGCCCAGAGCCCAGACCGTGGTTAGTAGTTTTGACGACTTTGCCGATCTTCCGGTGCAAAACATTGATGCGAGCGACGATATAGACGACCGTGTCCTGCTGCGCGGCAAGCTGCACCGCGACAATCAACGTCGGCCCGAGGCACGCACCATCCATGCCCGAGTTGTCCCGCTCAAGACACCCGGCAAGGCTGTGCCCAAGTACCGCTTCCATCACGTCGAGATTGCCAAGAACATCCTGTCGCCCAACACCCCTCTCAAGTTTATTCCTCATCTTAGAGATTTTGAAGACAACTCGGAAGAGAAGCGGCGACACGACCAGTGGATAGAGGAGCTGGAGAGCATGGAACGCAAGTCCGGCTTCGACTCGTCCAAGCTCTTCCAAAAAGGCGACACGACACGCAAGTCCGAATTTACCAAGCTGCTGTCCGACTACCTTGACCACTGGATCGCTCGACTGGGAATCGACAACTGCAGCAAAACCTCGCTCATCCGATACATGGCGAACGAGGCGCAAAACGACCAGACGATCACGCCCCAGCAGAAGAACAGCCTGCTCAGCTCGTGCGGCGAAGACTCGGCCACACCGCGCGCCGCCGTCGTGGCCAGCATGCTGACGGAGGCGTTCAACCGTGTCTTCAAGAGCCGCGACGTGACCCTCTACGACGTGCTCAAGCAGGACGAGGCCGTCGAAAACGTCTTTGATCCCAAGAAGGCGACCAAGAGCAAGGACCAGGACAAGGAGCCGTCCCTCGAGCAGATCCAGCAGTATCTCGGCACCTACACCTCACTCAAGTGCATGATCTGCAACACCCATTCGTGTGAGCACGGCGAGTTTGACGCCGAAAACGTCCGCCGGTGCTTTTCTATTGACGATCTTGGCGGCAAACTCTGGAAACATGTCGAACGCCGCCGTGACCGCCAGACCCGAGAACTGCGCCAGCTGCACGCACACCAACAAAAGGCTCTGGGTGCTACCAGCGGCAACAGCAACTTGAACGGCGCAAACGGCAGCGGTGAATTCGGTGCCGGCGCGAGCAAGCATGGTACCAACAACTTGGCACCCGTCGCCAACTCTCCGCCCTGCCGCAACAAATGCTACCGCAGCTATGACATTGGCGACGCCGCATTCGTTACGCGCGAGTGGACTGAGAATGAGACGAACCTGCTTCGCAGCTTCCACCTCACTTTTGCCAACAGCACAGGCAAGGTCCCCTGCGCTCTCTGTCCGATGATGGGCCGCCACTGTTGGGAGGTGTACCGCCGCATGAAAGAACTGGGCCTCTCTATTGCGCTTCGCCCAGAGACGCCTTCGGAGGCGACAGAGCCGACGCCCGTGCCAGTTAAGCCAGTCGCATGGTACGACCGCCACCGCAAGGTCTTGAATGGCGACTGGTCCGACCACACGCACACGCACTTGTATGCGCTGCGCGAACAGCGCGAGCCGTGCAACCACGACGGTCCCTGCACGTCCGCACGCGGCTGCCCCTGCGTGGAGGCTAAGCTTCTTTGCGAACGGTTCTGCCGCTGCACGGCCGAGTGCTGTGCGTTTAAGTTTACCGGCTGCGCCTGCCACGGATCTGGCAAGACATGCTACCAGCGCCAAAAGGAGGGCAAGCCGTGCATCTGCGTCCAGCTGAACCGCGAGTGCGACCCGGTTCTCTGTGGCAGCTGTGGCGCCCGCGAGCGTGCCGACCCGGAGAACCGCGACGACGACGAGCTGCACGCGACGGGCTGCCAGAACGTGTCGCTCCAGCGTGGCAAGTCCAAGGCGGTCGTGCTGGGCCAGTCGCAGCTGCAGGGCTGCGGGTATGGCCTCTTCACGGCAGAAGACATTGGCGCCGACGAGTTCATTATCGAGTACGTCGGCGAGTTGATCACACACGACGAGGGTGTGCGGCGTGAAGCGCGCCGTGGCGACTTCTTCGACCAAGGCGCCAACGCGTCGTACCTCTTTACGCTGCTTGAGCAGGACGGCATATGGGTCGACGCGGCCATCTACGGCAACCTGTCGCGGTACATCAACCATGCGTCTGAGAGCGACAAGCGTGGCTGCAACATCACACCCAAAATTCTCTACGTCAACGGCGAGTTCCGCATCCGGTTCTCGGCCATGCGTGACATCAAGGCGGGCGAAGAACTTTTCTTTAACTACGGAGAAAACTTCCCCAATTTGACAAAGAAACTGCTCGAGGACAAGGCGTCGGCCAGCGACGACGACGCCATGGCCAATGCTGGCAAGAGCCGACGAAGCGGCGCAGCACAACGCCAGGCCAGCCACTACAACAACAGCCGTCGAAAGGGCCAGCAGGCCATGCGCAGTCGTGCGCCTACAAAGAGTGTGCAGACTGGGCCTAGCAACAGTCGCAGCGGTGGCAACGGTAAGAACATCCGCAGCAACGACAGTTCTCACCTCCCGCGTCGCTCGCGGCCCAAAGGCGGTGCACGGAAAGAGGCCCCGCCACCCCGCCGCGCCGAGACAGACGACCTTTCTGCGGATGACGATGGCGACGATGACAACGACGATGCCGACCACATGGACATTGACAGTGGCAACGGTTCACAACGCGCGTCGGTTCGAAACAGATCGACCAAGTCTGCTTCGCTGAAGCGGAAGCGGCGCAACACCATCGTTGACGACGACGATGGCGACGACGAGAGCGATGGCGGTCACAGGGGCAAGGTTGGATCAGACGATGAACAGCTCGCCGAAGAATCCCGCCGCACCGGGCGCAGCAGCCGCCGACGCCCTGGTGCCACTACGACAACATCCTCGGCAGCGGCTACCGCTACAGCGGGCATGGGCGCCATCGCCACGGAATCGGCTGCTCTGCCCGAAACGCCACGACGTCTTAGAGCCCGTCTCGGCACCCAACGAGCAGCCAGCCGGGAGAGGAGCGACCACGGGACCAGCCACGATGACCATGCTGCCGACGAGGACGGAAGACACGGAGGCGGTGCTGCTGACTCACCGCGGACGCGGAATCGCCGCACAGCGATGCGCTTCGGCAACGGCGGGGCCGCGTTCACGGATGGGGATAACGACACCGACCAACAGCCGCTTAAGAAGCGGCCACGCGTCGGCTCTCGGCGTGGTGACACAGCCACGTCCAATGCCGCCGCACAGCACAACAATACGGACAGCGACAACATGGTTGTCGACTCGGACGAGTCGATTCCGGCGCGCTCCCTGCGGAACAGGCGGCCTTGGCAACAACAGCCGCGACTGACAGAACTGTCGACGGCAGACCTGCCGGACCGGCGTGCGCACAGCGATGGCGGCGATGGCGGCGATGGCGAGGGGGACGAAGGCGGCACCAGCGCGCCCGCATCGGCTGTGGTGGCGCTCGGCACGACCGACGATGACCAGGGCAGTGTGACTTCCGCAAGCCAGTCTTACGGGCCAAATCATCAGAGCACGCCAGGCAGGGCTGCCCGTACTGCTGCTACTGCGCCTGCCACTACGACCCCAACCACATCATCGACAGTCAACACGCGCCGCCGTAACGTTGTGCCCGATTCCGACGACGATGTGGACGTGTCCAACATCACGTCGAGCCGCGCCAGCCGTAGCGGAATGCGCAGCGCGTCCAGACCGTCGTCCTTGGGCCAGCCCGCGGCGGCCGCTTCGCATGCCGCCCCGACGACGTCCCGTGTTGCCACGCCCCTGTCGCGACCACACACGCCCAAGGTCAACGACAAGGCGGATGCCGGCGGCGGCACGAGCACCGGCCACCTTGGCCAGACCGGCAGCATCCGGCGAAGCCTGCGGAGCAATGACGACGCGTCTCGACCGGGCTCGTCCGGCTCAGGAGTTGTGCCGGCGCCCACATCCGCACCGGCCGCGCAGTCGACGCCGATCAACACGCGCTTCCGGTCTGGTGGCGAAGACGACAGTGGAGGCAGTTCAGTTGAGCGCAGCCAGCGCAAGCGGCAGATGCCGGCCCGGTACCGCACGGAGGATGGACTGTAGAGGGCGTCGGACAGTTTGGAGACGTTTTATTTAATCTTCCTTCTTTTCCGTGGTCAGTTATTATTTTTATTGCAAGGCATGGAGCCTGGTTAAGCTCATATGGTAGCGGGCAACAGCCTATTTGGTTTGTTTTTTTTTTTTTTTTTTTTTTTTTTTTTTTTTTTTTTTTTTTTTTTTTTTTTTTTGGTTGTTCTTGTCGTTCCCCGCTGGCTGATGAATCTTTGTTCCATTTCTCTTTACTTTCTCTATTCCCTTCTGTATTTTAGATTCCCATTCAAATACCTTGCACATTTAATGGAGTACCAGAATTTTATTTACTGATTTTTTCCCTCTACAAGACCACCGCGGATTGCCTCGCAGCTACTGCTAACACTTGCTGCAGAGACTGCCAGAGGACTATAAGGATACACTGTTGTTCAGAACAAGCTTCACATCACTCTACGCCAGTCTTTGGTTTGCATTGATTTTGTATTGATTTTGTATTTCCTGCAACTCGTGCGAGCAAACATGCAGTCCGTCTATTTCCTCCCCTGTGCTGACCGAAACGAAAACAAAGTGTACATCGCAACAGTATTTCTCCCTCCCCAGGCCACCGTTTGACACACCCTTATCTGTCCCTGCTTTTTGGCTCGCTCTCAAGCAAAGACGCATCAAAATGCAGATAGGTGTACATGAATGAAATCATAAAGAATTAAAAGTAACTAGTGGGTAGTAAGACAAAGTCAAGAAGTGAAAGAAGAAGAAAAAACGGAAACAAGTTTGAAAAGGGGCAGAGACAAGGTTGACAGTAAGAGACAAATTAGCAGATAAATAGCGCACGAGCACTAAACAAATACAAGGAAAAGAAAGCAAATCTAATAGTACTGCGTCCCCTCAGGGCATCAGAGGTCATTGTCGATGTGTGACGAGGTCGTTGGTCTAGAACTGTGATTGATCAATCATGTCGAAGACATCGTCATTTTCCGAGTTGCTGCTCAACATCCCACTGAAGTAGGCCTCGGTGATGCTGGTATTGTCAAACCCGAATGACTCGAGGTCAACAGAGGGCGCCGAGAAAATGGCGTCCTGGAGCGAGGGGACGCGTGCGGCGCTTTTGGGCGGCATCACGTTGTGGCACACAGCAGCCAAAGGATGAGTTGACGGAATGCCCAACGGCACGACTTGGGTGGATGAAAAGCCAGGGTTCACTGTAGTCACAGGAGCGACGGTCGTGCCAGTAGTGTTGCTGTTCTCACGCAGACTCGAAGCAATGCGAGTGAGAATCAGCTGCTCGACGCTTGGCTCGGTGCCAGCGGCTTCTGTGCTACCATCACGACCGGCATCAGGAGCAGCGATGCTTGACTCTTCCATAGAAGATTCCAGCGGGGCAGGAACAGGGGCCTGGCTGGGAGAGTCGGCCCGTGTGTGCGCAACAGCCGGCATCTCTTTTGGAGGCACGGCCTGAGTGGGAACCGAGCTCTGGAGTGGTGCAGGAGGCAGTTCCTGTGCTTGCTGGGCCTGGACAGGGACTTCACGTGGGGCTTGATTGGGTGCCTGAACTCGTGCCTGAAGCAGTGCTTGTGATAAGACTTGAAGTTCCTCAGTGCCCGCCATGTTGACGTCTGTTTCGCGAGAGACAAGATCGAAAGCCTTTGCAGTGGCTTGATTGGGGATGGCTGGGGTCGGCAGGGCAGCCATGGCTGATGTGATATTGCAAGTAGTTGCAGCCTTCTCAAAGTCTTCGAGCTTCTCGAAGAAGATGCCCGTTGCGCCCTGGTGACGATGGGGGCCATTGATCCGGCAGCTACCGTGCGTGCCATCGTGCCAGGTCTCAGTGGGACTAATAGCACAAGCCAAAGCCGCATTCGGAGAATCGGAAACACTCGGCGAGCTGTAAGAGATGCTCTGCGACGGGCGAGACTCTTCTTCAGACATATTGGAAGCAGCCTGGGGAGAGTCCATGGAAGGAGAGGTTGTCTTCTTGCGGCGGGTCTTTGTCGCCTTACCGCTGGCCAAGGCGGATGATAGACCAGACGGATGCGGTGCGGCAATGGCTTGAATCTCGGAGCCGGTCTGGTCAGGGCTTGCAGCAAGCATAGCTCTCTTGGGGGGGTTGAACTCCACTTCCACGGTAGAGCGCTTTCTCTTGCTGCCTGTGCTCGTGGGGCTGGACGTTTCCTGAGACACAGCAGTGGCAGCCACAGGGCTTGTGTTTGGGTGGTTGTGCTTGCGCATCACATCAGCGATGATGTTAGCGTTGCTGATAATAGGAGCGCTGGTTCTTCTGCCGCCTGGCTGGCCCTCAACATAACCGGCGGTGGTTGAAATTGAGGGCATAGACGCAGATATGGCCATGGGCAGTGATGCAGGCACAGCATTGTGGAAATAGGGAGCCGTCCCGTGAGCATGCATCATGTGAGCACCCTGGAAAATTGCCATGGGAGCACCGTGGTGGATGCCGAGCCCAGCGGAGTTGGTGTTGGCAAAATCTCCGCTCATGTGGCTGAAGGCCTGGTAAGACGGTTGGAATTGAGGAACCGACCATGTCTCCTGGGGAGTCGTCATGTTCTGTCCACTCTGGTCTGTAGTAGACATAGAAAACAGGCCTGCATTGGGGTCGCCGCCAGGGTTGTTGCCTTGAGCGAACACAGACGCGATGGGGTTTGTGGTGTTGCTGGGCATGCCCACAGCATTTGATGTAAAGGGGCTCCCAAGGTTGGCGAACGAATAGGTACCGTTGGCGCCATTAACTCCGCTGCCCATGTTGCGGGCCGCAGTACGAACGGTGTTCGCACCAGTCGTGCTGTTGGCACTGTTTGGGTTGTATGCACCCGCACCAGTGGCCGGCATACTTGGTGTCGGTACAGGTGTCGCCATGGACGTTTGCACAGGTGGGCTAGCAGACGATGGCATCGCCAGGCCCATCATGTTCTGGTAGTTGGCCGCAAAGGCAGGCATGCCAGGGGTCTGAACGAACGGCATACCTCCCTGGTGGTGGCTGCCAGTGGCAGGAGCACCAGGTGCAGGAGTTTGGGGAAAGGCAGCAGCGGGCGCGGTAACCAGTCTTGGGGTAGGCGAGTCCGCACGCGTCCGGAAGGTCACACGCGGCGGGTGCTGAGGAACCGAGGGAGGCTCATAGTTCTCAGTACCCGGGGCGCCAGGTTTGGCTCCCGAAAAGGGCGGGTGGTTGAGAGAGGCGCTGCAGAGGTAAGTTAGTATGTGATTGTGTATGCGCAATGTGGAATGGAGAATACGAAGAAGAACAAAAGGACAAGGGCGCAACAGATATGTAGAAAGTAGGACACAGGAATAGGGAGAGAGCAGTAAGGCGATGGAGGAAGGCGGGGGGTAGAGAAAAAAGAGAAAACAAAAAGCAGAAAAAAAAGAAAAGATAAGAAAAAAGAAACTTACCCCCATTCTTCCTTCATACCATAGCGACTCTTGAGCCATTGGTATTGGCTTTTGGCAAAGTTGGAGTCTTTGAAGACCCGGTGCCATTCTTCGACCATGCCTTCGCGCGAGAACTTCCAGTAGTTCCGCAAGAACCAGAGGATCTGGTTGGGGTCGTAGTGCTGATGAATCATCTTGTATCGAGGTCCGTTGCTCAATATCGTAACGTTGTGTGCTTAAAGTTTCTTTTGTGATCTTATCAAAAGATGCAAGAGACACAATACCGCCAGCGGATATAAGGAAATGGAGAGGTAAGGAGTGTAAGAAGTGAAAAAAAAGGTAAAAGTAAGAGGTGAAGGAATGGAGATGCAGCTGCCTCTATCAAAGAGAGTTGTTTCGAGGAGGATAAAAAAGAAAAAAGTAAAAGGAGTAAAAGGAGAGGTAGGACTGTTCTTGTAGCCGATTTTCTTTTGAGAGTGGACCATACACACAGTCAGTAGATCCAGATCACTGACTTGCAAGGCGCAAGGAAGCTTGCCAAGTGCGATCTTGGGATTGGAAGTCTGCGAAGAGTGTAGAGGGTTGGGAAGCAGACGCGGTGTCACAGTATCTCTTTCGTTTCTTTCAAAAGGGAAAACAGGAAATGCGACAGGTTTGCTCGATCGTGGAAGAGAAGAGAGCCACGGGGAGGAATAGGAGAAGAAGGATAGAGTATCGTTAAGCCCTCTTGAACAACCTTGATGGGAGAGATAGCGAATATGTGCGGGAAGAATATGGAAGAAATGTGCTATGGTCAGAATAAACTGGATGCTGTGAGGAATTTGACAAGATGTTGAAAGACACGACAATGGGAAAAAATAAAACAGGAAAGACTGGTATTGCAGACCGAGGCTGCTGCTGCTTGTGTAATGAAAGCCACAAGTGAGTGAGCTGGAGGTCTTTGGTGGGATGGAATATTGAGTTGTGGTACAAAGCAGCAACAAGGTGAAAACTGCGAGTGTAATAGAGAATATGTGAAAGAATGGAGGAAGCGAAGCCGTAAAATGAAGCAATCGAACAGAAAGAGTGGATGCAGAATAAAGAAGGAGCAGAAGAAAGGCTTTTTTATGGGAAAGATAGGGAAAATATTAAGAAGTGTACAGGAAACGAAGAGGGGCGTATGTGGGAGAATGTCTGGAAAGCTCCTGGAGGGGTGTGCAAAATGGAGAGGGGGGGATGGAAAAAAGTGACTTGTGCGATGTATCTTGCGCTCCGTGCACGACAGTATCGGCGGCGGACAGTGCAAACCTTCCGCCTGGATGCTGTGTGAGATCTCTGTTTTTTCTTCCTCTTCTGCTTTGTGGACGTTTTTCTCCTTCTTTTTCGCCTTCTTTTGCACCGTCTTTCACCAGTATTGTTTCCCGTTTGTCCTCTATTGACGAGGCTCAGGGCGTTGCTATTGTTCGCCCACTTTGGGTGATCGACGCCTTCCAGCATCGCCATATTTGCGGGTCCGGTACATGTTCTGGCACTTTTACAGTGTCCTTCGTAGGAGGAGTACGGGGCCGTACATGCGTTCGCAGACGCTGGTGTGGGAGCTTTGGGCGTCTTGTGTCACCATGAAGACGAATAGTGAACGAGGTGCGCGCTGACTGCGTAGGAGCTGGCAGGCAGCAGAGGAGCAAATGACATGCAAAAATGCGGGCGAAAGAGGTCAAAGGAGGTGTCAAAAAGACGGTGGCTGGGGAAAATGACCTCACGAAGGCCAGAGACTGCTTGAAATAGAAGGCAAGGAAAATTCGTCTGATCTTTTGGTCAGCTATTGTGCAAAGAGGGGGGGTTGGTTTTTATTGTCAAAAAATATTTTCGCAGCAGACAGGGGGAGGAGAAAGGATCGAGAGAGGTAGAGGGAACATCCTGCTTTGTTTTGGTGAGTGTAGATGGCACGATGCCGGCGAGAGAATGGCGATGGTGATGGCAGTAATGATGTTTGACAAGGCTGTCAAATGAATGGCGACAAGCGCCAAATCATCACGAGAAAATGGACCGAAAAAAGCCACCAAAGCAATACAAGTGCGACAATTGACCGATTGACCGGGGTATTCTGCGAACCTCGACTAGGTGGCTCGCTAAAAAGCTACAGCAGGCTCCGACGCCTGCATGATCCACTCATTGTGTGTGCGGACGCCTTTGTGTTTGGTTGTTCATGTCGCATGCGTCCTGCCTGACCGAAGTCTCTTTTGTGCGTCACTTTTCTGTCACGTCAGCGATTGTCCTACGCCGCAGCCAGAAAGGGAGGGGACAGCGTGTCTGCTGGAGCCATACGTGCGCACACACGAGCAAGTCCCATAGGGAACGAGCCAAATGCAGACCCTCTCCCCATGTGCAGCAACGCTCTGTCGGATTCTTGGTCTTCGTTTTCCTACCTGACGTGTCGATTGTGTGGCGAGTCGAACAGAGCAGCGCTGGGTGGGTGCCGTATATAATCACGTGTGGATGTGCCGGAATCGTCCACGAGGCGGAATCGAGCAAAGAGCACAAGCTATGGTCGGGCATGGCCGATAGGTCATTTTTCTGTGTCGTGATGTTCTTTGCAAAACTGAGAGAGAGGGAGAGGAGCGGAGAAGAAGGAGAGAGAGAGTCTACTACTTTTTGAGAGTCTTAAGAAGTGCGAGAACAGAGGCAAGTCGGTTTGGACAAGAAGGAGCGATGGACACACTGACTTCCTCTTCGTTCCGATGAGATGATGAATACGAAGAGAGTCAGGAAGGAGCAGGATGAACAATCAGATACAAATGGCAAGCTCGCCGCAGTGGCAGCGACGCTGGTGACTTGCTCTTTCCTGGCATTCGAACTCCATCCCGGATTGTCTCCATTCACTTTTCTTGATGCAAATTCGGGAAAGAAGCAACGGTGAATGGCAGCACACTGCACTCGCTCCTGCCTGCGGGCGGCCTTCACTTCACATTTGGGTTACCCACGTGGGCCGCGAAGGGGATGCCCTCCTTCTGTTTGTAGTCCTGTCCGCAAGGCATCGTACTTTCCTATCTTGGCCATGGTACGAATGGTCGATCTGTAGAGCCCGGGCGTGTTTGTCATGCTGTTGCCTATTTTGGCGTACACGTGTCATCACGACGTCGCGATGCACCTCCGACGGACGTCGATTATATTGCGAAATGTGGTATAGTTCGCGGATTGGCCGCATTGCAAAAGTTTCCACCCTCCTGCATAAGCTTTCCTCAGCCTTGCAGGACGGCCCAATTTTCCCCAGGTATCTCTCCGCCGATCGAATGCGAGTGGGCGCCAGCCAAGAAACAGTTTGTGAAACAATGTGTAGCCAAACCAACACAGCACTTCATAAGAGGAGCCGAATGAAAAGCAACATCCTATTCAAGAATATAATCACCGAAAATTGACAAAAGATACGCAGCCAAGAACAGGGAGAACATTAACATTCCGGAGAATACTGGCTGGGGGCTGATCCGTGTCTCGCAGGTGCCAGAAAAGTGGGGCGACAAACGACCGCTTTGCTGGAGGCATTCAAGTAGTGAGAGGAGAGAGGCGAGAGAAAAACAGGCGTCCGATCACACGAGCACAAGAAAGCACAGGCACGACAGGCACGACAGGCACGACAGGCACGACAGGCACGACATGTACCGGTGCATGGTTCCACGGAGTGTTGAATAGGAGTGTGCAGCGTCTTGGCGAGAGAGGCGAATGTACGAACGATAATGTTTTAAAAAAACGAGAGAAGAAAGGCGACAAGAAGATGATCTTTATTTTGCGGCTCTTGTACCCCCTGATGGCCCTCGCTGATATGCGGCCAAGATGTCCGGGGATTGTTTTCGCGCTTGAGACTGGATTTACTCGATTTTGAAAGACACTCTTTTGCATTGAAATAAGATGTAGACAAGTCAAAAGGAAGCAGTGGATGGCCTGTTAAGGAGAAGTACAAAGAGAATTCAATAACAAAACTAACAAACATACATAACGGCCCATATCTTGAATCATTTTGTAGCAAAACAAAGCATAGCTAATGAAACAAACAACCAAAAGAAAAAACAAAAGAAAAAGAAAAGCAAATAAAAGAGACCAAACAGAAACATAATGGATTGGTTAACGCCTCTGAAATATCATGTCGTCGTCTGTGCTGTTGGATCGTCCTCCTCTTCCTGTTCTTCCTGTTCTTTCGGTTCCTTTGGTTCTTTTCCTGTTTTGTCTCGTCCTTCCCTAGTTCATATCCATGCCTTCCTCCTCGTCGTCTTCCATCTCCGACTCGGCCATCTGCGACGCATGGCTGCTGCTGATGCTCTCTTTGCGCCGCGACAGGACACTGCCATTGTCCGAGAAGCGCGCACCGCCGACGCCGCCGGCGCCCTCGAGCGCCGAGCCAAACAGGTCCAGCTCGTCGCCGCCAATGACGCGGCCCTCGGTGTCAATCTCCTGCGACAGCTCGACAATGGCGGTGCGCGGCAGCCGCAGGAACCCCGACGAGCGCACGATGCGGCCCCAGTGGGTCAGGCAGAAACTGGCGGCACGCTTGCGCAGCCAGGGCTCGTTGGCGAGGCTGGCGCAGTGCCAAATGATGCAGGCGTGGTCCACGTCGAGCTCCTTGGACAGCCGGTTGACGCACAGCAGGCGCAGGTGGGGGATGTTGTAGATGTTGGACATGACGAGCAGGCCCGCGACGTCGGACAGATCGGCCGTCACGTGGGCCGGGTTGTGGTGGCCGCGGGCATCGGCGTCGTGGTGGGTTTGGCGGAGCTGGTGGTGGTGGTGGTGGGGGTGGCGGTTGAGAGGACCGCCATTTCGACTGCCGCCGCCTGCGTCGCCCGGGCTGCGGCCGCGCTTGGTGCCCGCACCGCTGCCGCCGCCGCCGCCGCTGCTGCTGCTGCCCCCAATGTCCATGCCCGGTCCGTCCTCCGGCGGGGGCGCCGGATCAATCCGGTCGGTGTAGAGGTAGAACAAAAAGGCACGGACGACGCTGTAGGGTTCTGGGATGTGCATCTTCTTGGTGTGGAACTCGGCCATCTGCGACGACCACAGCCGTGCAAAGTGCGGCCAGCGCGCCTGCAGGATGAGCCGATGCACATGAATGGGCGGGCTGGTCGGTGCATCGGGCGCCAGCCAGTGGTCGTTGTTGTTGTTTCGCCCTGCAGCAGCACCGCCACCACCAACATCGCCATCGCGCACAGGCGCTTCCGCCTCGTGGTCCATCTCGTCGTCTTCTGGGTTGCCCGAGTGGGCCGTCACGATAAAGTCGGCGCCGCTGCCCGTCTCGGGCGGCTGGTCAAAGAGGCGCGACAGGTCCGACCCAAGACCCATGGACGGCGGGTCGTTGGCGTGGCGCACGCGCGAGGTCGGCCGCGTCATCATGGCGCCGCCCATGCCCATCATGCCGTGGGCATCGGGCGGCGCGCTGTGGCCCAAGAAGCCGTAGCGGCGCAGGTCAATCTCCATAATGTCGCTCAGGTACTCCTCGAAGCCGTTGGCGCCGAGCTCGCTGTTGCTGGGGTCCGTCGGGCAGCCCAGCAGCCAGGCCTTGGTGCCGTCCTCGTTCATCGTGCAGTAGTGCCAGCGGTAGCCCGGCTTGAAGATCTCGCGGCCCTCGGCCAGTTTCTGCCAGCGCAGCGTCGCCAGGTCGAGCGTCGACAGGGAGCACTCGCGCGACATAATGGTCGGCGCGGGCGTGACAAAGTCGAGCAGCATGCCGGCCGAGTAGACGTGGAAGTGGATGCCCGAGCCCTGGTTGGGCGTGTTGGGCCCCGAAAAGAACTTGAGCGCCGAGATGGACCCGGGCGCCACGGGCGCGTACGACTTGAGCTGGAACGAGGGCGTGTTCACCTGCGCGGTGCGGGAGTTGGCCGCATAGCCCGACGCGCCGACGGCCGGCGACTGCGCCAGCGCATACCCGGGCCGCGGGGATCCGCTGCCATGGCGGCTGCTGCCGCCGCCCATGCCCAGCGGGGGCCCGCCCAGGTTGGGGCGGTCGTAGGGGCTGCTGCCGATCTGGGGCGGCGACTGGAAGGCGGGCGTGCCCTTGAGGTCCAGCCACCAGAGGTCGCTCACCTTGTCCATGTCTTCGCTCAGACCGCCAAAGACCCACACGCGGTCGCCCCAGATATAGGCCGAGTGGTCGAAGCGGCCGACGAAGCGCCAGGCACGTGACCAGCAAAAGGTCTTGAGGTCGAGGTAGCAGATGTCGTCGAGCACGTAGTTGTCGTGGCCTGTTATGCCGCCGATGATGAACAGCTTGTCTTCGTGCAGGACGGCGGCGTGGCGCGCGCGGCCCTTGGGGATGGGTCCCGTGACGGCGGGCTGCGTCCAGTGGGCGGTCTTGAGGTCGAACACAATCAGGTCCGACAGGTACGTGCGGTGCTCGTTCTCGCCGCCAAAGACCAGCAGCTTGTCGCCCTGGTACAGCGTGGCGGTGTGGCCCATGCGCACCCCAGGAATGTCGCCGTAGTTGTCGACGAGGCTCCACTGCTGGCTGACGAGGTCGAGACGCAGCACGTGGTTGTACACCTCATCGGTGTACTGGTCAAAGCCGCCAAAGGCAAAGATCTGGTTGTTGCCGCAGTACGTGACGGACGCATTGACGAGACAGGCCGGCCGCTGGCCGAGCGTGCGCGTGACCTTGGGTCGGTAGCCGTCCGAGCCGCTGCCGCCGCCGCGGTTCTTCATGGGCGAGTTGGGCATGATGTAGGTGTTGTTAGAAGACGAGGCTACGGAGGCCGGCGTCGACGTGCCGGGGGCAGGCGGGGGCGCGAGGTTGGCGGCCGTGAGGGTCGCAGGTCCGGGACCGAGGCCGGTGCCAGAACCGAGTCCAGGTCCAGCTGCCTGGGGCGTTGCCGGTGCTGCTGCTGGTGCTGGTGCTGCTGGCAGGACAATCGGTGAGGTTGGGACGACCGGAGGGCCGCCGCCGAAGATCGATGTGTATGCACCGGGGGGCGTGGGTGCAGGCGGTGCGGTGGCAGTGGATGGCGAGGAAGGGAAGTGAGGATGGGAGCCAGTAGTCGAGGGCTGGGCCATGTCGTATGCCTCTCTCTCGCGAGAGAACTATCTCCGCATGGTTCGAGGCAACAGAGGCGGAGGCGAGGCTGTGGTCGGACGGAGGAGGTGAGGCGCCAGTCAGAGCAGAGTAAGGGCAGAGTGTCGTGGAGGGGTTGGCGTATACCAACGACGCTGTCAGGAGACACGAAACAGAAGAGGAGACAGGCAAACGGGCGAAATGATCGAAGAAGTCGAGGACGACAAAGAGGAAAGCCGGCTGTGGGTGTTTTCGAGGGCTACGGGTCCGTTCGACCTAGTTTGTCCGGTGCGTTCTCTGCGTTCTATGGGCATATGCGTCTGGACGACGGGCCAGAATGGGCGGCGATGGCTGTTAGCCTGGTGGAGGTTTTCTTGTGGGTTCAAGATCACTGGTTGCTGGCTGGCGCCAGACCATTTTGGTGAGATTAGCGTTTTGCCTCGTTTTGTCTTTGTCCAGGCACGTAGCGTCATGCAGGGGAGGCTTGGTGGGGCATCCACGCTCTGTGATTGGTTATCCGATGCACGGTGCATTTAGGTGGGGCCATTCCGTTCACGTGATATAACACGTGAATATATATTTTAAGTACGTCGTTCTGAAGCAAGGAGTATTTACTTCCCATCATACGTTAGAAGATATTTTGCTCGCTAAATCAAACAAGATACGTCACATTGCCCGAGTGTTCTGTCCCGCCTAGTATGTCGCCGCCAGCCGCTGCACCAGGTACTGGCCGGTGTTGACGCCCGCATATTTCTTGTCCGTCTCCGCCGAGTATGTGCCGGGGATGGCCTCGATGTGGCTCTTGAAGTTGGGATTGCAGAAGTAGCTTTGTGTTTGGTGTGAGTATGTCGTGTATTGGAGAAAAAAGAGGGACAGAGGGACAGATGAACAGATGAACAGATGAACAGAAGAACAGGGAGAGTCTACTCACGCTACGCTGTACCGCGCCGGGTAGGTATCACCTTCGGGCCCGCCAGGCGGCTCGACAACGCGGTGGATCGTGCTCTTGATGGTGTCGTTGCTCCAGCGCGCCAGCAGGTCGCCCGCGTTGACGACCACCGTGTCGTCGATGGGTGTTGCGTCGACAAAGTTGCCGTTGGGGCTCTTGACCTGCAGCCCGCCACGACCGTCTTGGAACAGCAACGTGATGGAGCCGTAGTCCGAGTGCTCGCCGGCGCGCACCTGGCTGGGATTGGCGCGGAAGACGCCGCGGTCGACCGCCGGGTAGTGCAGCAGGCGCAGCGTGTTGTCGCCGACGTCGACGTAGCTGTCAAAGTGGCTCTCGGGCAGGCCCATGCCGACGGCAATGGCGCGCATCACTTGGACGTGCACGGCCTTGCACTGGTCATGGAAGTCGACCATGGTGGCCTTGAAGCCGGGGAGGCCCGCCGTCGTGGCGGCGGCCGTGGTCTCGTCGGGCCACTGGTTGGGGAAGTCCTCTTCGTGCTCGCGGCCGATCTCGATGCTCTCCTTGATGTCGGGCACGGCCTCTTTCAGCTTGGCGACGGCCGCCAGATCCGACAGCTGCGTGACCTTTTCGCGGCCCGGCGCCGAGTAGCCGCGGTTGGCCTCGGGCGTGGTCCAGCCGACGGCCATCTTGTCGTCGAGCGGCAGGCGGAAGAAGCTGGCCGACATGGCAAAGACGTGCTTGCGAGTCGCTGCCGCAATGGGCGTGTTCTTGAGATAGACGAAGCCGGCTGTCTGGAAGCCGTGCAATATGGCCTTGGCCGTCTCGGTGCGTTGGTCGGGCGTGCCGTTGAGGAACTTTCTCAAGTCGATGAGCTGGGAAAGGAGAGTGTTGAATGCCGTCAGTCTATGCTGGACCAAAACAGGGTCCCAGCCGTACTCGTGAGCTCATCTTTGGAGCCAAATCTCCAAGACGTACCGGGATCAACAGCCCGTCATCAGACACGGCGGCTTTCTCCATAGCTGGTGTGAAGCTGGTTGGTATGGATGCCTTGCGGCGATACGATGCACAATGCGGGTGGGAACGAGGAATGTCGACGGTCGTGGGAATATGGAGCAAGGGGGTGGGCAAAAGAGAAGAAAGGAGAGGATGCAACCAAATACAGCGTAGGGGATAGAGGTGTGGCCGTTGGAAACAAAGAGCACAGAAGAAGGAGCGATCCAGCCCTTCGGCCACTTCCGAGATGCCCCACAATTTAAGAACCGTTAAGCGGCCATCACCTCTGCATACGACCAATGACGCGTAGAAATATGTTGGAAAGTGCGACATACCTTGGTCTCTTGGGTCAGTCGTCAATGTTGTGTCTACCGGTTTGCTCCCGACTGACCATGTCCACTGAAGCTACCGCATATCAACAGCGGACAGAGGAATGGCAAGCCACACAACAGGAATGCTCAAGATTCAGCACTGAATGGCAGAACGGACCATCTCAGTGGCCGACAACTTCCCCGCCGTGTACCGTGACACATTGTATCGCACAAGCCGCAGCCCTCTTGCGTTGTTGGCTGGGCGTCGAGCGTCGCCTGATAAGAGACGGTCGCTGCAAGTGCGTGGAGAAGCAACTGCACTAATAATGCTAATAAATGGGCAAGATAAGGCAGAATGCCATGTCCCAAAAAGGAAAGCGAGGTGGGGCAGACAGAGAACTTACAGGGAAGGTGCGCTGTAAGTGCATGGGGAAGGTACGCTGGAACAACCCATCACGCATGACTAGCCCAGCCATGGAGTGGCCCGACGGTGTAAGTTATCTCGAGAGCCTGACGGGGATCGCCATCGTGGGTCAAGCACCGCTGGGGCCCGATAGAGCTATGCAGTGAGATACGCGCTGTGTTGCGTGTGTGTCTTTTGTAAGAACGGCGTATTTCGTACAACGTACTGAGAGCTCTGTAAATTATTCGGGAAGCTGCGACGGGGCAGGAATAGTATTGCCGAATCAGGCAGGCCTCCAGACAACGCCCACATCCCCTCCTCCGTCCTCTCCTTCCCCTTCCAGCTTGACATCGTCGACTTCACACTCCAAACATCACCAACAATGTCGTCCAAAACACCCGTCGTGGACGTCCACACCCACATGTACCCCCCAGAGTATATCCAGATCCTCGAATCCCGCAACGACATCCCCATTGTGCGCTCGTTTCCGGGCACGCCCGACCCGCGCATCGTCCTGCTGTCGACCGAGGTGACGCCCCTCAAGGAGGCCGAAGCTGCCGCCGCGCGAGGCGAGGCACAGACCGTATCGTCGCTGCCGGGCCGGCCGCTGACGAGCCACTACGCCTCTGTTGCCCAGAAGCTCCACTTTATGGACACGCACGGCATTGACGTGTCTGTGCTGTCGCTCGCCAACCCATGGCTCGATTTCGTTGACAGCGACCAGGCCGGGGGACTCGCTGCCTCCGTCAACGCAGGCTTCTCGGCCATGTGCAAGGCACACCCGGGCCGCCTGTTCTTCTTCGCGGCGCTGCCTGTCACGGCGCCGGCGCCCGTGCTGCTCCAGACCATCGCCGACGTCGCCACGCTGCCCTACTGCCGCGGTGTTATTTTGGGCACAGGCGGCCTGGGCCAGGGACTCGATGACCCGGCCATGGAGCCCGTTCTGGCCGCGCTGGCCGAGGCGGGGCTCGTGGTCTTCTTGCACCCGCACTACGGCCTGCCCGGCGAGGTGTGGGGCCCGCGTGGCGGCACGACCGGCGAGTACGGCCATGTGCTGCCGCTGGCGCTCGGCTTCCCCATGGAGACGACCATCGCCGTGACGCGGCTCTTCCTGGCAGGCGTCTTCGACCGCCTGCCGAAGCTGCGTCTCCTGCTGGCCCACAGCGGCGGCACACTGCCGTTCCTGGCCGGCCGCATCGACTCGTGCGTGCGTCACGACGCGCACCTGTGGAAGGCCGCCAAAACGCGCCGCAGCATCTGGGATGTGCTGCACGAGCAGGTGTACCTGGATGCCGTCGTGTACTCGGACGTCGGCCTGCAGGCGGCCATTGCGGCGTCGGGCGGTGCCAACAGCGGCGGGCTGGACCGGTTGCTGTTTGGCACGGACCACCCCTTCTTCCCGCCGCTCGACAGCGATGAGCAGGGCCAGTGGGAGAGTGTCAGCATGAACGCCGACGCGGTCAAGAACGCCCTGGGCGACGGCAGTGAGGCGGCCGCTGCCGTCATGGGTGGCAACGCCATGCGCATCCTCCGCCTGTACAAGGAGGTTGCGGAGAAGGCGTAATGGACCGGGGCTGGAACATAAATGATATGCAATAAATGGCAACGTAAAAACCTGTATATAGCGTCATACCTACCATCATAACCCACTATGTCACTATGTCTCATATGTATCCTGGATCCATCCTATCCTCCCGTCGTCATGCTCTCTGTCTACACACTGCCAAAGTCCATCTTCAGTGCAATCGTTGGCTGGTCGTTGTTGCTTGCTGCCGGCTTCGCCGCCGCCGCCTGCCGTCCGGCCTTAATCACCTCCTCCATAAACGACCGTTGGCTCTCGTTCAGCCCGGCCACCACCCCACGGAACGCTGCCGGGTCGGCCGACGCCAGCTCCAGGAGCCGCCCGCTCGTCTCCTTGTACATCGTGTTGCGGTCGGCCTCGGCCGCCGCGCCCAGCTCGGCCTGCTGTGTGCTCAGGTTCGCCTCTTGCCACTTTTCGAGCTCACCGGCGGCGCGGGCCAAGAGCGCAGGGAGAACCAGCGCCGTTGCGACGGCCACGGATGTACGGTTGCCGCCCGTGGCGCTGCCGTTGGTCGCCGTCGCCTGGGATGCTGCCTGCACCACAAACGCATTGAGAGTCTGCGCGACAAGACTGCGCGCGCCCTCTGGGTCCTCAGGCTCGACGTTGGTGGCAAACGCCAGAAGGCGCGGCAGTAGGAAGCGGCCGATGCTCTGGTCGGCAGCTGTGTTGCGGGTGTGCAGGAGGAGAGACCGGCAGCAGTTGGCTGCAATCTTTGCGGTCTAAACAGGTAGTTAGCAAAATGAGCAAGATTTTATTAATATACTGCACAAGATAAAACCATAGAGAACGCACCATGCGGTCAGTCAGGCAGTCGAGAAGCTCGTCGAGGAAGCGCACGACCAGTGGGTCGTTGGTCGAGAGGTTGTTGTTGCCGGCCGTAAAGAGAATCGTAATGGCCAGCAGCGAGTTCTTGACACACGCCAGCGACGTCGCCGCTTCGCGCTTCTGTGCCGTCAGGTACACGGACAGGAACCGCCGCAGACAGCCGCGCATCTGCGCGTCAGTCTGTTCGTCGCCCGCGGCCGTTGATGTGGCCGTCGTAATGAACCGCTTGAGTGTCGGCAGCGCTTGCGGGACGACCACCTCTTGGCATGCCGGCGTCGCCAGAATCATGGCAAAGATGTGCACAAGACACGCGTGCAGGTCGGTGCGAATAATGGCAGGGAACACCTCGGCCGCGTCCACCAGCGCATCGAGGGCTGTCTTGATCAAGACCAAAACGGCCTCCTCCGTCATGTGGTACCGCATGGGCGGCGGGCCCGACGACCCTTGCGGCTGCTCCGACAGCGTCGGCAGCAGGCCGGACAGCACAAGCACGATAATTCGCGTCAGCTCAAACAGCTGCTCAATGTCCTCCGACAGCTCGCCCGTCTCCGGCTGCTCGCGCGTACGCGCCGCCGGGTGTGCCAGGCACAGCGCGCGGGCAATCTCAACAATGACGCCCTGCACGTCCAGGCCCTCCGTCAGCACCTGGCGGTCCAGCAGGTCCATTGTTTCCGAAAAGATCGCGTCGCGGTAGATGGCCTGGCCCGACACACTGGGGTGCAGGATCTTCTTAAGGGCCAGCAAGATCTCCAGCGTCTGGCCAGGCGTGGCCAGCGAGTCGGCGTGGCCCTGGCGCGCCGCCAGCGCCTCAAAGGCGATGCCGAACAGTACAAAGAAAAAGGCGACGGGCTCGTCGCGGTAGTTGATGTCCGGGCCCTTCTTCTTGCCTGATTCGCGGCCGCCACCGTCCGCGAGCGACACGGCGACCGCCTTTTCAATGCTCTTAGCCCGGTCGCTGTCGGCGTCGTCGTTTTCCTCAACCAGCTTGCCGTCCAGTGCATCAAAAACAAACTCGCTGTCCTGTTCAATCAGGCTGGCAATCGCATCCACCAGCTTCAGCCACGCCTCCTGGTAGAACGCCAGCAGCGTCTCACGGTTGAGCGCCGCATAGATCGTGTCGAGGCTTCCGGACAGCGAGGGAGGGCCCAGCGTCATCGAGATGTCCGGCTCGAAGCGCAGGCGCGCAAACTCGCGCAGCGACTCGAGCCACAGCGGCGTCAGCTTGCCAATGTGCGGCCGCAGCACATCCACCAGGTACTGCTGCTCAAGACTGGCGACCTGCAGCTCGGCCCAGGCCGCAAAGACAGACATCTTGACCATGACCTGGGCGTTGGCGCTGAGGCCCTTGAGGTCGCCGATGCCGATGTTGTCGCTGTCGGCCATAAAGCTCTCCAGGGCGCCCACAAGGGTCTTGAGGATGCGGCCCATACGGTCGACATCCGTCACAATGCCCGTAGCGACAAAGGCGGCACAGACGTGCACGGCCTCCGAGGCCAGCTCAGGCGACGAGTCGGCGGCAAACGCGGGCGTCAGCGCCGAGCTGATCTGTGCCTGGAACTGCTCGAGGATCATGGCTTCTTCAAAGTCGGGGTCCGGCGTCTTGCCGAACATGCGCAGCAGGGCGCCGACAATCTTGAGGCCCCAGATGCGCTGCTCCAGCACCGACGACGTCGAGGCCGAGAAGGCCATGCGCACGACGTCGGCAATCTTGCTCTGGAGCGCCGCCTGCGCCGGTGAAATGTCACCGCCCACGCTCGCCGTAGCGGCCGCGTCATTACCGACGAGCAAGAACACTTCGTTCAGCAGGCTCAGCACAAAGGCCGTGATCTGCCAGCGCAGCGGCTCGACGTCCGATCCGGCTGCGGCCGTTCTCGCAGCGGTCGCGGCTGCCACGACCGCATTCGACGAGCTCGGCGCCCCGGTCGGCGCACTGCTTCCAGCAGCACCGCCTCCCGCATCGGCAGCAGCGCCGCCACTAGACGACGACGGGCCGCCGCCACCGTCACCCGGCTGGTCGCCGTCGTCTTTGTTGTGCCCGTCATCGCGCTCGCCAGAACCCAGGCCGGCCACTTCCTCGTCCTGCAAGTCAATGGCCGTGCCGCGGAAGGCCGTCTTCTGGAAAGTAGCAGCGAGGCGTGTGGTCTCCGGCACCTTGGGGCGGGTCATTTTGAGGACGCGCTGGAAGCGCTGCAGCCAGCCGTTGGTGTCGTGGAGGCAGGCCTGGCGCATCCAGTTGCGGAAGATGTTGCGGATGCCGTCGTGCGCCGGGTGGCGGTCAAGCACAAGCCACAGCTGGTCCTCGAGACCGGGCAGAGCAGCGGCCATGACTTCGTCGGCATTGCGCTTCATCAGATTGTACAGGCCGTCGACGGCTGCGTCGCGCAAGCCCTGGTGGTCCGACTGCATATAGCGCTGCAGCAGCTTGACGTAGTCATTGAAATCGACATAGCCAGGCGCGTAGAGCGACAGGTGCTCCAGGCACGCAAGGCTGGAACGCTGGACCTGGCGGTCGTCCTCGTCCTGGAACTGGCGCACAAGCGTAAAGATGAGCTCGCGCGACTTGGTGGTCTCCTGCAGATCGGGCCCCAGCACGTTGACGAGGGCGTCGACGCAGCGGGCAATGGCGGCGGTGGTGCTGAGGTCGAGCTCGAGGTTCATGGACACGGCGGACGCGACCTCGGCGTGGTGGTTCTCGGAGCCGTACAGTTGAGCGAGCATGCCGAGGGTGCTCCAGACGTAGCTCGAAAAGTTGAGGCCGGCAGCATCCGACGCGCGTGCAAAGGCCTCGAGGGCCCAGAAGTGCACCGTGGGGTGGGGGTCGTTGCAGAGCGACATCAAGATGCCCAGAATGGTCTTGAGATGGTAACCCGCGGCCATGCCGCCGACTTTGGTCTGGATGCAGCCGAGGGCCATGGCACAGCCCGCGCGCGCGCTCGGCTCGCGGTTGACGACAATGGTGTCGACCAAGTACTTGATTTCGTGGCTGGTGAAGGCGTTGCCGCAGGCGTTGCACAGGCGGCCGACGGCGGCGTAGCCGATGCTGCGGACGTACTGGTCCGGGTCGATGACGAAGCCACGCACCAGGTCCTGCAGCAGCTTCTCGACCTTTTGGTCGGTGATGTTGCCAGCGGGGGCGTGGGTCTCCTTGACGGCGACCTTGAGGGTGGAGAGCAACGCCACGGCGACGTTGACATTGATGGCGGTCTTGCGACCGGGGTCGCGCTGCAGCGAACCGGCCGACATGAACGTAGCGACCTGCTCGAGGATGCTCTCCTGGACCTTGGCAGGCGTGAGGGGGAAGACGTAGGCAAAGAGCTGGATCGCCAGGTTGACGACGTCGGTGGCGGGCGGATCGGGAAGCAGCGTGCTGCTGGAGGCGCTGCCGTCGGCGCCGCGGACGACATTGCTCTCGACATAGAGCAGGGATGCATCGTGCTCGAACGCGCCGCACACGGGAGATAGCAACAAGCTCTCGATGACGCCCTCGGGCCCCGCGGTCTCGTCCAGCGCCGACAAGAGCTGTTGCTGCTCCTCCTCCTCGGCGGCGTTCTTCTCGTGCTGTCCGGGCAGGCCGCGCAACTTGAATCCAGAGACGAGGCCAGTGACACCGAAGCCGGCGTTGTCCGCCACGTCCCAGATGGTCTCAAAGGTGCCGGCGGCGGTGGCAATGGATGCGCTGAGCGAGCCGGCGCCGTAGTTGTCCGGGTCCGCAAAGAAGGAGATGACGAGGGTCAGCAAGTTGGACTGCAGCAGAGCCTCGCTGCTGCCGGCGGGGGCCATGTTGATGAGGCGCAGATAGCACTGCAGCACACGGCGCTGGACCATGACGTCCAGGTCGTGCAGCTGCAGGGCGGGGGTCAGGCGCTGCGACATGTCGTCGGTGACCTTGCGGGCGGGCAGCGTGCGCAAGAAAGCAGTCGTGTGCTGCAGCATGGCGGCGATGCGCTTGGACACGTCGACGGTCAGCAGGCGGCTGTTGTACTGCAAAAAGGCGAGGATGGAGCCGAGCGCACAGTCGCGCACGTGCGTCAAAAAGGACGTCTCGAGGTAGTTGCGCGACGCAACGTTGTCCTTGGCCAACGGCTTGGGCAGGGCGTTCTTCCACAGCAGCAGCATCTGCGAGAGGTGGATCTTGACAAAGTTGGGGCCGAGGGACATGAGGCCGCCAATGAGGATCCAGGCGACCTGGATCTGCACGCTGGCCACGCGCAGCTCCAGCTTGCCGCTCGTCTTGAGCAGATTCGTAGCCATGGTGAGGACGCGGCTGTTGATATCGACCGAGCCGTACAGCGGGCGCTGGGGACTGGCGCTGAGGGTGGCAGCCAGACCGTACGAGAACCCGAGGCAGCGGCGGTGCTGGTGGGTGCTGCTGCCGCCGGCGCCACTCAGCTGGCCCAGCTCGCGCGTGAGGCTGTTCATGCACACGGACAGACAGGGCAGTAGCTGCTGCGGGCAGGCGAGCACAAAGGCTTTGAGACAGGCGGCGGCGTGGACCTGCACGCTGTAGGTTGGGTGGGGCAGCAGCTGCAGGAGACCGTCGCGGCAGGACTCGGCAAAGCTGTTGGCGGCCGAGCCCAACGAGGCGACAAGCGACGCCAGAGCGCCGAGGGTAACGACGAGGGTGTGTTTGCTGGGCTCGGGGCGCTCCTTGATGACCTGGGGGTAGTTTTTCAGGACTTCGTTGACGAGGGCCTTGGCGGCGGCGACCTGGCCGGCCTCGCTCAGAATGCGGCGGCCGACAATGTCCTGCACAATCGTGTCAACAATGCGGCGCGAGACGAGCAGGCGGTAGCGGTTGTTGGCAATGTTGGCGTGGCCGAGCAGGTCGACGGACAGGTTCTCAATGATTTTGAGGTAGTTGAGCTCGACGGCCTTCTCGCCGAGACGCTGCAGCACGCGGCCGTAGCAGATGCCAAGGGCGGCGCGGGCACGGTTCGTTGTGGACAGACGGACGTAGTGCGCGGAGAGCGTCTTGAGCAGATCGACGAGCGGCAGCGACAGCACGTTGTGGCTGCTGCGCGAGGGGCCTGGGCTGCTCGCACGCGAGCCGGGCAGGTCGTCGTCGTCCTGCAGGCCGGCCGGGAGGGTCGACTGCCGCTTGAGCGCCTTGGGCAGCACCGCTTTGCGCGTGGACATGGCACGTCCCAGTCCACCACCCCCGCCATCGCCGCCGCCGCCGATGCCGCCACTGCCGCCGCCGACGGCCTCGGCGTAGCCCTTGACCATGGCCTCGACGAGGCAGTCGGCGGCAGCACGACGCACGTGGGGCGATGGAGAATCAATCGTTTTGAAGATGGTCTTGCTGAGGCTGTCAAAGTCGCTCGACGTGTCAAAGTACGTCGTGTAGCGCACAAGCGCAATCAGACAGCGGCAGGCGGCTACGGACACAAGGGCGCCCTTGTCGCCCGAGGCATGGCTGCGTGCCTGCTTCCACATGTCGCGGGCAATGCTCTCGTCGGTGCTCGTGCCGATGCAGGTCACAAGCTTAGAGAATGCCACAAACACGGCCGCCCGCAGCCCCGCGTGGTTCTGCGCCGCCTTGAGCATCTTCATGAGCGTGGCGGTCGTCAGCTGGTGCAGGCTGATGGCGCTGTCGCCGGCGGCACCAAAGACATCACCGAGGCAGACGACGGCCGCGTGTTTCGTGCGGTTCGACGCCTCGGCTGCCGAGATCCCGCCGGAGCTGCTGCCTGCACTGGCGTCTGCGGTCCGCACCTTGACGCCGCCGTTGGCAATGACCGCGTTGAGGTCGTTGATGGTCTCGAACAGCAGCTTGCGGTCGCCCTTGCCGAGGACGTGTGCCAGGCAGCGGCCGAGCGTGTTGCGGACGACGCGTGATGGCGGAGGCGTCGTGAGATTGAGGATCTTGAAGATTTCCTTCTTGAGGTAGATCTGCTGGGCCGTGCAGTCGTCCGGCTCGAGCACGCGCACGTGGGCGTCGAGGGTGGCCGCGAACTGCAGCAGCGTCAGCTCTTGCTGCTCAACAGGCAAGTTGGCCAGGTGCATGGTGTCGAGCTCGGGGTGTGGGCTGGTCGATGCGGCGGCCGCGTTCGTCGTGGCAGCCGTGGCAGATGCTGCTGCTGCTGCAACTGCCGCGACGGCGGCTGCATCATCGGCACCACCGCCGTTGCTGGCCTGCGGGCCATCAGGGGCCGGCGAGGCAGCCGTCGCCATGAGAGGAGATGACAGAGATAGGGGTGAGAAGTTCAATATGATTGAGGATAACAAAGGTGCTGAGGTCGAGGAGGTCGAGATCGAGGCGGGCGTGGAATAGGGGAGGCGTGCGAGGGACGATCGAGGACTGGCCGAAAAGGGGGGCGCACGGCGTGATATGAGGTTGCAAGTGGAATTGGCCGGCTGTCCAAGTCGCTACTTGGTCAACAACGGCCGTCGTCGTCGAAGGTGAGAGGCAGAAACGGTGCTGCTGAGTGGGTAGCAGGGGGGATCCTAAAAGGGGGTCGTTTCTCCAAGCTCGATCGTGTGTAGTGTGTGTGCAGCTTCCTCCTTCGATCGAGTTGACCAGCAGCACCTTCCATCCGGAGAGGTGTTGTTCTCAGAGGGCCTGAGTAGCGGTTTCCAGCCAATCAAGCGCCTGGATCCACAGTCCCCTCCACAGAGCTCCTGCGGCAGGTGCAGCCCACGAGCGCCTGCCTTTAGCGGGGCAGCACCGGGACCAGACAGGAAAAATTATTGCGCCACAGCGAGCTGCTCACAGCGGTCTTTCGTGGAAGCGATAGTGGCTCAAGCGCTAACAGGCCTGAAGAGAACGACATCTCTGAGCTTCACTTGTCGCGATAATCGACGCAATGCCTCCAATCTCGCCCTCCCTCGCGAGCCTCAGAGCGTTGCCGTCCCCATGGACACGGTACGCCTGCGCGCAATGCTGCCGAAGCTTTGCCTCGTCACCGGCCGTTGCCAGCGGCCACAATCGCTGGTCCAAGATCCGGCATGAAAAGGGCGCCGCCGATATCAAGAAAACACAGCTGCGCAGCAACTTTACCAAGACGATTACGCTGTATTCGCAGAGTGAGTTGGGATTAATTGGGGGGGCTTCTATTTTATGTGTTCCCTAGGCTGACAGTTGCAGTGTACGGCCCCGACGTCAACATGAACCCGCAGCTGGCGTCGGTTGTCAGCAGCGCCAAAAAGTCGGGCGTGCCCAAGACCGTCATCGAGGCGGCGATAGCCCGCGGCCAGGGCAAGTCGGCCGACGGCGGGCGTCTTGAGAGCGCCACGTACGAGATCATGATGCCGCCGTCCGTGGCGCTGATTGTCGATCTCGAAACCGAGAGCAAGGCGCGCGCGCTGCAGGAGCTCAACTCGGTCATCCGACGGAAAGGCGGCACCATGGCGCCGACCAAGTTCTTTTTCACACGGCAAGGACGGGTGGTCTTGGGTCCGGCGGCATCTGCGACTGCATCTGCATCGGAAAGGGAATCGACTGGCGACGATGTCGCGCCGGTAACCGTGGACGACATCCTGGAGGACGCCATCGAGGCCGGCGCCGAAGACGTCGAGACCAACGAAGACGGCAACATTGTCGTGTGGACGGCGCCTCTGCACACAGGGCCGGTTGTCACTGCCGTCGAGGAGGGCCGCTTCAAGGTGAAGAACCTGGCCGTCCTGAGCGCCGACACCGTGTGGTCTGTAAACGAAGAAACGCAGGCACCGCTGGGAGACGGCACCGGAAACAGCGCCGTCGAGAACCGCAAACTGCTCGAGCTCGTCGCGGCTTTCCGCGCATACCCGGACGTTAAGGGCATATTTTCCAATGTGACCCAGGGCCAGGCGCCGGATGACGTGTGGCAGCAACTGGTGCAAGACCTAGACTGGTAGTGACTGGTGACATAATGGAGTGAAGATAGACGGAGCCCGGTATCTGTATATATACAACATTGTCCAACGACAAAAACAAATTTCTTCCGACAGTACAAAAGCAATCGTGAGAAGAAACAAACATCACATTGAAACCTCCCGTGCCAATATTCAATTTGTGGTCCCGTGCGCCATCTTCTCCGAGAAACATAAAGCAAAATAACGCCGTCGATATGATGTCATGTCGTGTTGCCCACTCCTCCTTTCCCCCTCTTCGAGTCTTCAGTGTCCCTCCTCGCCGTTGGCCGGCGGCGGTGGCCGTGCCGCCTCTTCAGCCAGTCGCCGGTCCCGCTGGTACAGCCGGCGTGCCCGCAACCGCTGCAGCTCGGCGTGGATCTCGTCGCGCTCGGTCGGGACGCGGTTGGCGTTCTCCGGCTTGGGCCAGAAGTCGGGCACGGCGAAGCGGTCGTCGAGGTTTGTGCCAAAGTAGTACATGATGCCAATGGGGAACATGACATACATGCCAAACTGGGTGGGGAGGAGAAGACACAGCAAAGTTAGCGGGGGTCGCATGATCGCAAAACGAGACGAGACACTGAATCAGAATAGCAACCAACCTTGAACACTTCCAGATTTAAGCCACCCATGATGTCTGCCGCCGTTGTGAGGTGCCAGGGGGGTACAGATGCGGTCGAGGTTTGTGTTGTTGCGCAGCAAGACGTCGTGCGAAAAGAACCGACGTCGAAGCTCGTGGGTGTTGTGTCTTGGTCAAGAAAAGCTAAAGGCAACCAGCCCATTGGCGGGTCGCACTTCACGTAAAGCAGACTCCGTGCAGCAGACCCCTAATAACACTGTGCATAGCCGCACAATGAGGCGCAAATTGGCCGTCACTGAAACAACTCCCCACTGTATTGACAACTTTCCAAAAACGCTAATAAATACAAAGGTAATACGGAGTCCGATCTGAAAAGCAAAGCATTCGAAGCCCCCATAAAGGATAAGTCTATGTGATTTTCTAACCCGCACGCTCCCATCCGAATAAACCAAATACACCAGCCCGGCAGCCCGTTTTCCTGTCCTCCAGCCTATCCGCAGTATATAGGCAGAGGTCTGTAGGCCATAAAATCCCAAAGCAAACAAAATAACGAAGAAAGCGGAAAGAGAAAGGTGAAAAGTAAGAGCATTAAAAAGGATGTAACAATAATGCCACAGCAATGCAAGAACAATATTATGTAGCTCACCGCTTGCGCTGGTCGGGGCAACTCTTGGTCACACGCCATGCGGCAATGCCGCGCCGCCCGACCACCCGCGACAGCGTGTTCCACACGCCATCGTCGCCCCAGTCCAAGTCGTCCAGGTTCAGATGTTGGCGGTAGCGCCACACCTCGCGGAAGCGCAGGCCCTCGAGGCCCTTGTTGGGCAGGTACTGGTCGAGCCACGTCGCCGACAGCGGCGCGATCAGGTATGTGCCGTTCTTCTCCTTGAGGTACTCATTGTTGCGCCGGTCCGCCGGCGTGTCGCACGTCGCTAGCGCCGTCAGCTGCTCCATGAGCTGGTCGCCCGGCAGGCCCATGACGTCGCGTGTCTGGAGCACCTCGTTCTTGCCGTTCAGCAGCCATATCGGTGGGCTATACGTCTTCCACCAGATCGCCTGTGTCGCGTCCGGCTGCCGGCTCATGAAAATCTGCGTCGGCACAATGCCGCCCTGGTGATACACACCCATCAGGATGCCAAGGAGCACATTGAATGCGATCCACGCAGACACCCAAGCATGCAGCAGGCGCGAGTTGCGCGGTAGCTGCACCGAGGACAGGATCAGCGGGATCGTAGGCAGCAAGAAGCGTGCCTCTTGGTGCTGGAAAATGGACAGCACAAAGATACCCGACACGGCCGAATAGAGCCGCAGGGACAGGTGCGGTTGGAGGAAGAGAAGCGCTGCCGCCGGGCCTATCAGCAGGGGAATGTTGGCCAGCAGGTGCTGGTACCAGGGATGCAGACCGTGCTCGGCGAGGTTTGCGGGCGACATGTTGTAAAGGAGGTTGTTGAGAGGTGTGATAACGGGGTGGAAAAGCAGGTCTCCCCAGGATATCTGGTGCGGCGTGTAGAAGGCAGTGTCGAAGGCGATGGCGACAATTGTCGTCAAAAGGCCCGACAGAGCAAGTGCGGTAAAAGATAACGGTCTATTGGAGGAAGGACAGTTAGCAATGTCATTCGCACCAGATCGAGTCACAGGGGGAAGGGGGGGATGCTGCGCCATACCTATTAATAAAGTAGGGTATCAAACGAAGGCCGGGAATCAGCAAAAAGGCAGGGAAAGTTATTCTGTTGAATATGCCAAACACCACAACAATGCCCAGGATCGAGGGGGCGAGCACCGAAGCACGGTCTTGGCGCCCTTCGACGATGCGGTCGATCAGGACCAGACTCCAGGCAACCACGAGCGTCTCAACCGAGTTCGAAAACGTGTGTGTCTGGTAGGTCCACGTCACGTACGACGACGCGACAAGAACAACCGCAGTCTGCCGGTGACGCTTGGCCGGCACCAGCTCGTAGATCGCCCAGTCGAGCAGCACAAAGTTCATGACGAACATGAGGAGGCGCAAGACCCAGAATACGACATGCGGGGGGATTTCGCCGTCGCCGCCGTTGCCGATCCATAGCCAGCGCAGGAGGAACATCGGGAGGCCGTACACCGGCCATAATGGGAAGACGCTTCGGATCGGGTGGTCGCTCGTGAACTCCCAGGTGAGTCGGACGGGGTAGCTAAACACTTCGCCTGCAAACAAAGAAGTCGTGTTAGCACGGCAAGCCCAGGGCAACGCAACACTGAACGAACAAAGAACGAGGCCAAAAAGTTTCCCGTCCGGGGCAAGCGCGAAAGAGAGCTTCGGTAGAGAGACATGGGGAGCTCCGTTTCCCCCACGGGCACAACACGCCAGGAATGTTGCGTCCGCCAATCCTCTCCAAACACAACTCCGCCCTTGCCCCAACGAAAACAAAAGCCACTCCCCAGGTGCTTGGGGAAGTAAATAAACGGATTTGCGCTTGTCTTACCAGCGATCACTTCCGGTCCTTGGAAGTTCTCGTCCGGGTGCAGATAGCTTGGCGACATGGCGAACCACAGCCGCACCAGGATGAGGACGAGGTATGTTCGGCGCCACATTGTGGGCGAGAGGTGCCAGAGGAATTGGGAGGAAAGAGACAAGTAAAGAAGTCGTGAAGGAGAGTCGAGAAGGAGGAATAGGGTCGATAGGAAGGAGAGAAAGGTGTCACGAGCGTTCTCAATAGACGACTAGGAACACACACGAAAAGTCGACGGTATGGTATTGTCGTCGAACGGGAAGGGCCAGAGTTGTGTCGAGAAGAGAACGATGCGATGCGCGTCGAGAGTATTCAAGGTGAATGCGAGCGGCTCTACCTTACAGGCAAAGCTTCGAAGCCGAAGGTGAGGCCGAGGCCGCAAACAAGTCGTAACCGCGCTCGAGCTGCGGCGACAACAGCAAAGGCATCGTTAGATAGACGAGGCCACTGGGAGACGCAACGGCGTCATAGTCAGGAGCCCCCGGTTGAGAGTGCGTGCGCCTGTTGTGCGTGAGGCAAGGTAGCAGACAAAGGGAGGTAAAAGCGGCCGTCGACTGTTGGTTGTTGGTGAGAAGAAAAATAAGGGAAAGAGGCCCGGATTTTTCAGAACGAGGAAATGAAGTAAATCTGGTAGGCCTGGAACATGGAAGGAGCGACGCACGGTGAGTTGACCGCGGAAGGACAAAACACGCGATTCGAGCGCCTTCCCTGTCGAGACCGAGTGCGCTGTAACCCTTGTCGGACAGGAAAGGGGGATCCTCGAAAAGGAGACAACAAAACCGGAGCTGCAGCAAGTCAATAACAAAAATAATGAACTGGGTAGTACTTCTGTATTAGTAAATAGACCGCTAGCTTGCTCCGCAAATTAATTAACAGGTGGTATTAGTGTGGTGCAAGACACGGCGCCTGCATCCGTCAGCCGTCGCGGGACGCGCTGGCAGTGGCGAGTGCTTGTTTTAGCGGTTGCAGCAGGTCGTTGCAGCGAACCAGAGACCTGTATTGGCCCAAAGCAGCCGCTATCTTACCCATCGTCCATGCGACTCTGTAAAGAGCGTGCATTCCTCTCATTGAAACCTTCCCCAATGGGGCCTTGTCACTGCTATGAGCGAACTAGGCTGCAAACGAACAGGCCTGAAAGCGGCAAAATAGGAAAGACACAGTGTAGGGTGTAGGCGGTGGAAAGAGCCACCAGCAATCAACCACATGGCGATGTCAACTGGCCAGCAGGTCGCACCTGCTCTGGGAAATCTGATTCACGAGACACACCGCTGTAAGCTTTTCTCGTGGCCTCGTCTCATCTCATGATTCTCCCAACTTTCGTACGTCTGACCGTCTTAGCCCTAGGACAGGATCGTGTAAGACGGTTGCCGTTCCAAATCACGGCAAGCTCACTCTCGTTTTATGACACGTTTTTTTTGTCACTCTGCCAACGACTGGCCGTGTTCATTTCATCATCATATAGACACAATATGTTCATGCGCACAGCTGTCAATACGTCTTTCAAAGGATACCGCAGTTAGAACGCCTGCCGTACAAACAAAACCTGTCCCTTTCCGAACGCGGCACAAGGCAGAAAGACTGCGATATTCGTCTCTCACCGTTGGTCGCGGTCCCGTCGTATTCCAGGCAGAGACGGCAGCGACACGGACATATAGTGTCCGCCAGATGCGGCGCAGCCTGCCCGGTTGCGGTCTCAATGCCAGGGGCGGGTGCCCGACCACAAAGCCAAAGCCCCTACAGTCGGTGCCTAACTCTTTCGGCCACAGGCGGGGAATACGGGGTCTTTGTGGTCTGTAGTCTTTGAAGTCTTTGTCGTCTTTGTATCTTACTGCACGCATCAGGGACCAACTGGCAATTCCAGCCAGCCTGGCCCACTTCCTCCACGCTTTCTGCCTCGTCTAGCGCGAGGCCAACAGCCGTCAGGGTCGTAAATCGTGTGCAGGCACAGCCAGAGCCACGAAAATAAACTCCCTTTTTTGTTGGCAATGGGAGAAGTAAGCATTCAACATTGTGGGATATAAAGTCCCGCTGGATGTCGTCGCAAACTCGGACAGGAAACTCGGACAGGAAACTACGATCAGCGAACCATCTCCAACTGCTCCTGCCCCGAATCAAGTCCTCTAATACGGAGTATTCCAGCCCCTCTGAGCCAATCACTACACAGGCAGCAGCGACCCACTACACGCCACCTGTGGCTTACCCATTTTTTCCGGCCGTCTTCGCCGCCCTTCTATTCTACTTTGAACATCATCGCCCCCTCCACAGCTCACATCATCGCTTCTCTCCCACAAACTTTAAATCGAGGTTCTTCTTCTATCCACCACCATCATCACGTACCCCGACAACAGTTTAACGACATCACCCAGTTTCCGCGTGCAATTTATCGCGGCATCCCATTGCAACCTGTGAGTTTGTCTTTCCTTCCAGGCTCGCCCCGCACTCGTAGCAGCCTCCCGTGTTGTCACACCCGTCCTTTGTCGACCCATTCAGCCTTCTCTGCCGCATCGCGAAAGTGCCATCTCGGAAAGCTACGAAGACCCAGCATATTCTCAGCTTGCTTTGCTCACTTCGCCGATGCCGTTGCCCGCTCACATTCTTTGAGACATGCCATCAAATTGGACTTGACGTCGCTATCTTTCTCCTGCTATTGTATCTAACAAGCCTTTTACAAACAGACCTCTTATCCAAATTAACCCTCGCTGACCGACAAAATGCCCGAGGAGAAGTCCTTCGATAAGATCCCACTCCAGAGCAACGATGGCAGCGTCATCACTGTCGACTACGAGGTTGCCATCCGCTCGGCGCTGCTTAGCACGATGCTGGAGGATCTGAAGAGCATGGGTGTCTCTGAACTCGGCCCTGTCCCTCTGCCCAACGTACGTTTCCATTAGAGCGAACCGACGTTTTCCGTTCCCGGTGTGTTTTGCTAACCACGTGCCTTTCGTCCAGGTCAACGAGGCCGTTCTCCGCAAGGTCATTGAGTACTGCGAGCACCACCGCAACGACCCCCTTGGTACCAACGAGGAGGAGACCGAGAGCCGCAAGAAGACCACCGATATTGAAGAGTGGGACCAGAAGTTCATGCAGGTCGATCAGGAGATGCTCTTTGAGATCATCCTGGTACGTAAACCCTATTTTCTGTCGCTTTATCTTTGGTTACATACTTTGTGTACGTTATTCCTTGCTAACACGATTCCCGCATTCAGGCCGCCAACTACATGGACATCAAGGCACTTCTTGACGTCGGCTGCAAGACGGTCGCCAACATGATCAAGGGCAAGTCGCCCGAGGAGATCCGCAAGACCTTCAACATCACCAACGACTTCACCCCCGAGGAGGAGGAGCAGATCCGGAGAGAGAATGAGTGGGCTGAGGACCGCTAAGCTGCGCAAGTATGGTGAACGAGTCTGGTGAACGAGTCTGGTGAACGAGTCCGGAAACGGGAAACGTGTGTCCCGTATTGTTGGCTGTTGTCTGCCGGTGAATCTTTTGTTCTGGCTTTTGTATGTCTTTTACGTTTTATTTCCTATACCTTTTGTTCTGGGTTAAGCGGTCAAAGGAGGTGCCACAGGTTCTCTGTACCGAATGTATTCTTTCAATTCAAACCGATAGTAGTTCGCGGGTTAATAAAACCGATATAACTTGCTTCACTTCTCTTGTTCCGTATTCCCATATGATTTGATACTAATGGCATGTGCGGTGCCGGTATCTGCTCCTGAGGATATGACTAGAAGCATTATAGTACCAAACAGACAAAGATGACAACAGTTGGCCTTCCATATGCGGACAAAGGAGATGCGTCAAAGAAAAAGAGGCGTGGTTCCGGCTTCCGGATCTGTTCGTTCTATTTGATATTCGAGCTGCAAGCCGGACTCGGCAACTCACCAGACTCCTTTCGGCATTGTCCTCTCCAATTTTTTAAAATGGCCGGCTTCGAACAGTCTTTTTGTTTAGAAGCGGACTGGATTAAGAACACTACGTGATATCAAAGGTTCATAACACGAAAAGGGTGATGTACTCTGAAGTCGCCATACGCCGTTGCACAGCGTCACCATTCGTTTACAACACGGCTACGAGCAAGGTAGGTGGTCGGAAAAACACACGACTTTTTTTTCAATGTTTTGTTGTTTTTTATTCATTTCCTTTTCTGTAAAAAAAAAGCTCTGATGTTAATGTCAGAAGGTAAACAATAAATATACCCGTTTACTCCCAGTTTTGGATGCCGTCAACTCCTCCCTTCATTTTCTCCACACAAGAACATGTTTTCCGTATTTCCTCTCGGTATTTCCGAAGAGGTCATTCGTAAGAAAAGAAAGCACACATCCTTTGTGAGACTCTCATGGAGTAGGGCGTAGAAGCAGGGGGCCGAATAGAGTGAGCAAGTAAAATTGAGCAGAGCTTCGAAAGGAACACTTTGGTAGGGCCACAGGCCATTCACATTCCGCAACGCCAGGTGCCGTCCCAAACGCGTTGAGTCGTATGTCATGTCAATCGTCGTTGTTGGGCGCAGCACAGAAGAGTACCATACGACCGTCCGTGCGAAGCAAGGTAATGGCCGTAGGCCGCCGCAGTTTGAAAAAAGGATGACGGCGTCGCATAGTCGCTAGTCGTCGTCTTGTCGCAAAATCGAGTGTGGTCCGTTCCCAGAATACCGATGCTTCTCGCCCGCCTGTTTCGGCTTCTTCCCAAGCCCTCATTCCTCGTCACACCCCCAGCTCCCGGACACAATATGGGTAAACATTTAGATGCCCAGGCGGGTCTTGCGCCAGTGTCTCCGCTTCGCGTTGTAACTGGAAGGATGTTAGTTTCAGTAGACTAGACGGTATGGTGCATTCCTGTATCGCATCGACAGGGTATGGGTTTGGTTCATCGTACCGAATGGTGTTGCCGGTCCGGAGACGGATCCACTGGGGGATCGGGCGGTTTTGCTTCTGCGCCTTAGCGAGCTTCTGCTTGGTGCGGAAAGACTTGTGGCTCTGCAAGGAGGGGAAAGAACATGTCAGTCAACGTTCAGGACAGTTATGACTTTAACATCCAACAGTTCATCGTCGTCCGGTCGGCTCTGTTGTTTCGGCTTGTCCAGTCGTCGCTCTCTTTCCTCCTCACTCGGTGGTTTCAGGCGTGTCTCTGATCATCCGTCCCCGTGCAAAGAGGCTATATGACGGAAGCCTCGTCATGGGCTGAAGATATTGCGACCAGCAAAAGCCCATTTTCGCATTCGCAAATGTCGTCGAGGATGTTGGTTTGTCGAGCAAATAGAACAAGAAAGCGTTCCGTTCGTACGTGTGCGTGTCATCTTCATCGTCTGTCCCACCACCGAAAAACAACTATACGTACCGGCATCTTGACTGATTGTTGATTCTGTCGTTGATTCCGAAAGAAAATTATGGTAGGTTGCTGGATTGAAGGTCGGAAGAAATGCGTCAGGGAGGGGGTTCCATACAATCAACGATTTTTTTTCCTCCTACCCAGATTTGCCCACAACGCGCACCCCAAACTAAAATTTCGTGCGCAGGTTTTCCTATACTCCACTTTTCTCTCTTTCGGACAAACTTTTTTGCCTTCCTTTCTCTCGTTGTGATTAGTCACCTTTAGCAGTTTATCACGTGTATCATTTGTAGACATCTATGCCAAATGGTTGTGAATGGGATCCACCGTAATAAGAGGTATGGCACGTGCAGCTTACCCGCCTGTGGAATGTTCGATATAGGCGGCACGAAAGCCCAAATACCTAGCTGGCCAGGCCAGGCCTGGCCCAGAAAACACTGTTCGCGACACTGAGGCCCCGGAGGAGCCGCTGTCGCATTCCTTCTCCCAGAGCGTACAGTGGTAAGCTTTACTAATCCTAAAGTTTTGCACAGGCCTCCATTAGCGCACTACACGCCACCAACACCCCCATCGACAGAAGCGTCGCCGATCCCTGTCTCGCGAAATCGAGGCTCATTTCTTCGAAAATCAAAAGCATCACCAACAAAAAGCTAAAGTCCCAACGGCTCAGGAACCACCCCCTGCTTTTCCGTACGGTTCTTCTGCATTTCCGTTTCTACACGCCCTGCATCCATTTACATCCATACCCTGCAAGCTGCATTTTCACGACTTTTGACGACCTTTTGCTTCACGAAGCAAATCTACGGCGAAGAGACATTGCCTCCCCCCTTTTACGACTTCGGCCCCGACGGCAATTCTCTGACCTCAGAACTTGGTCCAGAGCTTTTACCTCCCATCTATATATCCCAGCGACGAAACAGCGGGCCAATCAGCCTCCTCTTCGAAGAGACAGCACCTCCAGACGGACTGAGCAGCAGAAACGAAGAGACAGCATCGTTTTACCGGAAAATTCCAGGAACAAAACACATCAAAGCCGTGCGTGCGGCAGGCGAAGGGAGGTCACGAAGAGGATCCTCTCGGGAACACAGTGTCCCATTTCAACACCCCCGTCGACTAGGGCAGGCAAAGTCGCGGCACTCCGCGCACCGAAACCGCAAGGATGGGTCAAAGCATGTCGAGCAGCATGTCATGGCTGACGAGCTTGCTGTTCTCCAAAAAGGAAATCCGGATCTTGATCCTGGGACTGGTACGACTTTGCTTTGTTCTGTTGCCAAGGAAAAGCACGAGAGTGAGGTGGACAGTAGAGTGTTATGGACCAGACAGCTAACTAACGTTTTCTGCTTCTAGGACAACGCTGGCAAGACAACACTCCTGTACCGGCTCAAGATTGGCGAGGTGGTCACAACGATCCCGACAATCGGCTTTAACGTCGAGTCCGTGACATACAAGAACCTCAACTTTAACGTGTGGGATCTCGGCGGCCAGACGTCTATCCGGCCCTACTGGCGGTGCTACTACGCGAATACCTCGGCGGTGGTGTTCGTGGTCGACTCGACAGACATCGAGCGGCTGCAGACGGCGGCCGACGAGCTGGCGGGCATGCTGAACGAGGAGGAGCTCAAGGACGCGGCGCTGCTGGTGTTTGCCAACAAGCAGGACCAGCCGGGGGCCAAGGGCGCAGCAGACATTAGCGAGGCGCTGCAGCTGGGCCAGTTGCGGGACCGCAACTGGACAATCATAGCCTGCTCTGCGGTCGATGGCACGGGCGTGAACGAGGGCATGGACTGGCTAGTGGTAAGTTGAGGAGGTGGAGGGAGACGCTGCGACGACGATACAAAAATGAACGTATGATACTAACACGCACAAAGCAAACCGTTCAGCAAGAGTAAAGAACGCTCTGTTCTTTTCGCACCGACATACTTGACGACAAACGACCAACGAACGAACTCCCTTTTCGGAACACCTCTGCCGAGTATCTCCTCGTAGACCGATCCTGCAAATGACAGACGGCGCAGCAGTATGGAAGTATCCCGGGTCTGGACAAACGTCCACTCACGGCTCCATGAATAGGGGTGCACAAACCGGCATGCACGTCATTTAGAATGCGGCAACTGGGAAGAGGTACTGGTAGGCGAGGAGTTTTCTTATTTACTCTTAATTCACAATAGCAATGGTTTTAATACTTTCACGCAGAGGCAAGATGGGCGGAGTCTGTCACGTCAAGTGGACGGGCTTCGCGGCCTCTGCTTTTCACATTTCTAATCCCTCTTTGTATCAGGCTTCTTTGGATAGGGCCGCGGTGGCCTTGGTTTCGTCCTCGTTTTGCTTCATTTGCTCATTATATAGATCGCTGCATTATTATATTTTCTGAACATAGCAATGACTACAACATACATATTGTTCATACACTTCATTGCTAGCCGTTTATACGCAGTCCCATCCTTGGGAATGTCAATGGACCATCCGGACCCAGAATATGCCGTCCCATCAAACTCCATCACATCAGCCCAGCAGGCATGCTACGGTCTCCGCGTGCAAGACAACAGTCAGCAGCACCACTTTTAACGGAACCGACGCGCATAACAGTACAGTCGGCCTGTCTCGGCCGAACTCGTTGGGGTAGGCAATTCGGTTTTTGGCGAGCAAGCTGTCTTGTATCCCACCATTCCCAACATCGGCGTCTGAGCCGGGATCTGAACAGCGTGGATGTCTGCCCAGCTTTCACTCCCATATTAACTCAATGTGCTGGATACAGAGCAATATCTCCGCCATGGAACGATGTCGTACCGACGTAACCCCGTAACGCAAACCGGGGTTACAGGAAGCAAGACGCGCGGTCCTGTGACTTGGTGAGACAGTGGCATTGATAGCTCTTTATTTGAATGTATACTAATCAGTCGTAAATACCAGAATTAAAACGGATTTAAAACAAAAAGACATGTTGGACTCAATATGTCAAAAAAAAGGGGAATTCCAAATAAAATCTGTAAAACGACCAACTTGCCGCGAAAAATAAATAAATAATACATAAATAAACCGGCTTAATAAAAGACATAATCGATCGACAACGGTTGGCTGGATCGGGTACATAGGCACTCTTTGATGATGATGTATTCCATTTCCCCAAGGCCGCCGCATTGTTCTAGCTTACGAGTTTACCACGCCAGTTGTCCCAACGCCTGTTTTCGTTTCTAAATGCAAAGCTGCCATTGGACCAAACCACAGCCCGTTATTTTGGATCCGTTGCACTCGCTCTTCTGTATCCTTTCGGCCTTTGTCCATTGTCGTCCATATTCCCTGTAGTCTCCGTCCGTCCGTCCTTTTGTCTTGTGCACAGCAGCACAGCCTCCCCCTGGCCAAAAAAAAGCGTACTCACAAAGCTTTTTAGTGGGACTTCTTACACTGTCAAGAGTGTTACAGTGAGGATTTCTTGCTGTATTAGAGTGCCAAAACGATTTGTGAGTGCGCTTTATTTTGGCCAGGGGGAGACAGCTAGCATGCTTTACTGTGTCAGCGCAGGCTGGGGCTGGTTGCATCGTTCGCAATGTTGCGCTTTTGTGGGGCCTCGCCTTACATGTCGTCACCGGCATTTGGTGTAAGTCGGGATTGAACTAGGAACGAGGTACCCTTTTTGTTTGGTGCGTGATGAGGCGACTTTCGTTAAGCTGCCGGCAAGAGCTATGTCGTGGGTACTCTTTCTCAAGGGAGGAAAGAGCGATACAGTCCTGGTAACAGACGTCATAGTATCCCGAGGAAGGCGAGACCGACTCTCATGGGCAAGAGAGATGGAGACGGCAAAGGGAAAGCACCAAATCACCCCAATGTAGTCAGCTATGACGGAAGAAGAAAGAACTGCTTAGACATGCCCTGTACACCTTCTCTGTGTGGCTATATATGGCTCCTCCTTTGCTGCCAGCAACTAGGTGGTCGTTTGTTCCTTCCTACCCTCGTCCCATTGTATTGGAAGGCAGCTCCAGAGCTTCACGACATTCAAAAGGCAGCATCACGATACACTACCAAAATCTAAATCAGACCACCAACACGTACACGACATAGCATCATCATGGCTCACCCGGCAGTGAAGACCGACGGCGAGCGCGGCGCCGCGTACAAGCACATCGAGTCGACATATCACTACGATGAAAAGCCGACGTACACGACCACCAGCGGCTACCCCATTGATGACCCAAAGAAATATCAGCGCGTCGGCCAGGGCCCGCTGCTGCTGCAGGACTTCCACTTGATCGACCTGCTGGCCAACTTTGACCGCGAGCGCATCCCAGAGCGCGTGGTGCACGCCAAGGGCGCGGGCGCATACGGCGAGTTCGAGCTCACGCACGACATCAGCGACCTGACGACAATTGACATGCTCACGGGGCCGATTGGCAAGAAGACGCCGCTGCTGACGCGGTTCTCGACGGTCGGCGGCGAGAAGGGTTCGGCCGACACGGCGCGCGACCCCCGCGGCTTCGCGACCAAGCTGTATACGCAGGAGGGCAACTGGGACTGGGTGTTCAATAACACGCCCGTGTTCTTTTTGCGGGACCCGACCAACTTCCCGACGTTTATTCACACGCAGAAGCGGAACCCGCAGACGAACCTCAAGGACGCGACCATGTTCTGGGACTACCTGTCGACGCACCAAGAGTCGGTGCACCAGGTGATGACGCTGTTCTCGGACCGCGGCACGCCGGCGTCGTTCCGCAAGATGCACGGCTACTCGGGACACACGTACAAGTTCACCAAGCCGGACGGGTCGTTTGTGTACGTGCAGATCCACCTGCGGTCGGACCAGGGCGTCGCGACGTTTACAAACGAGGAGGCCGGCGAGAAGGACGGCGCCAACCCGGACTGGCTGACGCAGGACCTGTTTGAGGCGATTGCGCGCGGCGACAACCCGTCGTGGACGACGTACCTGCAGGTCATGACGCCCGAGCAGGCCGAGAAGTTCCGCTACAACGTGTTTGACCTCACCAAGGTGTGGCCGCAGGGCGAGTTCCCGCTGCGTCCGTTTGGCCGCATGACGCTCAACCGCAACGTGCAAAACTACTTTGCCGAGATCGAGCAGGCCGCGTTTGCGCCGTCGAACCTGGTGCCGGGCGTCGAGCCGTCGGCCGACCCGGTGCTGCAGAGCCGCCTCTTCTCGTACACGGACACGCACCGGCACCGCCTGGGCGGCAACTTCCACCAGATCCCCGTCAACACGCCGCTCCGGTCGTTCAACCCGATTGTGCGCGACGGGCAGATGAATGTCAACGGCAATCTGGGCGCGAACCCCAACTACCAGAGCTCGTACCGGCCGGTGACGTACAAGGCCAGCGGCAAGGGCACGGTGTCGCACGAGAAGTGGACGGGCGAGGCGACGTGGGCGGTGTTTGGGGATGTGACGGACTTGGATTTTGAGCAGCCGGCCGCGTTGTGGAAGGTGCTCGGCAAGCAGCCCGGGCAGCAGGACAACTTTGTGCACAATGTGGCGGGCCACCTGTCGGGCGCCAAGCAGGACACGCGCGAGCGCACGTACGGCATGTTTGCGCGCGTGGACGCGGACCTTGGCAAGCGCATCAAGGAGGCGACGGAGAAGGAGGTGTCCAAGTAGAGGATGGAGGCGGTGATGATTTACTCTTCGTACTGTACTTTGACAGAAGCAATTGCCCATTTCTTCGTTGGATCCACCGAATTGCAATTGAACAAACCAAAAAAACGGAATTTGGTCTCCGACAATTCGAAGCGCTACTTTGCATTACTCGACAGGGTGCACATCAATGCTTGGCAAAACAAAAAAGGACGTTGCGTGTCTCTGACCAGCCGATGGTGACATCTGGGGCTCATGTTGCGACAATGCGCAAACTGTGCCTATCTGCCCTACTTACCACGTGCGGGCGAGTCATGTCGCACGTTCTCGGGAGGATAAGTGGACTGCCATCGACGTCATGTTTGTTTCAATCGCATTGCAGGATCATGTAAAAAAGACGGGTTTCCAACAAGGCAAAGGCTTGATTTTCTGCAGCAAACGGCGCGCCGGATCGCAGCGTACGGTACATGTCGCGCCGAACCGCCTTCTCTCTGGTGCTATCTGTTATGTGGTATGTGGTATGTGGTATCTAGATGGCCTCTCATTACACCATTGGTCTTCCTCTGGTCTTCCTCTGGTTTCCTCCGTTGCAAAATGGTCGTGGTTCGAAAGGCAGAGAGTATAGCGTCGCCGCGCAATTAGCAGCAGCACTTGCAGCACTCGAAGCAGGCAAAGGCAGCGCAAAGACCGCAGCAGATCTCCTCGGCCTCGTCACCGCCGCGCATGTTGGCCTCGACGGACATGGGCTCGACGCGAGTCTATTTTGGTTTGTTAGCAGTGATCCTATTGAAAAGTTCCGGGGCTTTGTCGCAAATGACGTTGTTTTGGACCAAGCGCCAGGGCAAAAAAATAAATAAATAAAAATAAAAATAAGCATCAGGGTCGTAGAAAAGATCACTACAAAACAACGTACAGGCTGCTCCACAGCGGGCTCGGCGTTCTTGGCAGGCACGGCGGCCATGTCGACGGTCTTGGTAGGGGCGTCCATTGTTGGAGATTTTGCGAGGATATAAAAGGCAAAGAGAGAAAGAGAAGTTCGGTGTTATGGTCGGTGGTGATAATGGAGGAAAAGAAAACTTTAAGAAAAACGACGAGACGAAGCAACGGGCGGGGAAAAACGGCCTCTTAAGTAAACGAGCAAAGGAGTCAGTGGGGGGGAGAGGGAGAGCGAACCCCGAGAGAGACAACCTGACAACGTGTGTCGGCAACAGACGCCAGTCGACCCTGAAGGAGCAGCTGGCTGGCTGGGACCTCGGACTGGGTGCAGGGGTGGGCGTGTGAGGGCGAGTCTGTGAGTGGGCAGAGTGGTTATTACGGAGAAAAAGGAAAAAGCGAATGGTGTCTCGCGAGGAGGGAGCCAGCTGCGGGAGGATAGGGCAACGAGCATCGCTGTTCCAAAAACGGCACAGAGAATGGAGCAGCAGACGCAGCAGGCAGGGACCGTAGATTGGATCTGACGTCCAGGAGGAGGCACAGGGCCGGCGGCATCGAAAGTCGAAAAGGAGCAGCATGCGAGGGAGGGAGCAGGAGGCAGGGCACAGGCGAGGGCCGAGCTATCGTGCCGGTGAGGGTCTGGTGGAGATAAGACCCTGCTTTTGTTATGCAGTATTCATTTCGTCTAGTTGCGATGTGCTTCTGCCCCTGTTTGGCTTCTGCAATGATTTTGGTCCTTTGAATTTTGTTCCTTCAACTGGCGATGCAACTCATGATGCACAGCACAGTGCCGAGCTGCAGTCTACCGCTGTTGTCGTTCTGCGTCCTGCCATCCCCTGTTGATCTGTGCGGCTTCTCTGCTTTTGTTTCTTGCTCGTTTCTTGTTTTCAATGCCGGACCGTTTGTTTAGTTTGTTTGTTGGTCTCTGTTTAGGGCGCCTTTATCCCTGTTGTTGGCGCCGGTTTTCTTGTTGTTTTTCCATTTTTTCTGTTCTTCTGTTTCGTATTCCTTACCTTTCCTCATTATGGAGGCAATGGAACGCTCTATTTTTAACATGCAAGCTGTTGGCAAGAAGCCTGTCAAAAGCGGCGCTGCATACGTGGACAAAGGAGCCACTTGGGCCCCAGTCTTCCAGTCACGAGCAAGAAAGGAATTGACATTCCGGAGTGCGTCGTATGGCAGTTGTTTTCACATCAATTCGACTCCGTCTCACATCGTACAGCTTTGCGTGACGACAACGCCTGTTTGCAGACGCCATAATTAGGCTGGCAGCATCGCGAGCGGTACTGAAAAGAACAATAAAACAAGACATAGATGCACCGGAATGTCAAAACAGAGGCCGAAGAACGATGGATGAATGGCAGATCCTGAGAAAAACGAAAGAAAATGACAATCGTAACCAGCTCCGTACATTTTTCGAAACTCTGTGGCATAAAGTGTCGTCGGCTAAAATAAAGGCAGCTGACAATCCAGCGGCCGTTGAGTGACGAGTGGCCGCCGGAGAATAAGAGAGAACAGACCGCGGGCGGGTGCAAAAGCCAAGACTGCATCGACGACGAGACAAACGAAAACGTGCGCCCCGGCAGGCGGCAGCAAAACGACACACCGACACAGTCGCGAACAGGCACAGGGCCACGCAGGCGCCGGGTCGTGTCTGTGGCCGCAGTCAGACGTCAGTGGAGGGCGTGGCCCATGTGGCTATGTTGCTATGTTGTGTGTACAGAATAGAATATGATGGTGTTGTTTGACGAGGTGCTCGTTTGGCCTCAGAACAAAGCAGTGGGAGGAGGGAGGATAGGGGCAGGGGCTCAGACGATTGCGCTTTCCTGCAGCACCAGCTCTGCTCTTGCTGTGCAGTCCATCCCAATTGGGAAGTCACTCACCGCATGCCTTCCTGCCTTCCTTCACTTCAGCCCTGAACGTCATTTGGCGTCGTTAGCGGCGTCGCAGTTTCCTTCCCAGCTCGTCGCCCAAAACTGCCCACACGGTGCTCGGAACCCGGCTCTGTATGGTTGGCTCTTTCCGCCAGAGAAGCTGCCAGAGTCCAATTGCGATCGCCCAAATCCAATGCACTAGCCAGCCATATCGACGACGCCCAAACCGTTCTTGTGACCGCCTTTCCGGAAAATGTCGTTCATTCGGAGAGAGACACGAAGACTGGACGGTCGCAGGCGTCACCCGTATCTCGACAAAGGGCGCCATACCACTGCCGCCTCGGCGATGTGAACGACATGTTCCCAGGGCTAGGGATAAAACGGGCTCCAAAGATCAGCCACATACCTCTGCAAATGGGAAACACCTCCTGCGGCATCTGACCTGTTAACACATCAGGGCAGCGCATGGTAATACCCCGTTGGGACGAAGTGCTGCTCAGTACGACATACATCTCACGACTTCGTGGTCGCTGGCCGAAGCGCTCCACTATAGTTGGCAGCGGAGCATCTCGTTGGCCGAATGCATTGCTATGAGTCTGTCGTGTCTGCGTGTATTCATCGCAATCGGCATTCAGTCAAACCGCTCCGTGTCTGTGATCTTACTCTCTCTTTGTCTGTCGTCCACTAATTAGCCACTCCAGCCAATGTCCAGAATACTGCCCTGCCATTCTTACATTCGTACGCACTGCCGTCTGATGCGTTCAGGCCCCACTTTCCGCCTTCCTTCTTCTTTCAGTCCAGGACCCAATCAACCGCCAATGGCAGGCGCTGGCAGCAGACGTTCGCAGGCGCTGGCAGCAGACGTTCGGACTTGCCCGCTGTGCGCCAAGGCCAAGCCTTCTTGCGTACCCGCTTTTTGACACCATCGCTGCAGGACCCAACTTTGCATCACCCTATTCCGTATGTTGTATGCCGTGTTCCATACTCCGTGCAATACATGGTGATGTTTGTCTCCGGAGATGCGTATCTCAGTGTCCCCGTGACCAGCCTCGCGCATCGGCAAAGTGGAACCCTGATAGACGATCGACCGCGATGGCAGCGTCCATTGTTCCAATGTGTCAATTTGTATGAGTACTTGCTCCGTACTCTGTACGATGTACTCTATTCCAAACGGAGTCCTTCGATGGTCCTTGGTAACTTCCTTACTTGTCTGTTTTCAGTCAGTCTCCCGTTGCCGGTTCAAATCCTTCTGGTATCAACAGCGGGATCCTATGTCTATGCACTCGTACCTGCTTCGCAACCAGCACTTCTACTTTTGCCATGGAGCCCAATGGAAAAAACAAACAATGCAATATTGCCGGCCGCTAGCCACCAGTCTCCAGCAGGTCCTCAGCATATTCCTTATCTGGAGCTGCTTCTGCTCCTGGATTTTGGGGTTGCTGGCGAGACTTGGCGTGGCTCGTGTGCGCTTGCGAGAGGAAGATGTCGGGGCAGACGCCGTACTCGCGGATAACGGCATATGGAGGGGGGGTTGGCAATCGTGGAGAACCGGCCAGAACCTGTCAGGAATACGACCCCACGAAGATGCCTCGCTTTTACGAAAGCGTTCCTCGATCTTCCGCGTAAAGTCTGTGTCCCCCCGTTTGCATTGTGGCTCGTACTTTGTATGCTTGCTCATGCAACGCAGTACGAAGAACCCCCGAAACGTCGACTGGTATGCCTCATCGGCCAGCCTTGTCGCGTTCCTGGGTGACAAAAGCCTTCCTGCTTTTCCCTATTCCCTCGTCTCGTCCGACTTTTCGTCTGGTTGTTTGGTTGCACAACGATCACAGTCCGGAGATGGGCAGGAGATGCCAGAAATGCAAACAATGCCAAGTCGGCCGGGACGGCTCTGACAATGGCGTCGTTTTCTTGCAAAGGAAGCAAGTCGGCCTCTAACCCGTTGAGCCAGTCTGCTCGTATGCCGACGTGAGAGTTGTCTGTGGGTCGCCAAGCTGGTCGGGTTGGACAGGAACAACGACAGCCAAGTTGTCCGCCAGCCTTGGCTGCTTGCATGCTGCATGCCCTTGGTCGAACCTCTCGGCCGCACCAATTAAAGTGTGGCGCCGTGACGGGGTAATTGCTCAAACGATCTGTGCCTCCCCCCATTTGCTGGTTTACTGCCCCCATCATGATTTGCCTCCCCCGTATTCCTTCTGGAGAATGCCGCTCGATTCATGTGTTGTTCTGTTCTTTCGAGAGTTGCGTGCATGCAGTACTGCCGCCAAGTCCAGGCAACAACAACAGGATCGTTTTAATGAGGACATGTCCGACCAGCCAGTCAGTCAGTTAGGCACAATACCGCTCACTCATCGTCCCGCACGCCTGCTAGCCAAATTATCCCATCCCGTCGAATTCTCGTCCTTTTAAAATGTACAGCGCCCCTGAGTAAGGTCTCATTGTTGACCGGACTGCTCTTGTCATGTATTTTGGCAGCGATGGGCGGTATGCGAGCCAACAAAGACGAGAGCGAGGCTGCAGCGGCGAGATACCGGGATGCATCCCGCTTCGTATTCCGTATTCTCCCACATGTGCACCCGGTGACTGCAAGGCAAAAAACTTGTTATTTTGCAATTGCTTTTTCGGGCTTCTGGTACCTGGCTAGCCATTGGCCGCTTTTCCAGCTGCAGCCTTGAGCCTTGAGCCTTGAGCCTTGAGCCTTGAGCCTCGATCCTGCTGCCTTTGCATGCCGTGCAGCGACAAAGTATGGCGTACCTGTTCTCTCATGGAACTGTCAAGCTCGGTCGCGTTTCTGCCAAAGCCAACCCCAATCGCCAGCTAATAGGAGCCGTACCAACAGACACAGGCCGTTCCAAATGGCTGGAGGTGATCCCGCACGCACCCGCTAGACTGTGCACTGCCTTCACTGCCTTGACGGTCTTTGTCGCGCCGATCGTCGTTCTCGTCCTTCGGTGTACACGAGCGATACCTGGAGGCTGTCGATGGTGTGCAGCAGGGGGGCACGGGGCGTTTGGGGAAGAGGCTCCGTTTGGGCGATTTGACTATGGAGGATGGCGCCGATGGCGAGTGGAGATCATCGGAGCCAGGCGAGCCAGGGTGCTGTTCAACACCCAATTCTCCGCGGCACACAGCGTGCCGGCTGGGCAAGCGTTCGCCAGTCGTTCCCCACAGCCCCCTGGTTTCTGCGCTACGCAGTAGCGTAGAGAATGGGCAACCACCCGCAAGGAAAGAAGGAAAGAAGGAAAGAAGCATACGCCACCTCCTTCCTGTACAGCCCCCAAGCTGTTGTCGTAGCTCTGGCACTAGAAGGGAAAGAACAAAACAAAGCAACTCAAAATACAACGATGACGGAAACAAGCTATGACCACGCCAAAGAGACGCCACCAACGCACAACAAACGACCGGCTACGACATACAACACCCTACTTTCGTAGCTTGACCGATGCCGTCACAGGCCACACATGCCTCAGCTGCTCAGTCACAGCGTCGTTCCGCCCTTGCAACAGAGCACGTTCACCAAGCGGCGGTCCACGATTGGCAGTCGGGGCATCCCTTTTCCTTGTGGCCATTTGGCCATTTTGTCCATTTGGCCATTTGGCCATATCGCGTTCGTTTGCGATTTCGACACCGAGCTGGCCGTGAGAACAGACTCGCCCGTTTGGTCGGTCACAGGACTGCGATGACTCCATCGTCCAGCAGGCGGGTCCAGTCCTAGGGCCTTGGGGCCCCAGTCGTTATGGCTCGGCAATTGGTGTGCATCCAAGAAGCCTCGCACTTTGATGATTCCGACGCTGCTTCGATGGCTCTCCTGCGTCCGTCTGTCCGCCTCTGTTTGGTTCGCTCGCGGAACGAACCAAGACACGTCGCGGTCTCCTGCACGCTGCAGTCCACAGTCCACCTCTGCCTGCTCTGAGTCCGCCTCTTCACACTCTTTTCAGACGGATTGGCCAGCCCTAGAAAAGTGGGCGGTGTCACCAATCAGTCTCTCTCTCTCTGTGTGCGTGTGTGTGTGCTTGTGAGTCTAATCAGTCTCTTTGCATTTCAAAGTCCTATCTCTGACTCCGAGAACAGGACCAAAACGACAGGGATGCTACCAAGAAAGTCTGCCTCCCTTTCCATTCGCCTTCTGGTGCCCTTCTAGCGTTCTTGGCATGCTGCCTTCTGACCCATTGCGCAAATCTCCCATGTCGTTCCCGCTCAAGTCTTCCCCCCATGTCTGGCTTCGTTTCCAGAATTTGTGGCCCCCCCCCTTCTCGTTTGTCCTGCCAATGTCTCTAGCCTCCGTGTTCTCGCTCGTCCTCTTGGCCTGCAGTTTTAGTGTCGTGCCCCAGGAGCATATCATTGCTGCCTTACGATCGGCCTGACTGCCTCTCCGTGTCATTGCCTCGCTTCGAGCTGACTGGCTTGTTGGTTTCCTTCTTTCCCCGGAAAGTGTTCGGGCCACCCCTCCGTCTCTTTTGCTCCAAGTTTGTCTACTTTGTGTACTCGTCATCGGCAGTAGCTACGTTCTCCTTCCGATCAGCTTTTGCGCCTTTTTTTAGTCTCCTTGTGCGCAGATTACTTTCACCACTTCTCATTCTCCTAATTCTTTCTATCCGACCAGTGCGGCGTATGCAAAGTGCCCCGACAGCCAAACGACGTGCCTAGCAAGTGAGGCCAAAGGTACCTTACCGCTCGTCTTGACCGAATGCATTTGGCAAGCCTGACGCGTTCCCTCTGCCGGTCCCGACGCCTCCCCATCTCGCCAAGTCCTCTATCATTCATCCTCATGTACCAGTACCCTCCAATTCGTCCCTGCACTAGTCTAGTTTCCCCCCGTCCTAGTTGTTCCTACGTCGTCTTGTCCTGTGATCAATCTTCCATCCCCCTTCGTCGCTATCGACCTGTTTGTTGTTTGTACACTTTCTTTCTGCCTTCGCATGTGTCGTTGCATTTTTGTATTTAGCCGCGTCGATTCCTCTTTCTTTTCTGTTTCTGCTCGGCCTCTTTCTCTCTCCCTTTACTCTCTCTCTCTCTTCCATCTCATACATTACACTCTTGCTCGTATCGTCCCGTCTTCTCACTCCAACACACACATTCAACCACACTGTCACATATTACCTTTACTGCCTCGGTTATCAACGCTGCCATTGTGCTCTCCAAGTAACCCCCGGTCGTCTTGCCGCATCGCAGCACGGTACCTAGCTTGCAACCTGCAACTGGACTGCTTCCTGCAGCCTGAACATTTTTTACAACCTGCAGCAACCACAAAACCGTTCCGCTTGCAACTACTACTGCTACCTGCGACAGACCACGCGCTGCATTGCCGAATATCTCTGTTTTTATCTTCCCCGTTAAGACTGCTTGATTCCCAAATAAAAACTATATTAAAAATTGCGCAACAATAAGACAACAAACAAATCGCAACATCGATATCGTCCAAAACATAAAGACATAAAGAGAGATTCAGCCCATCGGTCATCGGTCAACCAAACAAGCAAAGCATCCAAATAAATTCCTGCAAGGAAAACCCCTTCAAACCGGCCTTATTTTGATTTCAACTCTACACTCGCCCGTACGGAGGGCGACGTAAACACTTTCCGACTTTTCGACTCAGCTCGACAAAGAACAGCAACACGCCCATCTCTGCTTCTCCCCTGCTGCTTTATTCTCATCCCCAGCCCTCCACCAAAATGACCGGCCGCAACAACAGCTACTCCTCATCCCGCGTCCCATCTTCGGCGCCGCTTTACCACACGCCCTCGCGGTCGAGCACTATTTCGTCCAGCTCAGTACGTACTTGTGTACAGGAGCAAGGCCCTTGTCGCTCGTTTTTGTCCAATGTCCCTGCTAACCAGCCACAGACGAAGGCGCCGTTTGCCGAGTCCTACGATATGCCTGCGTACGAGTACACCAGCCGGTCGGCCAGTGACCCGCTGTACCGCACCAGCGCGGGTATGGGCAGGGCCTCTGCCAGCTATAACGGCCCCTCGTCGTCGTCCTTGCCATCGTCATTATCGTCTGGGACGTACAACATGTCTGATGCAGCTGCTGCCTCGGGAGTCTACCGCACCACGAGCAGATCGACTTATGCGTCTTCAGCGTCGTACTCTTCGTCGTACCCGCCATCGTACACATCGTCGCTGGCCTCGACGGCGTCCCTGCCGTCTGTGTCGTCACCGCCACCGCGCCACTCGTCGGCCCATTCTTATGCTACCAGCACTGCCGGCAGCACTGCCGGGAGCAGCTCTAAGAAGACGAATGTTAATGTCTACACTACATGTGGCCGCCACAGCAACGAGTGGCTCTTTAGCGGCTGGCCGTCGCCGTTCCGCCGGCGGGATGGAAACTAATGACTGGCACTCGTTACGATTTCCTGACACTTCGCTGCTGGCGGCTACGACTAATGACACGACACGAACGCGACCACGACACGGACTCGAGATATCCCAATTGCCCTTTAAAATAGATTTTGGGTTTTGCATTTATGGATTGTATCTTGATTTTTCATGTTGATGTTGCTCTACGTAATGGGCATTATTTTGTTATCTGATTCATTCTTTCTGTTTTCTGTATTTCAGCTGCTTATATTGTCTTCTGTAATCTTGCAAGTTTGCGTCTTATTACATACTATTTTGACTTTTGTTCTACAGACAGACGAAACAAAATACCAAAGAAAGTATACCCAATAAACCAAATGTCAATTACGACAATAACCTCAAGAGTGTAACATTGCTCTCGTCTGCCTTCTGAAGTACGTCGCATCTTGGACATTCACACCCAAACCCCCCTCCTCTTGGCCGAAAGAGGAAGGGACCCACACGAGCTTTTGTCTGTCGCCAAGATGTCGCCAAGAAATGCCAAGACCGTTTGTCAACTCAAGAATAACCCAATTAAACTTGGCTTAAAATAAATCCTAAAATTCTCCCGCCTTTAGTCCTTTCTTGCACGTGCCCCTTATTTGCGCGAACGCGCCTTCCTCGAGGCTTTAGCGGTCGTAGCTCTTTCCCACGTGAAAATCCACCAAGCTACGGCATATGTCCCCAACGGTTGAACAACAAACGACGTCTTCCCCGGCAATCGACGTTTTGTGCATCATCATCGTCACCCACCTTTTGTCAACATCACCACCGACGACAACCTCGATACGCCCGCCGTGTCGAGCGTACTCCCCAGTCCGACCTGCACCTGACCTATTTCTGCTGGATAGTCTCAGAATCGACAGTCCTACCTCCCTTGCCCGCAATGGCCAAGTCCAAGGAGATTCCCGGCACTGGCCCTGTGGAATCGTCGCAGGTCAAGCTGCTGTACCTGACCGCCTACAACTTCACGTCGGCGGTCCTCTGGGCCACGGTGCTGGGCCGCACGGTTGGCGCCGCTTATCTGCGCGGGCCCGAGTACGTGCCGATTGCTGTCAGCTACTTTGTGCGCTGGACCCAGACGCTCGCCCTGCTGGAGGTCGTGCACTCGCTGCTGGGCGTCGTCCGCGCTCCCTTTTTCACGACCGTCATGCAGGTTGCCAGCCGCCTGCTGCTCGTGTGGGCCGTCGTCTACCCGTTCCCCAACGCCACCACATCCAGCGTGTTCTACACGTCGATGCTGCTCGCCTGGAGCACGACCGAGGTCATCCGCTACTTTTACTTTGCTCTGAGCCTGGCTCGTAGCGCGAGCTCGTCCGGGAGCGGAGCCAACCCGCCGGTGCCCGACTGGTTCACCATCCTGCGCTACAGCACATTCCTCGTGCTCTACCCCATCGGCATCTCGTCTGAGGTGCGCCTCGTGTACCTGGCCGCGGCGACGCCCGGCGCCGCCGAGCGCCTGCACCCGTACTACCCCTACGCGCTGTACGCAGTGCTGGCCATCTATGTGCCCGGGTCGTACATTCTCTACACGCACATGCTGGCGCAGCGGCGCAAGGTGCTCCGCCGGCTCAAGGCCGACTCGAGCAAGGCCCAGTAGAGCGGAGAGATGGGGGCATATGATACAAGCAAGGGGACCGAGACGCTACACATTACGAGACGATAGAAACAATGGGAGTGCAGCGGATCGAACGTGCGCGAAGACACGAAGCGAGACATGGAGCGGGAACCTCGACTCTTCGGAGCACTACAGCGGCTATGCGGCTTGGATGGCACGGGTGTTACGGGTATTGACGGGTATTCGGTATAAAAAAGGCGAGCAAGTAACAGGTTTTCTCTGTTCGATAGAATTGAGGCGAAAGAGAGCTTCGGCAACATCAATAGCAATAGCGTAATAATGTACTATTATAATTCATAAGGGTTTGTATTTGTCATAGCATCGTATTTTAAAAAATAAATAAAAATAAGGATAAAGAAACGTGCGTCCTATGATACCGCCGCCGCCGTCGTAACGTGGCTGCCGGCATACCATGCGGTACCCTCGGTCCACTGCACAATCAAGTCACTCGCGTCACGGAGCAGCGTGTTGTAGTTGGGATTCTGTGGCGGGTCGAACATGCTCATATGCGCCCATGTCTCGTCCGTCGCCGCGTCGTTGAGGGCCGGCCGCCAGATCCCTGCTGGGGTCTGTCCTGACGGCAGGTTGCAAAACGTTCGCTCGCCCGCGGGCAGCAGCCCGCGCAACGGCGAGCTCCGTCCGCTTTCGCCGTTGTTGCTGGGACTCGTCGCTTTTCGCTGGGCCTCTTGTGCTGCCCTGCCCAACTGCGTATACAGGTTGCCGAACCCGACGCCCAGTTGCCGGTTCGCCTCTGTCATGCGCGCCATGCGCGCCCGCAGCACTTCGCCTCGTGCGAGGCAGTTGACAAACTCGAGGTGCGACGTGGCCCACGTCCAGCCCTCGGTCAGCTGATCCCGCCGCTTGTAGGCGGCCGTGGCGGCGGCGGCCGCCGCACCGCTGGCGATCGCACCGGCACCGGCGTACATGGCAATCTTGCCCCAGCCCCACGAGGATGACGCTGCGCCGGCGGCAGCCGCGGCCCCTCCGACAGCCGCGGCCTCTGTCTTGCTCGTCTTGGATGCATTGCTCGAGGGCGACGACGACGACGGCAGGGCCCGTGCCGAGCGCGCCGGCTGCGTGTCGCCGTCGCTCTTCTTGCTGCCCCACAGCGCATCCGTCAGACCCGTAATCTGCGTCAGCGCGGCCGTCGCGGCCGCATACTGGCCTTCGGCGCCGTGGGCCACCACGCCCGGCGCGATCCCCAGGTACGGCGTGTCGAACCCCAGCACGCCGTGCACGTACGGAAACATCATGGCATTCAGCTCGTCCCCCAGCTTCTCCTCCTCGTCGCCGACCCGCTTGTCGCCCGCCAGCCCCAGCAGCGCATCCGCCGCCACAATCCCGCCCATCGAGTGCCCAATCAATATGCAGTGCACCGACGGGTCGACGGTCGGCGACGGCGTGCGCGCCGCCACCTCGATGTCGATCACTTGTTCGAGCAGCCACTCCGAAAAGCGAGCGACGCAGGCCGCGAGGTCGCCGCGGGTCTCGTAGGTCGGGTAGACGGCGACGCGGACGTCCACGTTGGGCAGGGCCTGGGCAACGCGCTTGCGCAGGTCATGGGAGAACTGCGAGCGGGCGCCAAACGTGTCGGCGCCGCCCTTGAAGCCGTGCACAAAGCACAGCAGCAGCGTGCGGCGCATCTGATTTGGTGACGGAGAGAAAAGGCCAGGGAGAAGGTCTCGAGGTGGAGGGAAGCGGGTGAGCTACCGGAGGCGTCGGAAGACGGACGGGCGAGTATCGGAAAGAAAACAGAGTCCGAGGTCTCGACAGCAGATACAGAGGTGCAGCGATAAGGTGGTTGTTGGAAAGCGAGCGTGAATGACGTGAAAACAAGTCGTTAGTTGCTGAAGAAGGCTGTGAGGCTGTGGCAAGGCCCGGGTTGCGGTTCAGTAGTGGAGGAGTGTGCGGGGCTTTAGCGCTATTAGCGCATCTACTCAGAACGGCAGGCAGCTTGCACCCCGGGACAAGGCTCTCCAATAACACAAGGTTTCACAACGACAGGGACATCATGGGTCGGATGCACAAGAACATACTTTATTACAATTGTAGTTTCTAGCATATCGTCATATTTATAATGATAGAAGCGGTAAATCATGACTGAAAAATAACGACTAGATGTATTTTCATTTTCTGATTCAACGCCGACATGGCGATGAGGCGAATACTAAAAACCTGAAATCAACGATGACGGTCAAGGAAAACATTGCATGTCGGCCGAGGCGGCCAGGCAAAGAAAGTTAGAATGCACACAAGGAGCAAAGACCAGAAGAATCCAGAATAAGAGGATTGAAATATAATATTGGAATGCCCAAAGCCAAACGCCAGCCGGTCGATCGCCCCTTCCGTCTCAAAAGCATTTTTCGCTCTTGCCTTGGGCTGCTCAGCCATCTCATGTTTTTTATGCAATTGCCCTTGCTATTTTGTTTCCCAAAAGCTCCTTCCGTTTTCCGATCTTTCCCTGTCTCTCCGTCGGTGTCCCACTCTCTTATATTTATTCCCATTTAAATAAAAAACCTAAAGTCGAATGTTACCAGAGTATTTTGTTGGTCCTCCAAAGTCGTTCCCCTAGAAAATGGCAAATGGCAAACTGGCAAAAAGAGACATAAGGAGATAAAAAGGCGCGCCATGGGTAACACGCCGGCAGCGATTCTTGTCAGTCCCATACACCCACGTTGGAAAGAGATAATAAAAATAAAGACAAGAAGAAAATACTAAGGAAAGGGTAAGAAAACACAAGGTGAAAAAAAAAGTATTGTAAAAGAAATAATAAATAAGAAATGCACGTTGGTAACAAACCATTCCCTCTGAAAAAGCAAATAAAAACTGCATCGGTGGGTATTATCGATTGACAAAATCGTCGTCGGTGCTGAAAAGAGCGGTCCTCTCCAGCATCGTCAGGTATATTCAAAGGAGTACGTATGCTGCATGTTCGTGTTCGTGTTCGTGCTTGCGTGAGTCACGCGGCTTGCCTTGGGTGTTTATTTGTACAACAAAAGGGGCAATGAAGTTACTCCGCAGTCTCTGTGTCGGTGTCCGGAGACACCACCAGCTTGGCTGCAGCCGTAGCCATTTTCCCGTCCGCTCTGGCGACGATCGAAGCCCCTGTTGGTCCAGCACTGACACTAGGTGGGTTGGAGCTCTCCGGGGTGTTCGGCGCATGGGTGAGCGGCGGCGTCGACTCGGCATTGGCGGGCAGCCGGGGTGACACGGGCGCCGTGGAGGCGGTATATGACTTTGCGGCCGGCGGCGACCCCAGGCTGACCAGGCCGGTCTTGGCCAGCTCGTCGAGCAGGCGGTCCACGGCCGCGTTCTGCCGGCCGGTGCTCGTCCGCTTCAGAGCGGCAAGCTGGGTCTCCATGGTCTCGACAAAAAGACGACGTTCCTCACCTTCGAGGAGCTTCAATAGTCTCTCTGTGTAGTGGGTTAGCGGGGATGATGGTAAAAATGTGCCGGACACAAAAACGAAGGAGCTACTTACGGATGACATAGTTGCCGTATTGGTCTTTGATCATTTGGTGCAGGACGGGCACCCCGTCACTGCCGACCTTCTCGAGCTCCTTGCGGGCGCGGACGCGGTCGTCCAGCGTGCCGTGTTCCATGCACTTCTCGACCACATTGGACGCAAACTTGTGCCGCGACATGGGGACGAGCTCATTCAGCACCGTATTGATCATCTTGGTGCGGTCCTCTGGATCACCAAACTCAATGACGTGCTGCGTCACGTAGTTGCCGTACTGGTCCATGATGAGGTCGCGCGCGTTCTCGTGCAACTCCGCTAGAATGATGGCCTTGTCCTCCTCGGACCCGTGTTCGAGCATCCGCTGGACGACGCGGCAGCCGTAGTTGTGCGACGACAGCTCCTTCACCTTGCCGCGGAAGGCGTCCATGACAAAGCCAATGTGTTCGCGCGGGACCACTTCGATGACCTTTTGCACGACATGGTTGCCGCTCGGGTCCTTGACGACACGCGTCACATCCACCTCGAGCTCCTTGACCAGGTAGACCTGCTGTTCCACCAGAATGTGCTCAAGGGCCTTTTGCACCACACGGCAGGCGTACGGTTGTGTGGACAGCTCCACCATCTTGCCGCGCATCTGCTCGGCCAAGTACTTTTTCTGGACCTGGCTGCCGTGCTCAAAGAACTTTTGAACAACGTAGTTTCCAAACACGTCACGCATCAGAACGAGCGCATTGGCTGAGATTTCCCGGAAAATGTGTTCCTTGTCGTCGCTGTTGGCCGTCTCGAGCTTGCTTTGGATGAAGCGCGAGCCGTGCTGGTCGCCGCTGAACTCGACAATGTAGCCGTAAATGTCCTTGAGCTCGAACCGCCGGTTGGTTCTGGATGTTCGGAAATCGTCCAGCACAGGGCTGCGCATCGACCGAACGAGATCGCGGTCACGGGGAGCTTGCAGTTGGGAGTTGGGCAGCAGGCCATTGCCCATCGGCGTGCCCATCGGCGCGCCCATCGGGAGACCCAGAGGCGACACCTGCATGGGCGCTCGGAAGGAGTTGAACAGTGGATATGGGGCGAGGTTGCTGGGGAGGAAGTTGGGGTTGCCGTTGAACGACGCAGCAGCGGCAGCAGCAGCCGATAGCTGCTGGTCGTGTAAGAAATTTTGTAGAGGTTGACGCTGCAGTAGGTTGCCTACACCGTTGGCACCGGTCTCCGATAGGCCCGATGTTCTGGGGTCGCGCGACTGCGGCCGACTCCAGGGCCCGGCACCATTCGCTGGTGTTCCAAGGCTGCGCGGGCTGCCGTTTTGCTGGAAAACCCCCCCAATCGGAGTGTTGCCCCGCTCAGCTGAGCCGAAATGGCTACGCGGAGCAGAAAAGGCGGATGCGGCAGCAGGGTCTCTACCCTGCCCGTACATCTCGAATCCCCGAACGCCCGCGTCCCAAGGCTCAGAGATGGGGTTGAACTGGAACGATGGTTGGCTGTGTGCGTGTGCCTGAGCTTGTGCTTGCACATATGCTGCCATTGCGCCATAGTTGCTTCCAAGGCCGTTGGCGGTAGAGCTGGCTGACCGCTCATCGAGGCCCTGGGACTGGCGGAACATCTGCGCCATCGCCAGAGCGTTGGCGTCTTCGGGTTGGGAGTTGCGGTGGTAGGGCAGAGCGGGTGTAGGCGCTGCTGGGGAGGAGTATGACGTCGAGGCTTGGAGCGATGTGCGGTGTGAATGGCCGTGGCTCGACGTTGCAATGGGGCCAAAGGAGCCAAAGGATGGGAGCGTCGAGCCGTTGCTGCCATTGGTATTTGTCGTGCCATTTGCTGGCCCAGGCGCGGCCGATGCGGACGCTGTCGATCCTGCTAAAGAGGCCGCAGCTGACGACGTCGAGAAGACGTTCGAGGAGCCGTGGGCAGCTCGTGTTCGGGATGGGAGAGCATCGCTGTCAAAGCCCAGGTTGGAAAGAGAGTTGGAGATGGTGTTCGAATCGGGGTCGTCCTCTCCTACACTGTCGCGCAGTGGCGATGTGTACCGGAAAGCGGCTGCGTTGGCCTCGGAGGCCGTGCCGTTGGTGGCCTTGGAACGGCCGTTTGGGAAGGCGCCTGTCTGTCCGATGGGAAAGAGTGAAGAGGTGGATGAAAGACCGCTTGATAGGTCACCAACGGCATCTCTCTGGCGTGCAGGCGACGGGCTCGACGATGTCCTCCGTGTCGCGGCGTTGTTCTCGGCGTTGTTCCAAGGTCCAGACTGCGCTGTCCATACGCCGGGGGCGGCTGAGTTTGTCGGGAAGTTGGTGGAGGCCTGGTGGCCGTTTGTGAAGGGCTCGTCTTGGCCTAGATGGAGCAAGAATCGTTAGTATAAAAAAGCGATTAGAGAAGAGCAGACGACTTGGCAAAGAGAAGAAAAAAAAAGAGCAACCCCAGCGTGTTTCAGCTGTAATCCATCCCCAGCTTTTCGTCCGAACCTTCACTTCCATCTTGCGCCAATAGTAGACACACACCGCCGCCTGTCAGTGTTCTTCTTGACGTACCTCGTAGACTATTCGACTCGCGATTGTTGACAGACGATGGCACATTACCCCACACAGAATTCGGCTGCCAGGACACGATGGACTGGGCCGACGACTCCCTCGAGTTGGCGCCGCCGTAGGGGAAGCGGTTCGCCTGAAGAGACGATGTTAGCAATTTGAGTCAAGACTGATGGCGAGCGTGGTCGAAGGTGATGAAGCAGCGCAGACAAGACTGAGGCACGAGACCTAGGTTCAGAAAGAGGGGAGACGAGAGGAGAGGCGAAGAGACGGAGGCACTGAAAGAGAAAAATAGGCAACAAAATACATACCGCCATGGCAGTCGACAAATGGGCGACTCGTGAAGCTGTTTCGATGTGATGGGCCGCTGGCGAGGCGAAGGAGCGTCGATACGGCGATGGAGATCGATCAGAGCGCACGACACGCGATGGTGGATGCTTCGCGACTGACAGGCGACACGAGACGAGGATGAAAGACGAGTGATGCAAGAAGCAAAAAGTAAGAAGCGAGGAGGATAATTGGATAGGAAGAAGCGGGCGTGAGGAGAGGGCTTAAAAGAAGCTTTGTTGGCAGGATGTAGTGTATGTTGGTTTGTCGAGACGGCTTGACTGGAGATAGCGGCGACGATAGAGAGCGACCAGCGATGGACGAGAGGCTCTGCTACGGAAAGAAAAGTAGAAATGCCAAGTAAACAGTATCGATGCGGCAGCGAAGGATGTTGTCGACTGGATGCTGCCGTGGACGGGACAAGTCAAGGGCGGGGATCGCGTGCAAGCAAGAAAGTCTTGCTGCAGCGAAGGGGCGTGAGAGCAAGCGAGACGAGGCTCCCTTTCGTTGCGATTGTGACGGCGAAGTGGTATTAAGATGTGATTTTTTTTTTTACCAGGGAACACTGGGTGGACTATTTCATTCTTAATGGAGTGGAGAAAGTGGCAGTCGAGCGGGTGGGTATTGATTGTTGCGAGGGAGGGCGGTTTGCTGACAGGCTGGTTGGCTGGCAGGAAGGAGCGCGGAGGGGGAGCCTGTTGCCTTGAAGGAGGGGCCTAGACGGTGGACAACAGAAGGTGCGAACAGAAGGTGGTCCAGTATCGGGGAAGGTGCGAACAGTGCACGCAGCTCCTGCGTTTGGTGGGAAGGAGCGAGGGAAGCGATAGACAGTAGCGGCATAGCGCGGTGGGGAGGGTGCAGTGGAGTACCTAGCGGTTAGGTGCTCCGTGTTCCGTAGCGCACAAGAGTGGAGGCCTGTGTTCGCTGTCCAAGCCGTCAAGAGACCCAGAGCGGCGGCAGATGCAGCGAATGCGTCGTAGTGCGGTGGGATAGCGCAGGCCAAGGGTTTCTCTACTTGCCCAAGGAGGAGCTAGAGATGCTGAGAAGCGCCTGAGGGAAGGTCCCAGCCGGTAAGGCTGAGTGGTCAATTGTGAGGGGAAAAATGCACACGATCGCGAGGAAGGCGGGCAGCGAGGAAGGATGCAGCAGGGAAAGAACGACGACAAATTGTCTAGGGTAAGGTAGGAGTAAAGCAGGCGAACCATTGTGAAAGGTGGGATGAAAAAAGGAAAGAGCGCCCAGCAGGGCAGGTGCGAAGTACATGCAGTAAGTACAGAATACACACTGCAGAATAAGCAATACTCGATACAGGCTTACGTGGGACTCACCAACACCGCGACGAACTGAGCAAACGATCCAGTGTCCACAAGCAAGCGAAGACGTATTCATTAGTACAAAGTAGAAAACCGGAAAACGCCCTTCAAATTTTGTAAAATTGGCTCCCACGGTCTGTCTCGTGGCTGCCGTCCGTTGCCTTCAGATGCGGCAAAACGCATGGCGGAGGCAGCGGAGAAGGGAGAGGAGCTGAAGCCAGGGTGGCCAGCAGCGATGCTTATCGAGGATCGGGCGGAGCAAAACCAATTGTGAGCGCGGCCAAGCCGACGGTGGCCCACGATAATGAGGCTTTCTTAGACGGCGCGAATATGTGTGTCACGGCTACTTTGTATTGTTGCAGTTTCAAGGGTGCCTTCTGAGGCCGGGCAAAATAAGGTTTACGCGGGTGGGGAAGGCGCAGACCACGACGACGGCGAGATGGAGGGAAGCCAGAGGAAAGACGGGGAAAGCACAAGTGCCAATCCGGGTCGCTCTTTCCTGTGCGTCGAGGCAAATGGCCACGGAGCACGTCGACAGGACAAAACAGCTACCAAATAGTCGAGGAAAGAAGCTTTTGCCAGGGCACATTTTGGCCAAACTTGGATTATTGAGATCGGCCCCAGCGACCTGGGATGGGGCTGCCGGACGGGATGCTAAAAAACCGACGCCAGCTGGCGGGACGATCAGGGGTGTCTCTTTCGCCAAGCAAGTAAGAAACAGCAAGGAGTGCGGCACGTGTAGTCGCAACGCGTGAAAATTAGGTGATGGGATGATGCGGAAGGAGCAGGCGGCCAGAAACATTACGTCAAAAGGGCAACGACGCACGGGGTGTTAGAATCTCAATGAACGGCAGCCGCGATGGGCTGTCTTTCTCTCCCCTTTTTGCCTGCCCTCTCTGTCTCATGTCTTTTCTTGACGAGTTAACCCACAGCCGACGGTGTACGTACCAACACATCGTCAACACATCGTCAACACATCGTCAGCAACGCCGCGTTACTTCGTTACAGAGACTCACCCGCTCTTACACCGCTTGCGTTCTAGAACCACGCTAGCGAATTCACGAACAAGAGGGCCGGGAGCAAAACAGGAGGCTTGGTCCTCTCACTCGACACGGAGCAAACAGAGCCGAGCGAACGCATTGACAGGGGGTAGGGGGGACAACTCTCACTGCCACCTTGCATAGGCCGACGACGATTCGAAGTGCAACGGTTGCTGAACAAGCGTCTACAAAGATACGCAAGACAATACGCAGTAGCAGCCCAGACCTGTGGGTGGCCAATATATTGTTCTTACGAACAAGAGACACTGCACGAACAAGCCTCTTCTCACAGAAAAAAGGACACCGCCAACAGCCAGGGGTGAGCGTTGAGACGCCACGTCGCAGCCCAAGGTAAGGGATAGATAGGATGGGAAGGTTATTATTACAGTCTCCTGTCGTGCCCGGTTTACTCAGGTGGAGTCCACAAAGCATCCCGTTTGTCGCGGTGCGCACTATTGTCGTCGCCCTGCTCAACGCAAAACTTTTTTTTTTCACTGCCAGCCGATAAGCACTGGCGGGCCGGTGTCTAACCTCTGTGTTGACCGAGAATGCTGCACCAGCCTCGCAAACGGATCGTCTGAAACGAAACGTCTCTGTTTCCCGATCACGAGCCGTGTGCTGAATGCTGTCTCTGGCCTTGGGTAGTACGATGACAGGCGACCGGCCAGCCAAGTAGCCAGGTCGCCTTTCCCCCAGCCGGCATGATCCAGCAGCTCCAAATGATGCCGGCGTTTCGCCTCACACAACGAGCAACCGGTTGTTTTGCAGTTGCCGCTATGTACGACAACAGCTGCCTTTAACTAAAAATATATCCATTCCGGTTGCTTGTTTGTCGTCTCTTCAGTTGGTGCTACACGTGCGGTCAAGTGGACTTGAGACAGTTTGTAACATATGCAGGAAGAAGGAAAGAAAGGAGCTGATACTAAGCTAACTTTTACGTTTTTCTTTTCTTTTCGTTTTTCCCTTCTCACGAATCGGACCATTCTGGTTTTAGGGAATTTTGTTCCAACGACCGCGTGCCTGGTTTCCGTTGCCTGCCTTATCACCCTCTGCTTGGACCCGATTCATTATCCCAAATGTGCGAAAGTCGGCAAGGACAAGTTCACTCTTGAGAGAACGATAAAGCCATTGTCGACAAACGCATGGCAAGCGGTATTTCGCAAGTCTGTTGACCCAAGTTCCGCTTTGCGCATCCTTTGCTGTGCGGAAAGAGACGTCGCGAGACGCGACGCCACACAGTGTGCGATGCACAGATTGCCACGGAAAGTTCCAAAGACTACCGGAGGCGACGTTGTACCGTCTTCTCCCAATTTCTTTTGTTTCACAGTGCACAGCGTCAACATCTAGCCTCCGCTGGGCGACATTGCCGTCGAGATGTTAAGACAAGACGAAGATGACGCAGGACTTGCCTGTGCCGCTTGCCAGACAAGGCACCTGTGTTTTGCAGTTCGCAGTGACATGGTGCTATTGCAGTCTCTCGCCCTTGTGCATGAGCAGTCTGTCCCGTGAAAAGGAAAGAACACATACCCGGGCGACGTATCACCGAGTCCTGTGTGGTCCACCTCCCCAAGTTAGATGCTGGTGACAACAATTCGCAGGCAAACACGTTTGAAGATGGGTAAAGGGTAGATCTGCGTGCTCCCTTCACGTATTTACTCCCCCTTATCTTCAACGCCAACGCTCCGCTCCACATATTCCGCTCGGAGCGAGTAAGTCCTCTGCCGAACAGAAGAGACCGATGAAGCGTCTGTCTCGGAAAGCGCAAGAGAGAAACAACGCAGGGGAGAACCTGAAAATTGATAGGTCATGTTAAACCAAGAGGATAGCCGCATGCTTCAATAAGTCTCACGCTTTCGCGCGGATAGATGAGGCACTGGAAGAAAAGGAAGGGCGGAAAGTTGATCATACGGAGACCACGGTGCCGTTCTGTCGCTGGGCGCTGCGGATAGCCGCTTATACGACATGCTCCGGCATCTTGTGCAGGTCGTTCCTGTGAGAGTCCATGTCGGAGCTCGAGAACAGCAATCTTTCGGACATGTTGAAGAGGGAAGGCATCTTAGCAGGTCGGCTAGCCAGAAAGATGAAGCATCTGTCAACAATCGGCGGCCGTCTGACCATCATCAACGCTATGCAGAAAGCGCACATTCGCTTGAACGGAGAGTCGCGCGGTTGTGGAACTGCCGTTTTTGGTTGGACGAGATGGCAAGCTTGTTCTCTTGTTTTTGGACTCCCTTCGATCGGCGCCGAATGTTTTGTAACCAAACGTCGATACGCTGGTACGACATACACAGTTCACATTGCAAGTACAGAGTGTGTGCGACACGCCTCATCTGACGTTTCCCCTACCTCCTGGGACTTGTGCACTCCTGTGAGGTGTTTGATATATAATATCGACGAAAGGGGCTAATGTTTCTACAGGCGACGGGAAGGTTGAAACATTGACAGGCCGGTCGAAAGAGAGATGACAAACGGGAAGTTGAAGTGAGGGACGGACTGAGCGCATGGAGAGGTACCGGCTCGGATGATGCGAGAAACGAAGCAACCCAGCCGGCAATGTCAGTCCCATTGACTTGAGCAATAGAGGGTGTAAAGACGCGAGCATTCAACCAGGTAACATGTCAACGGTTTTCCCCTTGGTTTCATTTTCCTATCATTTCAACTGGGATTTACTCGTCTTGTTGTCCTACTGAGTACTGCGTACAAAATACAGCGCAGTTTCGCCGACTTATTCCACGGACGTTTATCCCTTAAGTCATTATCCGGATCAGAAACAGACTGGGACAATGTCTGCTTTCCCGGTTTTAGGTCACAGAAGGGATGGAAACAAAGACGGGATATAAGATTGCTGGCATAATGGGCGGCTGGCGGTCAATCAATTTTATCATTGTAAGAATATTAGACATCCGCCAATCCACTCACTGACACGAGGAATTGGACTTCTCAATGACCCAATGGGCACACCAACACAACGGATGTGTTAAAAGGGTTTGGGTCAGTGTAAAAAGAGTAGTGAAAGGACCAGCCACATGCATCCCTTGCGTTCCTGAGAGTCGAGAGTCGAGATGTGAAAAGAGCGCATCGTCAGGGACTGTCAGCTTCCCACCAAGACGCTGAATTTTTGTTGCCCCTTCGTTCTTTCCACATATCGTCTGCATCCCTGCATTTGTTCACCTGTCGTGTGCAGCGGTGCAGCTATGGTGGCAGTCATGGTGGCAGTTGGCAAGTGGCAGGCATCGCGCCTTCCTCTCACGCACGGGCCATTCGTCTCTTTCCTGTTCAAACGTGCTTTGTCGTTCGCTCCTGCCTGTCCAAAATATCCGTACCTGCCTGTCAGTCCCATCTGATGGACCCCGAGGGTCCACAGCTCACGACTTCGCGTGAGGGTAGGCGGCTGTTCATTGGTTGACAGGTGTCCAGAGCGTTGAAATCAGTGGTGTTCGGACACTACCCCTGGCGCCGACCAGCGAGGACGGTCTGATGGAGAGGCTTGGGAGGATCTCTTTTTGGCAAGGCAGCCAATCGCAGTGGGGCTATCACCCGTTCTGGTTAAGGGCGACTTGGGTGTAATTTCCTTTTGCAGTGTTTTTTCTTACCGCTGGTGGGTTACTCCTTCCGTCATTCGCATGCCCAGTGCTGCATTTCCCCTGGCTAGTGGTGGTTGTAGGCCTTCTTCTCACTCGTGCCTGCCATTTTTGCTAGGCGCTTGGCTGGACCACCCGCACCTTCTTGTCCGTGACTCTGTGCAACTGCCCTGGTGGTGTTTACCTCATTTGTCCCCTTTCGCCCTTTCCGCCTCCTCGCCATGCGTTCCTATTATCTCGTAATTTCGTTTCGCTCTCTTTTCCCTCCCTCTCGTCTTTCCTATTTTCCTCCTCTTCATCCACCACTGAGGGTTTTCACTCCTTTCAAACTCTCTCACGTTCATTTCCTCCCCTCGCATCGCTTGGATTTGCTTACCCAGCAAACGAAGCATCACACTCATTTTTTGTTTGTTGTTTGTGTGGTTATTTGCGTTTGGTTTCAACTCTCCCGCTCTCTTTTCGAAGTTGAATACCGTCCTGTCCTTTTTACTTAATTTGCACCACACGTCACACTCATTCCATCGCTCATCGACTGGGTAAAGACGACATCGCCGACTGTTTACTTCCAATCTCCGCCTGTTTTCACCCGTTTGCAATCATTCTCAACCCTTCCCGACGAAGCCGACCGTTCCGATCGACCTCGTTTGCTGCTCTGTACGTCTTGTCGGAATCGAAGCACTATTTTGGCTGGTACAGGGGATATTGTGGATGTTGACTTGCTGTCGCGAAGTCGGCCTGTCTGGCCGGCCCGGTCGTATCAACAAGACCTGCTTCGTGGCGGCCATCGTGGCCGGGGGAGGCCCTATGATGCGCGGCTGAAAGGCGGCCACCTTTTTGGCCGGCCGAGAATCATAGGACAGCATCGCACCGCAAGACGTGGACAAGACTGGACTTGTTTAGGGAATTTTTGCTGACCATCTGCTCATACAGTTGTCAACCACGTTTCTATATTAATTCTACGACTCGCCCTACGACCCCTTTTTCCGTCACCCTTTTGCTTTTGCGACCACCACAATGTCTTCGTTCAAGCATTTCTTCTCTCACGGCCAGTTGGCTGCCCGGTCCGATGAGGGCTCGGGCAACGAGCACACGATCACCGCCATGATCATCCTCCTCGCAATTGTCTTCTCCGGCCTGCTCCTGACCTCCACTCTTGTCATGCTCCGTCGCGTTAAGAGACGCCAGCAGATGCTTGCTATGGGTCTGCCGCAGTATAATGACAAGACCGGTGCCGGCAACAACAACCCGCACGGCCTCACCATTCAAACGACCAACGCCAACGGCCGCAAGTCCGTGCTCGTCTTCGGCCGCGATGGCCAGCCCATGCTCGCCAACCCCCAGTCGCCGCCGTACTCGCCCGATAATGTCCCGGAGATTCGCATCACTTTCCCGGACGAGCACGATGAGACGGGCCGTCGCAAGAGTGGCCGTGTCGTTGTTGTCCGCGTCGGCGAGCACAACACTGTCGGCATGGAGCCCCTTTCCGAGCAGGAAGAGCAGCTTCCGGCGTACGAGAAGGACAGCAAAAGCCGGTTCTACTCTATCGACATGGACCAGATTGGCGGCCTGAAAGAGAAGCAGTACCGGGATTACAACTAAGGGGAGCATCTCGAAATAACCCGAACTTTTGAGTGGCTTTCCTGGTCATTTCCTTCTGTTTCTTTTCTTGGCGCCTCTTAATTTTTCATTTCTTACACTCGTTTCTCCTCTGACATTTATACCATAATCATTATTTTGGCCCATTTTTGTTTCATACTCTTATTTCGCACCACACATTTATTCCTGGGTACCTTTGTTATCTATTTACGGCGCAGAAGTGTTTGGGGGGGACGACAACGACGTGGTTAACACCGCACTCCGACTACCAGGACGGGATTTTCGCAGCTGACAGACAAAAAAAGAACAGATAGCACGCGTGGAAGCAGTGGACCAATGTTTGCGGACGAGCACAGACACGAAGACCGACATTTTGCTTGTTTCCGAGACTATTCTTCACCACATTGGCCGGGATGCTGTGAGCAGGACAGTGACCCTCTGTCCTCTCCGTGCATGCTTGGCTACTCTTGTGTGTTTTCATGTACATATTGTATTATTACTATTCCATTTACTGCATTAACTGCAATCTACCGTGTATACCACCTTTATGGCCTTTCTCTTTTCTTCCCTTTCTCTGGCTGTTGAAGAATATTTTGCAAGGAAACCATGACTATCGTGATAAACTTGGGCATTGCAGTTCAGTACGAATCGATCGCCATTGGTGATGAGCGAATCAAATGTCAGGTCACCACTGGCATGCAAGCCGTCTATTTTTGATTGTTGATGAATTCAGCGGGCCGTTTGGCTGCTGTCCGTTATTTGTTTGGGCTGCCGTGGAATTATTCTGTATTGCAAAGTGTATACTCCCATACTTGCTCAATAATAATTCGTTTGACGTCGCTGGTTGTGTTTTGTCCGCTCGAGTCATGGGTTTAGAAGTACATCATAGGACAGTGCTTCTTTGGTGGGGCCGCCACTCCCGAGCATTTGGCGTCTTCGCCGTTTGCTACTATGAACTCGCTGGCGGCGCGCAGTTAGGGAAAATGACCGAATTGGAAAGGAAGCTGCGAGAGTCGGTCTTGCCTGGCGATCCACCGAATCGCTTAAAATTACTACCGAGTCAAGGAGGAAAGAGGGACCGTCAAGATCGTGTTCAATGTGGCTTTCCAATACTACAACGTGTTAAACCCGTTTTCAGTAGCTACGACCGACGCGAAACGACGCCAGCAGAGAAAGAGCCAACGTCAAGTCTTTCTGTGCCTGCTTAGCCCGTATCAATTTTTGTGCTACAGACCTCATCTGGCTCCATCTTTCTCTCAATCTCTCCTTTTCTCCTCCCACAACGCTCTCTTTCTTTGGTGATCGACAGCACAGTGTCCATGTGCCCCGTTTCCTTTGTGTTTCTTCTTCTTCTTCATCGTACCTTTTGATCTCTTTAGTATTCCATTTGTCGTATACCTTTCATCGACCCTCCCTGGCAGCACGCTTCTCTGGAATCCTTTGAAACATGGCCATGAGCCATATGCTGAAGCTCTCCTTTGCCGCGCGAGGCACTTTTTGAACTATTTCCTCTTTGCCTCTCCAATTCTTTTGACGAATTCATCGCGTCTTCTCTGCTGGACGTACTCCCTTCGTCGATTCCTTCCATCGTTTGCACTCCCACGATGGCACCCCCAAGCTCGCGAAAAAAAGCGACGGTGACCTCCGAGACGCCGACGACAAACACCGAATACCAGACCATTGCTAAGCAATTTGCTGCTGCCAACCGGATCAAGCAGATTGAGGATGCTGCGCGGGCTGGTCGCGCAGACGCGCATACAGAGCACAATCGGGCTACCGCCCTCGAGCGGCGGCGAGCACTGCGTGAGGCTGCTCGCAAGTCAGCCTATGAGCGTCGCTGGATGTGGACCGTGGGTTTTTGGCTCTGGCTGGTGGTGGTGCACGCTGTGGGCATCTTCTACTTCACATCCGGCTTCCTGCTCACCCGGCTGGTCCTGGACGAGCAGTCAGGCTGTGCCGTGAGCCCGTTGGGCGATGCTGGCAGCAGCCACATTTCCGACCCGGCCAAGGGCTGCTGGCACCCCAAGACGTTTGATCGTGCCGTCATTGTGCTCATCGACGCGCTCCGCTATGATTTCACAGTACCCGTCGGCAGCGGAAGCATCAACGATACACAGGCCGAACTCTTCCACAACTCGTTCCCCTTCCTCTACGAGACTGCCGTCTCCGACCCGACCCACGCGTTCCTGCGACCGTTCATTGCCGACCCGCCGACTACGACGCTCCAGCGCCTCAAGGGCCTCACGACTGGCACCCTTCCCACGTTCATGGACATGGGCAGCAACTTTGCCGGCACCGCAGTCGAGGAGGATAACCTGCTGGCGCAGATGCACACCCTTGGCAAGACTATCGTACACCTGGGCGACGACACCTGGACCGCACTTTTCCCGGGCTACTTTGCGCCCAACGTCAGCCGTGCCTACGACAGTTTCAATGTTTGGGACTTGCACACGGTCGACAACGGTGTGCTCGACCACATTTTCCCGCTCATGGAGTCGCAGGTCCAAAAAGAGCACCCCTGGGACGTGCTCATCGGCCATTGCTTGGGCGTCGACCATGCCGGCCACCGCTACGGCCCCAGCCATCCGGCGATGCGCGAGAAGCTGCAGCAGATGGACGACTTCATTCGGCGCCTAGTAGCCACGATCGACGACGACACACTACTCGTTGTGATGGGGGACCACGGCATGGACAGCAAGGGCGACCACGGCGGCGAGAGCGACGACGAAATCGAGGCCGCGCTGTGGATGTACGCACGGCGCCCGCTGTTTGGCCGCACCGACCCGGCCTTTGTCACACCGCCTGCCACGGCCAAGGAACGCCCTGTCAATCAGATCGATCTCGTGCCCACCCTGGCCCTGCTCCTGGGCCTTCCCATCCCCTACAACAACCTAGGCTGGCCGATTGAGGAGGCCTTTGTGGGCCCCAACGGCGACGACTGGGCCAATCTGGCCACTGTGGGTGAGCTTACAGCTGCCGGCATCGATCGTTACCAGGCGTCGTATGCGGAGGCACAGGGTTTCGAAAACGCCGACGCTCCGGTGCGACCGCCACTGATCAAGTCCTCTTCCAAAAAGCAGACCATGGCCGAAGCCTATGCGGCCCTTGCCGTGTACCAGGCTGAGACGCTGCGCACCTGCAAGGAGCTGTGGGCCAACTTCGATGTCGGCAGCATGATTCTGGGCATCGCCATCATGGCCTCTGGCGTCATATCGCTGCTTTTGTATGCCTCGCGCCGCGGCGATACCGACGACGACGATGAGGGCATTGTGCTCATCGAGGACGCGGAACTTGACCACGCCGAGATGCTGCTCGAGCTCCAGGGTGAGCTGGTCGACGGCGAGGACCTGGCCAGCAAGAACAAGGACGACGACTCGGACTTGCTACAGCAGCAAACCCAGCATGCATGGCTTGTGGTGGGCGGTCTGGCCGGTGGCGTTCCCATTTTGGCTGCCGGCATCGCCTGGGCATCTGTGGTGAGGAACGGCTCCGAGCCGTGGTACGCATTCGCTGGCTACGCAGCCCTCGCAAGCACGCTTGTTGTATCTGCGCAGCTGCTCGGCCGTGTTGGCCGGCGTCGCCTGTGGCGCCTGCTGCCGAGCAGCGTCTGGGGCTGGATGGCGTTTGTGTTCACGGTTGCCCAGTCGGCCGGCTTTGCGTCCAACTCCTATACTATCTGGGAGGACAACATCCTGCTCTTCTTCCTGGCCACGTTTGGCTTCGTGGCCGCACTGGCCTCACTACGCCTCGTTACGCCTGGCGACCGTGCCCTCGGCATCTACCACGCCGTGATGTTCGTTCTGCTGGGTCGCCTAGCATCCCTGTCGAAGCTCTGTCGTGAGGAGCAGATGCCGTACTGCACCTCTACCTACTACGCATCTGCCAACTCGTCGACCTCGGCCGTTTGGCAGCTAGCCGTCCCCTTTGCAGTCTTCCTCATCATGCCCACGATCGTGCGCTCCTTTTTCGAGCCGACGCGCTCTTATGAGGGTCTGGCCCCGACGTGGATCGGCTATGTCTTCCGCGGCGGTCTCTTCATGGCAGCTGTGTACTGGACGCTCGACGCCGCCGACAGCGGCAACTGGTGGGCCGACGCATTCCCTGCGGGCACCGTCAAGACCGCTTCTGTTTATGTTGCGCAGACGGTGCTGGGGCTCGCTCTTGTTGCAGGCACTGTGGGTTTTGTCTGGGCGGGCCCCTGCGTGTCTTTCTCGGCGCGCGCGGCGCCGGGGTCGAACCGTGCACAGGTGGCCGTCCTGGGCTACGCGAACGCACACGGCGCCCGATACCTGCTGCTGGTGGTCAACTTGCTCGTTGCTGGGGTGCAGCTGTCGAAGCCCATGGGTGGCGGTGCGCTCGCCCTGATGCTGTGGCAAGTGCTTTCGCTGCTCGAGCTGCTCGACTTGCTCAAGTCGGGCGGCCCCCAAGAGCCCGACGGCGACGAGTCGGCCGCCAGCGGTGACCGTGGCACCAATGTGAGCACGGGCAACCGTAGCCTGCTCGCATCCATTGAGGAGGAGGAGGAGGCGGGCCCCACGGCGACTATCAACGGTGTGTCAGTTGCGACGGCCACGGATGCTGCCTCGGCCAACGCTGCGGCAGCCGCCTCCACCGCAACCCCCTCGTCGGTCACTGTAATCGGCCCGGTGATTCTCGCCATGCTCGCCAACTTCCACTACTTTACGACAGGCCACCAGGCCACCCTCTCTAGCATCCAGTGGGACAGCGCCTTCATCCCGCTCTTTTCGGTGCGCTACCCCTGGAGCCCTCTTGTCATTGCAGCAAACACGTTTCCGGGCCACTTTATTACCGTCGCCGCCGTGCCGGTCCTCGTTCTGTGGAAGACAGGCCCCCGGCGGCGGGGTGGCTTGCTGTCGCCGACGAGCCGCGCGCTGGCCGGCTTTGCCGCGTACTTTGCCGTCGAGGCCCTGGCCACGATGGCGTGGGCCGGCCATCTGCGGCGGCACCTGATGCTGTACCGGGTGTTCAACCCACGCTTCATGATGGCGGCGGCAGCGTTGCTCGTCGTGGACATTGCCGCTGTTGTGCTGGCGCTCGTGGGGCTGCGGTCCAACACGCTCGCGGTCAGTGAGGTGTTTGGCTGGGTGGACGACTATTAGAAGACGAGCATTGCCTCGACAATACCACGGGGGGTTATATGGTGTCAGGTTACGAGATGTATTCAGGGAGGTTGGGAAGCGAAGCATAAGGGTTTCGTCCATATAGACGGCGCACTAAGACGAAGAGAAGCGACTACGTAGCGCAGCTTTCGTCTGATCACTTTTGTATAAAATATATAATGTGTACAATGTCCATTTTGCAACATTTTCATAGACTAGAGCCTTCTGCTACAAACGAATTTTAATTTTTTAAAATAAAAATAAAAAAAACATACTCTGTGAACTGTGAAGAGCAGAAAATTGGCTCTGCGACGATGTTGTCAGACTCTGCATTACAGCGTACATGCGCTGTGGCACGATTTCCATTGGCCACAAAGCAGCTGCCGGCACTGGCCGACGAAAGCCTTCAGGCTAGGCCACAACAGGTAATAGCAACCCGCCCTCGCTGTGGGACCCACCTTCTTTCCTTGGATGTTTGAGTGCGCACCTTCCACTTACCTGGTCCTGCTTAAGACTCAGAAGGTGGTGACTGCCGAAACGCCGTCGCCTCTTTCCCAATTTGCCCCCTTTCACGAACAGCCGGACACGCGAAGAAAAACAATAAACCTTCACGAACATGCACGCCTGCTAGTTGCACGACCTCCTCCTCTTCCTCGCCGACTCACCATCCAATCCAATTGACGCAATGCCCGCCGTCAGGCTGCTCGCGCTGGCGCCCGCACCGGGCCAGCAGCTGCAGCTCCTACGCAGCGCCGGCAGTGCCAGCAGCAGCAGCACAACGAGGACAACGACAGCTGGACAAAGCAGCAGCTATTCTAAAGATCGGAACGGCCTTGCGTCTCCCAAAGTGCCATCGCCATCCAGGGCCATGTCGACGAGCGCCGCCCCCGCCCCGCATCATCGTCCGTCGACGCAGCCGAGCTGGTCCCGAGGCGCGTCACCCACGGCCGTGGCACCGTTCCTCGCGCGGGCACAGCGGCCATCCTCCACCGCCGAAGCCAAGGCGAATACGCAGCGCGCTCGGATACCACACCACCACCAGGCTCCAGCCGCATGCAGAGCCTTTGGATCGGCGACAATGCCTAAGCAGGTCGCCTTCCCGCGACACGGCAAGGCGGTTGCCCCACAGCAAACCCCCACGAACGAAAACGAGGCAACCGCCACAACAACTTCGCCAATGCCCGAGGACGCGACAGCAGAGCCAACGACAGGAGCAGAACCAAAGACTGCGCCATCATCAGCACCTCCAAACGAGCAGCGACCGGCCAAAACGAATGGCAAGCGGACCAAAGCAGCATCCAGCGGGGCCAAGGCAAAGCCGGCCGCAGCAGCAGTAGCAGCAGTAGCACCAGAAGATTCAGCAGAGCCAGCCGATCTAGCTCCTCCAGCGGACCAGACGATACCGACCGCATCGATAGGACATGCGGAGCCGACAAGCGCGCCTGCGTCGCAAGAGGCGTCTTCAGTGGCCGTGGACGCGCAGGACACTCTGGGCCGCACAGACGGACCGACCACAACAGCTAAACCCACTGACCCCGCTGGTGTAGTAGCCGAGGCGGCAGCATCAGCAACCACTGCAGCAGAAACGGCCACTATCGCTGCCGCCATTCTAGACGGCACATCACCAGTAATCGAGCTTGGTCCGCCCAAGGTCACCATCGGCGCGGTCCTCGAGCCGGGTCAGAAACAACAAGAGCAGGCTGATCAGCAGCAGCAGCAACAGCAGCAACAAAAATCAGGAGACCAAGGATCGTCGTCGCCACGCCAGCCACTGTCACAGAGCAAGCTGCTTCCACCGCACCTGACCACGCCGCCGTACGTGCATCACTTTGACAGCTACTCGCTGGTGAAGCAGCTCGAGGCCGGCGGTTACCGGCAGGGACAGGCCATCACGGCCATGAAGGCCGTGCGGACGCTGCTGGCGCAGAACCTGGATGTGGCGCAGACCGGTCTTGTCAGCAAGAGTGACGTCGAGAACGAGGCGTACCTGTTCAAGGCAGCATGTGCCGAGCTCAGCATTGAAGTGCGGAACAACCGCCGGCGCGCCGACGAGCTTGTGCGTCAGCAGCGCACACTGCTGCAGCACGAGGTGGACATTGCTTCCCAGTCCGTCAACCAGGAGCTGGTGACGCTGGCCGACGTGGTCAAGGAGCTGTTCAACGACCGCAAGATGGCTGTCCGGGAGGAGCAAAAGACGCTCGAGAGCGCGATCCAGCAGCTGAGCTACAAGATCACGATTATGCTCAACAGCGAGATGCGGTCGGAGATTGAGGGTCTGCGGTGGGTGTTGATCCGGCGGTCCGTGCTGGGCATCATCTTCATGGCCATCCTGACGCTGGGCACGCTGCGGTACGCGAGCTACGTCAGCCACGAGAAGAAGAACGCGGCAGAGCGTGCGCTGCGCGAGGCACACGAGGCGGAGATGCAGCGGTTTGCCGACACAAAGATCGATAGCAGCGCGCCACCGGATGCCGCAGAGATTTTGGCAGCAAACTGATGGAGCAAGCAGAGACAGAGAGAAAGAGAGAAAGAGAGACAGAGAGACAGAGAGCGTTTGCCAGGTTGTTGTAGAATACGGGTTCAACACGGAATGGCTGCAGGATAATGGATTTAGGAAAGGCGAACACGACCATTGGATCTATTGGCAAGGACGTGGTTACGAACACGGAAAAAGAAAACAAAACGAAAGGACGTTTGGAGATACCCAAAACTTAGACAAGGCACACCGCACGTGGCACATCAGCAATTACACATAAGATACAAAAACTCACAAAATGAAGACCCAACGACATGTTGAAAGTACTCGGTAGATGAGAATCGCGCAAGCTGAACTGGGAACTATGTATGCTTTATACGTATCAATTTCATTGACTATTTCGTGAATATGTGCGTGTCATGAGGCGAGGGCAAAAGATGGACTGGGTATATTGGGTATGACTGAGGGTCCAACGGCAACAGAAGAACAAAACGCATTCGCTAATGATAGTAAACTAAAGATGACAAAAAAAAATCCCAAACTGGCGTAAAACATGACGGAGACGATAGGTCGACGACAAAGGGTCTAGATGCCGTTCTCCTCCCAGGTGCGATAGATGGCATCCCGCACAGCCATATGGCCGTTGGAGCGCTGCACGGTTAGTCAAAAGCTGCGACAAGAGAAAACGAAATGCCGACAACGTAGCAAAGGGAAACTCACTGGGTGAAACGTCTTGCCGTAGTACGTCGGCACGTACCACATGGAGTTCTCGGGGGACACCAGGCGGCCGTCGCCATACACAGAGGCATCCGCGTCGCCAGCGTCAAACGATCCAACAACCGGCAGCAGGGCCGGGTTGGCAGCTTGTGCCTGCACCATGTCACACAGTGCGCGTTCGCCCCAGTCGCCGCGGGCGTCGGCTGGTCCACGGCAACGCAGCGGGTCGACCAGGGACGAGTCGGGGTCGACGGTCGGTGCAGAGAGGGGGACGGCGTCCTTTGTGCCCTTTTTGCCCTTTTTGCCCTTTTTGCCATCCTTACCCTTGTCGGGCCCATCGTCAGGGACATCGACGCCGTTGTCGGTGCCTCCCACGAGGAAGAACCAGGTCGCATCGCGCTTGTAGTCCGGCTCGACCACGCCGGGCTCGCAGAAGCGGTGGCCCTCAAAGGCGTCGTCGTAGTCGACAAACAGCACATGCGGCGTGTTGCCGTAGCGGGCGTTGACGCCGTCGACAATCGCCTTGAGCTTGCGGTTCGCGCCGGCCACCAGGCCGTTCATGCGGCGGCGCAGGCCCTTGGTGAGGTAGGTGGTGTCGGTGGCGTTGTCGGGCACGCCGGTCGCGTTGCCGTAGTGCCACCAGATGCTCATGGACGCGCGGTCGCACAGATCGGTCTCGGCGTTGAAGAAGCGCGCGTAGCCAGTGACAATGATGCGGAACTGCGGGTGCTTCTCCCACCGGACGCGCGCCAGCAGCTGCAGCAGGATCACGGTCAGGCGCGCAGAAAACGAGGCCGGGTCGGTCGAGCGGTCGTCCTCGGCGAGCAGCAGCTCTGAGGCGCGCAGAGCAGCCTCGCAGGTGCCCGAGTAGTACCCATAGAAGCGGAACACACAGGCGTTGATGACGTCAAAGAAGCCCAGATCGTTGCCGCCGATGGAGAGGGTGACGTAGTCGAGCGCAACCAGGGCTGGATCGGTAAGGAGCGTGTTGATCTGGCCAGGATTCGACGCGGAGGACGACGGCGAGCCGAGAACGTCGGCGGTCGTGGCGCCTGTGCACGACAGCCACTGAAACGCCGTCATGTTGGCATCACCGCTGCTGTCGCCCTTTCCTCCTTTGTTGCCGTTGCTGCCGGCCGACGCGTCCGCGTCAAGGCCCAGGTCGACGTGCAGCAGGGCCGGATACGCGCCAAACCCCAGGCGGCAGCTCGCCTCCTTACCGCCGTCGAGGTGTGTGCCGATGCCCGCGCTGTATGAGTCGCCGAGCGAGGCAAACCCTTTGCTGGTCCACCGAAGGCCGCTATCGCCATGTTGCGGAGTGTGGCCACCCAGCGCCTTCTGCCGCGCGTCGCCGCCGCCGAACCACGACGCCACTCTCGGTATCCGCCACGCGTTTGTGATAGCCGCTGGTAGTACGGCCGCGCGTACAGGCTCCGTGCCGCTGAGCACAACCAGCCACGACGAGGCGGAGATCAGAGACAGGAGATGCATCTTGACGATAAGGAAAGAAGATAAGGTCAAGGAGTCAAGGACGTTCGTCGAGGTGTCGTCGAAAAGATGTCGCCATCCACGGATGTATTGTTTAGGGTGCCATGAGAGTGTCGGGGGGGAGTGTGGTCGTAGGAAGCACAGGCATAGTCGGAGTCACAAAGACTGGCAAAGAGATGTTCCCAACAAATGGCAAGTCGATGCAGCCATTCACAGGCGGCAAGGTGGCAGGCGCGCAGGGCAGGCTGACAGGCAGTCGCGACGCAGCCACAGTGATGCGGGGTTGGGCCGTGGACCCTTACAAAACGGAGGAAGGTGCGTAGCCAATGGCAGGCGCTGCTGTCGGCAGGTGCTGGCCGCATTTGCTCTCCTTTGCGCCTTCTGCGCCTCCCTCCTTCCTCACGCAACGCCAGCCTCGTGACACAATCAAAGGAGAAAGGATAGGGAGAAGAAGCCATGCAAATTAGGAAAGAGCAAGTGTTTGTAGCTGTCATCAAAACAGAGCACAATGTAGATTAAACGGTCGGAGGCTTTGGCGGCATGCGCCATACGACATAACACAGTATAGCCAACAAAGCAAACTCGCTCAGCACTGGCGACAAGTCAGCTTGCTGACAGCTGAAGCATAAATCATGGTATGCACGACATAGTTTTCGAGAGATGTCTATAATCGACACTGAGTCCGTGATTCGGTTTAGACGAGAGAAGAGACGTCCTGAGTCGTGAGTTGGACTGGCACGACAAAGACGATGCCGATGCGGCTCCGGAGTTTGCTCGGAGACGTCCCGCAAGGTCTACACCCGTCTGGGCTGCTGGACGTGCTCTTTCTTGGCCGCCTCGGCGTTGGACTCTGTCTCCTCGGGGCTCACAACAAAACGGCGACAAGAGTCTTGCAGCCCATTTACCAATGATTTTGATTGCAAAACCACTTTGTTCTTTGGATGGTTTGTCGGCGCCAAGAAACGGACAACGTTCAAGCTCAAAACTGCAGCACCTCAATCCAGCATGGCCCTCGGTGGTCATAGTTCGACGCTCCGAGGCACATTGCGTATATGATTATTCTCGCAACTGCGGCCGACATAGCCGCCTCGGAGTGTGAAGTTTTGCAAGACTGACAAGAGGAAGTAAGCCAACAATGTGGACACGAGAACGGAAACGGCAACAAATAACAAAATAGTCCTGGCCGCAGTTGCTTGTGTTCGTGGCGGCCCTTTTCTCGTTCCTTTTTCTTCCTTGGGTCCTCTTTTTTCATAGATCCTTTCTTTTTTTCTTTTTTTCTTTTTGCACTATTTTTTCCCCTGCTTCACGATCTTCCGTCCCACCTTCGGTCTTCCGTAGTTGCGGATGCTTTGTGATCGGATGGCAGCCAAGCGACGAAAACCAGTTCACCCGGCTCAAAGATTTCTAGCGCTTCCTTGCAGCCTTCTAGCGCGCCAACCATTTGGATTTGTTTGCCCTGTGGTCCTCGGTTCATGTCGGACGTGTTGTCGACGTCCGAGCTCCGCTATCTTTTTTTTCTCTGGTCTTTCTTGCATGGGATTTTTGCTGTTTTTTCGTCGCTCTTTTCATCTTGCCTCCAGTGGGGCCCTGCTTGAAAATTAGAGTTGGGAGATATAAGACAGAGAGCGGCAAGCGGAGCAAAGAACCGTATGGATGACAGGGCCTTAACTCACAGAAGCATAAGAGCGAAGAAGCGAGATCGTGCATAAAACAAGACCAAGCTAGTTGGCAGCGAGGCATTAGGATAACTCGGCAGCGTATGTCGTACGGAAAAATAACAGAGTTAATCCTAGCAGAAAATGAATGGACCGTTCCAACAGCGCGGCAGCGTCCCAAAAACGCAAGGCGCCGTTTCCGTACTCAGTCATACCCTAGGTGTTCTCTTCCGCCGTTCCCGGACGGACAGGCCACGAGGACAGAACGCCAACAAAACAAACACCGATTGGAAGGGCGTGCAAAACGAGCCTCAGGACAAGATGTTGCAGAAGAGTGTCGAAACGGTCAAGACACAGTTCCAATTTGGTTTGAAAACGGGCTCTCCACGACACGGCATGGAGTTTGCTGTCGAAGCACCACGCGGCCATACTCCGTGTTTTCAAGGCTAACACCGCGCACACCCTCGCCTTGATGACAAACAAGTGTATGACAGTCCCATACTGGCATGACGGGCAGGTCATCAGCAGGTGTGCGCCGCCGTTTTTATGTTTTGTCGTCTTGTGCCTCGGACGAACGACTCGTGCGCCCGTTCCACACAAACTCTCCGCGTCCGTCTGACACCTCCCCTCACCACCATTTCTTGTTCCAGAAGAACGGTACCGTCGCCAGGTACGAACGTATCCATATTGCCGTGCCGGGGGAGGGGTGGAACGTTTGCTCCGATTCGCAATGTCCAGGGCCTTGAGCAAACGCAAATCTCGCTTGACCGTTTTGTCCTTGTCTTGACAACTCAAATCCGCCCCATCCGGGCCGCGACTTGCTGTCACGTTGAGCGGTGCTTCGCTTTCTCGTGCCTTCCAGATCATCAACACCAGTCCTCGTGCTTGACAAGGGCCAGAGCGCGTGAGTCTTCCGTGCGTATGGAGCAGGGCATCAGACACTCGAATGTCTTCTCGTGACAAGCACGCCATGAAACCAACCATTCCGTAAAAGCCGTATTTCCTTTACTGCTTTGACAGGCCGTGACGATGGCCCTGTTGTTATCAGATCGGGATTTTGAATGCGTGTGCAGATGCGTACGAATACGATATCATGCCCGGTACTCCGTACGAGGCTTTGACAGGGCTCAGCAGATTCATGCATGATTTGAATGCGCTGCCTCTGTACGAGACGGCCATCAGAGCCCAAACACCGTTTTGATAAAGCACACGGGAGGATTGATTTGACGTTTTCTTTGTGCTGACATAACAAGACGAGTTTTTGGAAACGAACGCACTGTCGTCGAGCTCTACAGATGTTTTGTCATCTGGCTTGTGTGTCCTATGTCGCAATAGCGGTCATCGGTGGTAATTCCGGCAACCGGTTCCAGACGAGAGATGGGGGAAAATAGCAGGACCCGCACGACACAATGGGCAGGGGCACATGATGTTTACTTGTTAGCTCCACGGCCGCTCGCGTCTTCGGTCTGTCGAGTCAAGGCGGGCTGCGCATTTCCTGGGGAAACTGTAACGATCCCAATGCGTAAAGATAGTCACAGACCGAGGGCCGAACATCGTCCAGCGGACAGACGGCTGGCTGTAATATTCCAGATCAAGATGCCATGGTCCAGCCGGTTACCTGTAGTCGCGCAGCCCTCTGGCTTCCCCGTTTTATGGGAATTGCGGGAATGCTGTCAATTGACTTCACACCACCGTCGTGGTCCATTTGCCGCCGCCTGCCGCGTTCCAGCCCCGTTTCTGCCATCACGACAGGGCCTTTGCGAACGTGCATGATGCGATCGATACGGACGTTCCGAGATAGGCACAAGGCTTTGCAACAGCATAGAAACATAGATTGTAGTTGTAACTGCCCACAACAGCCACCTTCCTCTTTCCTGTTTCGTCTACCAGACGTCTTTCCGCTTGTCGGAGTGCTGTTTGCGCCGGAAACGGCAAGCGGTAACGGCCAGCGGCAGCGGCCGCTAAGGCCAGGCGCACCTTCCTGGCCCGGTCACGGAGCTCACGACAACTCGTCGACAGACTCTCTCTACTTGTCGGGTCTTCAATTGTCGATGAAAGTCGTTCTTCCGAACGGAATATAAAGAATACCGTTCGGGCCCTAACTGCGGTACTCCGTTCCAGCTGTTGAGCTGTTGCGTCGCATTGCAGGTGGCAGTTGAGCTCCGTGTTGGAAAGTGTTCGGGCCGCGCAACAGTTCCTTTCTCATATAATAATAATACATCGTACGACTGCCTGTTGCGCAGCAAATACGCAAATAAATTGCTTCTGTTAATAGAACTGGAAAACGAGAAGAGCGAAAACGACGTCTCCTTTTTATCTCGTCTACGGAGTACGACATACAATCCCTCGCCTGTTTCCAGGCTCCCACATTCTGAAAGTGGGCCATGTACGTCTCCGTGTTGCGTGGAGTATTTATTCATAGCCTGGTCTTGGCTGCTATTTTTACACGCGACGCAAGTTCCTACTGTACTCTGAACTCGACGTCGTATGCGCAGGGAACGGCCCCATATTGCTCCCTATTGCTCCTTCCCTACGGAATACGGACTCGGAAACGTCCTGTGCCCAAATCCGTCTCGACTTATCAAATCTGTCCATCCGTCATAGTTGTAAGACACGTGCCTGCACACAAAGCCTCGCTCTGTCGTGTATCTCCTGGGACAACCACAGCCGCAAAGGCCAATACGAGTAGGATACCCGACGTTGCCTAGGAGTTTGATGGAGATTGGACGTCTCTTGAAATAGGACACAGGTTCTTGGCAGGGCCAAACCTAATGCTATCTATCCACTTTACACTTTTGGCACTCGTCTAGATGGGGGCCCGTCAAGAGAGTTGCCGACAAGTATCGATGCTGGACGACGGTCGACGTTGGGCCATGAAACGGAATCCGAATTGGGACATGCAAAGCTGAGCATGTTGCGCGTGTCCCCTGCAGCGCATCCCTCGTTTCATTGTGCAATTACAACTACGGAGTACAGAGTGTGTGCTCTTATTTTTTGTTTTGTCACGTCTCCCTGTTTTCCGAGAGGGTTTGTGAGGTCAGACCAGAGCCGCTTAGGAATCGTCACGACCCAAACGTGATGGCTTTCCAATAGCCCGTTTTTGACAGCTGTCGGGCCATTGTCCGTTGGTGCTGCGACGTGATCATAAATCCGGAGCCGTCGCTTATCTCCTTAGTTTGAGTTGTCCATCGAACAGCAACAGCCAACGTCCGCAGCGCTACGATCGTCTACAAGCCTGTTTGCTGATTAACTGTAGCCCCGTTAGCAGGGAAAATGACACGATGGAGACGTCAGATCCCTGGGGGTTCACACCCCGGATTTCAAATGCATGATACCACTGAGCGTATA